TTGTATACAGGTAGCAATGAGTGTGCTAATAGTGTAAGCCTTTTGCCGTCAGAAAGTATTTTGACCCACTTTTGAGATATGGTGTCCAAAAAGTAGGTCAAAATAAAAAGTTCTCCAAATTTAACATATGAGCTATGAATTAAAGGTAGAATTTTCCCAGAAATCCGAATCTGCAAACCAAATTTCAATCCGACTTTCCGTTCGGAAGTTATGGCGTTTTGAAAGCTCAAAAATCGCTAAATTTGGTGCCCCATGTTATGTCAATGAGAAAAAAGATTTTTTTGAAGTGTAAAAAAACAGATATAAACTGAGTACAGCTTAACATTCTGAAAGCCTATGAAAGAAGGGGACCTCGAAGGCAATCTAGCTTTAAAATTTGGACACCAAAATGCCTAGGTCAAAATCTAGGTCAAATACATAGTTTTTCCTTATTTTTGCGATTCTGGCACTACACTTTTAGGATTTGCTTCAAAATTTTGTATACAGGTAGCAAAGAGTGGGCTAATAGTGTTAGCCTTTTGCCGTCAGAGAGTATTTTGACCCACTTTTGAGATATGGAGTCCGAAAAGTAGGTCAAAATAAAAAATTCTCCAAATTTTACAAATGAGTTATGAATTAACAGTAGAATTTTCTCAGGAATCCGAATCTGCAAACCAAATTTCGATTTGACTTCCGGTTCCAAAGTTATGGCGTGTCCGAAAAGTAGGTCAAAATAAAAATTCGCCAAATTTAACGTATGAGTTATGAATAAGGGGTAGAATTTTGTCAGGAATCCGAATCATTAAATCAAATTTCGATCCGACTTCCGGTTTGAAAGTTATGGCGATTTGAAATTTCGAGAAAAATCGATCTGATGTTATCCTGATAGAAAGTCAAGGAAAAAAGATTTTTTTGAAGTGTAAAATACGAGATATAGATTGAGTACAGCTTAAGATAATGAATTCCTATAAAAGAAGGGGACCTCAAAAGCTACCTAGTTTCAATATTTGGACACCAAAATGCCTAGGTCAAAATCTAGGTCAAATTCATAGTTTTTCCTTATTTTTGCGATTCTGGCACTACACTTTTAGGATTTGCTTCAAAATTTTGTATACAGGTAGCAAAGAGTGTGCTAATAGTGTTAGCCTTTTGCCGTCAGAGAGTATTTTGACCCACTTTTGAGATATGGTGTCCGAAAAGTAGGTCAAAATAAAATGAGTTATGAATTAAGGGTAGAATTTTCTCAGGAATCCAAATCTGCAAACCAAATTTCAATCCGACTTCCGGGCAAAAATTCCTACTTACCTACCTACTTGCCTACCTACTTACCTACTCGGCTACCTACTTAGCTACCTACTCAGCTACCTACTCAGCTACTTACTCAGCTACCTACTCAGCTACTTACTCAGCTACCTGCTCAGCTGCTTACTCAGCTACCTACTCATATCAGCTACTTACTCAATTACTTAATCATCTACTTACTCAGCTTCCTACTACTAGCTCTTTACTCAAGTAAATCAATCTGGAGTCTTAAATTGAACTTTGTTCAATTTACAAATTTAGTTATTATTCTTTTTTATTATACTGGAAGCCTTTTCTCGACAACCATAAGGTATTCAATTTAGATCATTATCCAGTTAATTTAGGTCCAGTATCTAGTTCCTTGGAAATTGGGTCAAATTTTTATCTAGGTCAAAGGTCAAGAACTAGGTCAAATCCAGTACTTTGCCACTTTTTTCGATTTTCTCAATCGTCCTTCAATATTTTCGATTCGGTTTTTTTTCATTGTGTTCCTTATAAAAAAGTAGGAAACCTAAGGTCGATTTAGTTTTTTGATATCTCAAACCGATTTCAAGATATCAGTGTCCGAAAACGAGGTCCAAAAAAAAGTTCTCCGAATCAAATGTCCAGGATATTAGTCTTATAGGAAATTTTCTCAGGATTCCGAATCTGAAAATTCAAATCAGACTTCCGGTTCGGAAGTTATGGCGTTTTGAAAGCTCAAAAATCGCTAAATTTGGTGCCCATGTTAAGTCAATGGGAAAAAAGATTTTTTTGAAGTGAAAAATACGAAATATAGACTGAGTTCAGCTAAATATAATGAAAGCTTTTAAAAGAATGGGACCTCAAAAGTCATCTAGCTTCAAAATTTGGACACCAAAATGCCTAGGTCAAAACCTAGGTCAAATTCAAAGTTTTTCCTTATTTTTGCTATTCTGACACTACAGATTAATTATATTCTTCGAAATTTTGTATGCATGTAGCCAAGAGTGTGCTAATAGTGTTAGCCTTTTGCCGTCAGCAAGTATTTTGCCCCACTTTTGAGATATGGTGTCCGAAAAGTAGGTCAAAATAATTTTTTTCCAAATTTAACATTTGAGTTATGAATTAAGTATAGAATTTTCTCAGGAATCCGAATCTGCAAACCAAATTTCGATCCGACTTCCGGTTTGGAAGTTATGGCGTGTCCGAAAAGTAGGTCAAAATAAAAAGTTTCAAAATTTAACGTATGAGCTATGAATTAAGGATAGAATTGTCTCTGGAATCCAAATCTGCAAACCAAATTTCGATCCGACTTCCGGTTCGGAAGTTATGGCGTTTTGAAATTTCAAGAAAAATCGATCTGATGGTATCCTGATAGAAAGTCAAGAGTAGAGAAGAAAATATTGAAAAATCCATCCATCCTTCTTTTTGATCCTATCCTATCCTTCCTATCTACCATTGCTTCGCATCCTCTCCTTCCTGTCCTTCCTTTTCTATCCCTTCTTCCTATTCTATTCTATCCTTCTTTCCTATTCTATCCTATCGTTCCTTCCTATTCTCTCCTATCCTTCCTTCCTTTTTCATCCATCCATCCATCCATCTTTTTCTGGATGACTTAGCTTATTTTGGATGACTTGGCTTATTCTGGATGACTCAGCTAAAAAAGTCTAGATCTGGAGTCTGAAATTGAACTCGTTCAATTTCCAAAATCTAGTTATTCTTCCTCCCTCTTTTTCTCCTACTTCCAACTACCGTTCAACTAGGTACTACATAGTCCTACTAGGGACCTGGGCTGAACTTGGCGGGAAAGGAACTTTTATCTAGGTCAAGGTCAAAGGTCAAAATCTAGGTCAAATCTAAGTTTTTTTCAAGTTTCTCAAATCCTGACACTACACTTCAATATTTTTGGCTGAATTTTTGCATACAGATAGATATTAGTATTCTATTAGTCTTAGCCTTTTGCCGTCTAGAGAAATTTTGCCTAGAATTTGAGATATTGAAGGTCAAAAAAAAGTCAAAAAAGGTCTTTTTTCAACTTGCTTCAAATTGACCAAATTTTTTTTCAAAACTCATCTACAAGTTCTCAGGATTCCAAATCTGACCTTACTTTTGACCTTCGACCTTTGATTGACCTTCAGTGACCTCCAAAAGGTCAAAAAAGTTGATTTTACAAATCGATTTTCTGGATTCAAATTTAGCTATATTTATTCACAAAAGACCTTCTGAGGTCTAAAAAAGTAAAATTTGCAAGGTCAAAGGTCAAGGTCATCAAACGAAATCACAAACTGTGTTTTCTAAGTTTCTCAAAATTGGAAACTACAAATCAATTTTTTTACTGAAAGTCAGAATATGTATTCCTCTAAAAGTTCTACACATATTAGCAATTGACAATTTATTAAAATTTTGCTCCAGTTTTGAGATATTATAGCTCAAAAACTGAAAAAAGGTCAAATTTCAGAATTTTTCAAGGTCAAATTTACTTGCATTAATACTTGCATTAATTCGACCAAATCTTTTTTAAAAATCATCTACAAGTTGTCTGGAGTTCATATATGATCTTAAATTTGATATTTAACCTTTAGTTGACCTTCTAATTGGCAATGCCTACAGGGCCTCCGTAAGATTGCTTGCAATCTTCTAGTTACAAATGCAATGCACATAGGAAAAGCTAAGTAATAATCTATAATATAAAATGATAAATATCTATGCAACTGTAGTAGATCATAATCAATACTATATAATATATTTATTAAGGGTTTCATTGGTAATATTGCAAAAACATGTCTAATTATGAAAGATGACATGTAGGTAATAAGGTGAGCACAGGCCTAACCTTGGGGGATGATTGGTTTCCTTTAATAGTACAATAACGTACTTTCAAAGGGCAATAAAGTGAAATATTGGACCAAGGGCGGAAGGCCCAAGGTATAGTGAAATATTAGACCGAGGACCAAAGGCCTAATATTTCACTATATTGCCCGCAGACAAATGGCATCCTCCTAAGCAGGTGTCCAGAATCAATACCTCCTTCTTCCCCCTGCTATAAGCAGTTAACATTTCCCCGATTGAGAACTCGCAATTTGATTGGCTGTCGCAACACTGCGACAGCAATCATGTATACGTCATCAGCGCATAATTAGATCACGTGATTCAGTTTAATCGGGCGCGTCCAACTTGGTTATAGCAGGGTGTAAAAGGAAAGAAGATATTCTGGATTTTGAAGCCCTGTGATCGGAGGATGACAAATGGGGAATGGTTGGGTTGCCATATAAGACCGAGGACCAAAGGCCTAATATTTCACTATATTGCCCGCAGAAATGACGTTATTAGTATTATTACCACCGTTAATGCCCAGGGCTGAAATATCAAGAAAATTTTATGCACTGAACGATATCTAATTTCCCGGGGAAAATTGCCGGTTGATAATGCATTATTGACCGGCAATATGGCCCACCACTATGACGTCACATACTGCTCAGGTCGATAAATTAAAATGAATGCCTTCTAAACTAGCACTTATACCCCTAGAAGAGGCCTGGTAAGGTAGTAATAATACATGATATTAGGAGATAAAATATTGATAAGGGAACACCTTTGGTACCTCTAGAAGGAATCTGTTTCACTTTGGGGGTGTTCCACTTGTAGAGATTCATTAAACATTAAGTCAGTTGGTCTTGGGACTCTGAAAAGTGTTCCACTAATAGATGTGTTCCACTTTACAGGTTTTACTGAATATGTCGCAAATATTTTATTTTCAGTACAAGACATTATATCAGAAGAAGAAACTAAAAATAACATAAAAAGTGACAGAATTATAGTTGGTGGGTTTTCTCAGGGAGGAGCAGTGGCGTTATATTCAGCGCTGACTACAGATAAGCCACTAGCAGGAATTCTGGGTCTGAGCACCTGGCTGCCTCTACACAAGTCTTTCCCTCAGGTACGAACACATTAATCTCATGTTATGATTCATAAAAAATAAATCAGCTGTTATTTGATATTTATATTTTAGAATTAATTAAATGTAGGCTAATTAGAAGTGGTTGATGTATCCAAGGTGGGCTGGGTTTCACATATATGACTATGTGTAACCTTTCGCTACAAATGATAGATAAAAACAAATAAACCTATGAAATTGTATGAAATTAGGCAAATAAAGCTTGTTACTGATAAGACAATATTTCAAAAACTAAAAATCGCTCTCTCATGCTGGTTACTTCTACTCTCATAAAAATTGCATACCTTGGATTATTCATCTCTATCCCATTTTCATAAAAATTCAAAGAACTTAGCAATTTTTGCTATATTATTATGCTGTATTTATGTGGTTTAGTTATGATGTAAAGTCTTCAACGTTGTAGGGGTGTAAGGGTAACAAAGCTACTCCCATACTGCAGTGCCACGGTAAATCAGATCCCGTTGTTCCTTTCACAATGGGCAACATGACAGCTGACCTCCTAAAGTCTTTCACTAGCAACCATGAGTTAAAATCTTTTAATGGTTTAGGACACAGTTCTAGTCCACAGGTAAACTTCAGTGTAACAAGGGACTGTTTCAAAAACTTCATTTGGCCACTTTTCATGGTTTTTCCAAATTTGTGTGGACAAATACTTTTTCTGAAACAGGCCCAAAAAAGGATCTCAAAAGTCAAGATGTTTCATCTATTATGATAAACATCCTGTCATTGAGATCTCTATGTATGTTTTATTTTAACATATTCCTCTCTCTTTGTCCGGCAGGCAGCCATTGCTAATCTGAAAGTGCCCATGCTCCAATGCCACGGAACTATGGATCCAATGGTTTCATATGAAAAGGGGAAATTAACTGCTGCAGTATTAAAAACCATGCTAGAAAATCATGAGTTCAAATCCTATGAATATATGGGCCATAGTTTTTGTGAACAGGTACGCTAGTATAAGGCACTTGTTTTTTCTTCAGCCCAGTGGATCATTTTTACCCTATATTTTCAATTTACCAAATTCCAACTTCATCGCATTTAGAGAAATTCAAGACTGTTCAAAATATACCTGTACCATTTTTCGTGATTTTCACGATTACTCATGGTAAAATCAAATTTTCAGTGTGATACTTGTAGAGCTGCTGCATGGGGTAATGACTGTAAAGGGGTCCCCTCTACTCAAAGAACCCATTATTTTATCTGTGTAATTATTGTCTTATGTAGCACAATGGGTAGGATGGGTGTTTTGGTAAAAAATAAAGTCTATCCTTCCTAAATAATAATTTAATACAAGTTTTCCAATTCCAATTTTCAAATTTCTTAATATGTGTAAATTTTCTTTAAAGCATGTTGCCTTATATGCATTATATTGTATGCAATTAATAAAACTGATCAAGCACAAAGAAAATGTATAAAACCTCAAAAGTTGATGTAATAAATTCAAAATGAGCAATTGCATGCAACACAAGACATTTAATTCCCAATGTAAATAACAAAAAATGTATTTTTACTTGTAGGAGATGCAGGATGTCCAAGTATTTATAGACAAAGTCTTACCACATGAATGATGTTAGATGATTACATACCAGTGTCTCAGTCATTGAAGATATTCCCATTCACAGAATAAGCATCATCAGATCATTGGATCATAATGTTGAAATAGACAAACTGCAAATCTACAATATTCTGTTCACACAATAGCATCATTGGATCATAATGTTGAAATAGACAAACTACAAAACTACAATATTCTGTTCACAGAATAATCATCATTGGATCATAATGTTGAAATGGACAAACTACAATTTTCTCTTCACAGAATAATCATCATTGGATCATAATGTTGAAATAGACAAACTACAAAACTACAATATTCTGTTCACAGAATAATCATCAATGGATCATAATGTTGAAATAGACAAACTACAAATCTACAATATTCTGTTCACACAATAAGCATCATTGGACCATAATGTTGAAATAGACAAACTGCAAATCTACAATATTCTGTTCACACAATAAGCATGATTGGATCATAATGTTGAAATGGACAAACTACAATTTTCTCTTCACAGAATAATCATCATTGGATCATAATGTTGAAATAGACAAACTACAAAACTACAATATTCTGTTCACAGAATAATCATCATTGGATCATAATGTTGAAATAGACAAACTACAAAACTGTAATATTCTGTTCACACAATAAGCATCATAATGTTGAAATAGACAAACTGCAGATCTACAATATTCTGTTCACACAATAGCATCATTGGATCATAATGTTGAAATAGACAAACTACAAAACTACAATATTCTGTTCACAGAATAATCATCATTGGATCATAATGTTGAAATAGACAAACTGCAGATCTACAATATTCTGTTCACACAATAAGCATGATTGGATCATAATGTTGAAATGGACAAACTACAAAGAATAAGGCATCATTTGACCATAATGATGAAATAGCATCATCAGATCATGGTTCTGAAATAGTCAATCTGCAATATTCTGTTCACAGTATACCTCATTGGATAATGGTGCGAAAATAGACAAGATAGAGATAGCTAAGGTACAATATTCAGTTCACAATAAATGACATTGTTGGAAATAGACAATATCACTTAAAGAAGTAGACAGATGGATTGTGAAATTGTAAACTGAATAAGCCTAGATACCATCTTGATGATATATAGGACCATTAAATCACAGTATTAACATAGACAAGCTCGATTAATAAATATTTCTATTAACAGTATAAAATAATAAACACACCAATCACGGAACAGGAAACAAGGAACCCTCTGCAAATAAAAAAGTGTATGAAATAGTCGTGTATTGATTTTTACTTCGGTTCGTGCTTTTTTACGACATTCTGTCTAACTCGTGCTAAATTTCACCATATTGAATGGCCTATCATTATTTATTCCTTAAATACTAAACTCATAGAGTATATAATGTATATATGGGAATGATTAAAATGTAAAAACTTAGAAAAGTTGTATTCAACCCTTCTAACTTTAAACCATATGAATTTTACAATTTTTTTACTATTTCGTCAAAGTAGGTGTATATTGTACCACTTAATCTTAACTAATATATTGATAATACAAGAAAATTAATTGATAAGACAAAGACACCATGCACCTTTTATAATTTACAGAGGGTACTTTTTGTGTTACTTTATGCATACATGTACATCTGAAGACAGAATTCTGTAATAGCAAAATCTTGAATTTCAAGTACATGTACATTTATCTATTAGTCGATTCTTTTCATTAATATGTTATATGCACTTTACTATTGATTCATTCATAATAATATTATCCATTTGCTGGATGTTACATATATATTAAGCTTTGAACAACAAGTGTTGACATATTGTTATAGATCTAGTCACCAACCTTTTTGTGGATAGTGTTCAGTGTTTGATGGTTGGCATTCAGAGTTTGACATTTGTAACAATTTGCAATAACTTGCAAGGTGGTGAAATTTTGTCATGTCAATAACTTGTTTATCACTATTTTATATTTGTTTGGCATCGTGTTGTCATGGTGAGCAATATTTCAATAATATGTGAAGTCTATTAATACCTTATGTCATAACAAGTTAATTAGTACCTGTATCAAAACAAGTGGAAGTGTCGCTCTTGAAGTCTTTTAACATACCCCTTGTCAAGCAATGTAAAATATTGAGCCATTCATGAGCTCCCACAGTGAGGTTCTTAATAGAAGAATCATGTAATATATTGCATGACTACATTGTACTTGTTCCTTCAACCACTTACCTTGAGAAGCATCCATGCGTGAACATTTCTTGTTGTTTATTGCAAGTCCTAGACTCCTAGCTAATATTTTTCTCAATATTGATCGAATAGAATTTACAACAGAGATATGGTTAATGTCTGTATTGTAATAATTCATTGAAATTGTAAAAGAATTCATTGTTATTATTGCTTTATTTGATTAAATTAAAGATGTTCGCATTTTTTGTTTAGGCCATAATCTGTCCGTAATAAAAGCAATTACACGCCATGACTGCAAGTAAATCTTCTCTGGCAAAACCCTAATTTTGAATTGGTTAATCGGGTATGTTATCTCAATGTTCCCTCATGTATACATTTCATACAGCATACTTTACATGAACTCATTTTTGAAAATAGTTTCATCAATATTTCAAGACCATCCATTAAAAAAGCAAACAAAAGCTGGAGATGAAAATGAGGGGTGGGCGGGGGGCATTAGATCTTGGCATTTTCCTTTATTCCTGACCATAATTGTGTGAGATCATTGTCTTCTATTAGTTTTGTCTCTTGACACTGCATTGTATTTGTTGTAAAAAAGATGTGACAAGTTTTACAATGAGTGACCATGGTCTATCAAGGTGCATGTTACCATAGTAACATGTAATTCAAATGAATTCATTTTTATCGGTAATTAAGTGTTAAATTCATTCTGTACGTGATTCCATGTAAACTCTATTTCATCATTATCATTAGACCTATGTGATATTTTCTCTGTGTTGTTTGTATCACTTGAATTACTTGGTTGAAAAATTTATTACTTTTGTGAATATTTCTTTGATTTTCTTGATCAGTTATGAAAACTGTTTTGCTAATTTAGACGTGCAATCACAGGGTTATATACCATTCAGTGTATATATTTAATTTTCATAAATTTTTTTGAATGGTATTGCAAAAATTCATAATACAATTAACATGACTGTACATGTATACGCATTATTAGTCACATTGGTTGATTAAATCCTATTAATACATGTACAGTGTACACATTTACACAGTGAATCATTTTCTCAAAACAATGTATAAATAAAATACAAAATAAATACAAACATAAGAAAAAATGTTTACATTGTATGTCTTTTATTTCTGGATAGCACCCTTGGTATATGCAGGTTCAGGGAATATGACCGGCGTGGTACAAGTTATTTTTGAATGTACATTACCCATAACTGGCTTAACTCACTTTTTGACAACAGATTTAAAATCGATCTTGCAATGTTTGGAAGCTCCCCAAATTTTTATTATGAATTTTAAGACGAAGTAAAAAGAGGAAAAAACTTACTGTGTATTTTAAGAATAGCTGCCTGTACCTGGGGTAGGTCTTTGTAAACTGTTGAGGGCAAAATAAGTCAAACATGTACCTTTACTTGAACTTAATGTAAACCTCAAGAACCCTATAGTGGTAACTAAAAGCTCTGAAAACCAAGTGAAACATCCTGCTTAAGAATTCCTATTCTAACCATTTGGGATAGATCTAGATGTACTCTGTAACATATCTCTACTGCTTGTTCTGAGAAAATGAGGATCTTAGCCAAGGGTGTATTGACTTAAAATGGGGATTTGCACCAATGACTTCATCATACATGCTATCATGTGGATATCATTAAATCATTATCTCAGAACATTGGTTGATTGAGTCAGGCCCAAAGCCAGGGGGTTCGGTGGGTTCGAAAGTATGTGCATGCTAACAGTACATGAACAGTCAATTGTTTTAGAAAAAAATAATATGTTTGTAAAGAATGAATAAATGAAATAAATCTTTAAGGAATTATCATTTTATATATTCCTTATGATTGTACTTTTGATTTCATTGTGGATTTAAGTATGTTTACTGTTCTGTCACCAAGGCAAAAATTTCAATCAAGGAAACATAAATAAGTCTGTTTACATAAATGACATCTTTATTTCACTTTTTGCAGTTCATAATTGAGCGGAATACAAAGACACAGATCCAATTAATCATGCCACCGGTCATATTTAGGATAACTAGTGATTATGATGTCACATCCTTCATTTGACTCAATAAATTGATAACTGAAAACCCTAGTTTCTTTGGTCGATTAGAAGAGGTCATAATTCATTGGAAAGGCCAAGGTCACTAGGCTGCAGTTTTAAAGCTTTCCTGCTATAGCCTAATAGATAGATAAGCAAACCTGTACTGGAGCGACACTGGGGATCTTACAAGTACAATACATTTAGTTTGTTTTGCTTCATCTTGGAGGAATTTACATAGTTCACTCAAGCCTACAATGCTGCAAAATCCCATACCAACTCCAGAGCCATTACTCAATGAATAACCTCCCTTGTTGACATAACCAATGCATTTGCGGCTGCAATGATTTATGACATTCTCAACCTTGGGCAAAATACCTACTGACTCCAGAGGATTTTTGTGATTGTCCCTGGGGTCTTTATGAGCTGTTTCTAAGGGGCCTCCATATTTAGAATCTGATTTCAATGACTGTAAGTCAGCAAGAGTAGGAATGCAGATGGCGCTATTGTCACTTGGGGTGCCCCGGAGTACTATGTGTAAATTGACACACACTAAAGAAGTACTATTCTGTTTATACAGAGTGTCCAACACTGAAGTCCCCGATTTTCCTGATTTGAGGCTCGTTTCAACTTCCAAGCTGATAGCCTGTAACTGTTTCTTATGTCTGAGAACAGAAAATTCAAGTTTGGATTTATTTTCATTGTCCTTACCCATGTTGGCATCAATGACTTCTTTTGAATACCCAGAAACCAAATCATTCCATGGGGGTACAAATGGTGACGGAACCCCAAGTTTGAAATAGTTGGGCCTCTTGTTTTTTGGGTATCTCCCATACTGAATCTCATCCAGTTGTTTCTGTTCATGTTTCATAGTGAAACAAGAAAGAGTGTCAGGGTAATCATTTGGGAAGTGTAACGTATTGTGTTCAGCTGATGTAGCTTCCATTGCATCCATCCCCACCGCTCTTGCACCTCTGAACACAGTAGCCAACCAGAATGGCATGGCCCATCCAGCAGGCAGGATGATGTCCCAGCCACTGCCTATAGACTGCATACTATCACTATGGTGTGAGGAGGGGGCGTGTGATTGGGTGGCTCGGGTACCAGGATTGTTCACTAATAGCAGTGGTATTTTAGGCTCATCCTCTCCAAGATTAAGCTCAGAGCCTGGAAAACAGGGAATTTACATGTTATATCCATATGGCCACCTCCATATGCAGGGTGTTTCATAATGACTACCCCCTCTCTAAATGCCTTAACTTGTACATTACACAACTCCATAATCTAAATATTATATTAAAGTTCATTGACATTAACATAATTTGTGAACCTGTTTTTGCAGTTACTGTCAAACTAATTAGCTTTTTGAGCAATTTTCTATTTTCAATGGCTCGTGGATTGGTTCATGGCTAATTCTGGGAAAAATTGATCCCAGATTGAAATTTTATTAAATATCAACATAAAATGTTGAGCTTAAATTTAGCATAGCTTACTATGTTTTTTAATCATTGTCACTTGGTCACACTAAAGTACATCTTTATAATATAAAGTCTTCAAAAAGTTAATTCCATCAAAAGGAAAGACTTTTAAACATTAAAATGGATTATGTGAATGTTTTGTGTTTAATAAGACCTTCTCACCTGGTACAAGATGTTCAGCACGTCTTCTATTAATCTCACTATCAGGCAATTTATTTGTAGCAACCTGTCTACGTACATCCTCATCCCACAGTGATGATACGGCACACTCAACGGGTACAGTGTCTATATAGCTTTTAGTACTAATCTCTACAATTGATAGTACAGGACTGTATCATATATCTGACAGTTACAATACTACATACATGCACTGTGTAGTCGATAACAAAATTAGCTCATGAAACTTTTATTTCACTTATCATTTCTATTACACTCATCTTATTAAGAGTTCATATCGCATAATAACCCTTATTATCGGATTCCAGCTGTTAGTAGTATTAATTTGAATAAATTAAAACTGAGTAGTACAGCTGAGTGGACATGCATATGCACCGATAACTAGGCCTATTTTTGCTTAGCTGCCAACGGATACACACCTTTGTAAGAGACTAGGCTAGTTGTACTTAGCTGTAAATAGCACATGGATTTTAGTTCAGATGATCTGCTTGATTTGTTGAATTTTTTCAACAGTCATTTGTTTGCAGTTTTTGGAACTTTTATTTACTAGATGTCTAGTCTAACTACATTTGTTTGGACTTATGAACCATTACGGCCCTTAGTGCTCCTGAAATAATGTACTTGGACAGGTAGGGAAATGTTATGATTTTTCAAGATGGAATTTTGAATACTGAAGGTCTAAATGACCATGGTCTATAATGACCACAGTCCAGGTCTAAATGACCACATGTTAGGTAAGGTCTAAATGACCACATTTTAGGTCTAAATGACCACAGTTTAGGTCTTAATGACCACAGTTTAGGTCTGAATGACCACATGTTATTTCTAAATGACCACATTTTAGGTCTAAATGACCACAGTTTATGTCTGAATGCACACACCAAAGGTCCAAATGACCAAAGTTCAAGGCCTATAAACCAAAGTTTGACCAAGGTTCAAAATGAGCCGCCATCAGAATAATAGTCATATTAGAGGTCATATTACAGTTTCAGCGAGCATATCCAATTGCATAGCCTCATAGTAGGTTCAAATTAATAGAATCATTTTGTTTTGATTCAAGTTCTAGTAATCTAGTGCTTATAGATTCATGTTCTGTTTATCAGCGGTTTATATGTTCAATATGTTTGACTCAGTTTTTGAGGAGAACAAGTCTGAATTGAAGATAACAGACAAGCATGTAAAATCTGTCCATAAATTTTGGTCAAAAACATTATCCTAGTAGTTATCAAAATATGAAGAAAAGGCTAGAGTAAGCTATCTAGATAAGTAAATGAACTTAAAATGTTCCTAGTCCCAAAGCAGGTAGAAATCTACAATCGCAAAATGGGAAAATGGCCTATATGCAATACTCGTAATGTGTGTCACATGGACTTTCTGAAATAAAGCTCCTTATCCATGGAAATCGGGTTAACATTGTACAATATTTTGATCAAAACAGCTATTGTTGCTGAACAAGGATTTCCCATAACCAACTACTGTAGTTGAAACAAGCTTCATGCTTCAAATTTTCAATTTGACAAGAGTGAATTGGAGAATTTTCTGTCTTCATACCTAAAATCAAAAAAAGAATACCCCAAGCTGGGCAAAATAATTGTTTGGTGATGAGTCAACAAAAACTTTGAATTTTGTCAAAGACATGGAAATATAGTTTTCTAGATCAAAATCTTTTAATAGATTATAAATACAAGTATTTGACAGCCTTTTTGAATAGGCCAATGAAAGCAGAAACTGTCAGCTGGCAATAGCTATACAGCTAGAAGTCACGGCAAACAATGTCATTATAGACGACGTCGCTCCAGCACAACTTACGCTGTAGGAAAATCCTGTCCAATGACAGGTACATCAATTTTATTCTAAAAATCACCAAAATGGATCTAAAAAAGATGAATGTTTTGACATAACATCAGATCTAGAAAAACAATCTGGAAGTTCACTAAAACAGAAACTTAGGTAAATTACATATATTTTTGAAGTTTCAAAGTCACCTACATAGAAATATGAAGTATGGTCAAGGTTACCAGAGATTCTGAGAAATGATAACAATTTAGCTTAAGTTTTTCTAAATGGAAAGCAGCTTTAATATTTCTCAAAACTGCGATTTTAAGCAATCTGATGTTTTGTCCATCTTTTAAAAACAGGAGATTAATTTAACTCTTAAATATGCAACATAAAGCAAAGTCAAGCATAGATCAATTTCTGTGTCACATATTGTTACAGGAGAAAGAGGATTGTTCCCAGAGACTCGTTCTCAATCTAAACTCTAAATTTTAAATCTAAACCTTAACCATTTAGCCTAGTTGGTATGAATATTTCAAAATGGAAGACATGGTACTCTAACATGAGATGGCCAAACGATTACCGATGGTGAAAGTCCATGCTAAGGATGCTTATATGACCATAAGCATACATTCGAGGCACAGGAAATATCTCCGTTGAATGATATAACATCATTTGGGATCATTACTTTGGACCTTGCTTCCCTCAAACTCGTGAAAATACCATAAGCGCTATTGTGGAATATTTAATTTGGTTTTGAATCTTTTATTGATTCTCTGATGTCATTAACCTCTCGCCTATCTGCTTCTCATGAACATGATTTCAAGTTAGTGAAATATTTGTTTCAAACTGAAGTTTCTGATAAATGGGGAAAAGCCTATTGTTGAATTTTTTTCCATCATAAAATGGAGCTTTGTAGTTTTGTGATCAATACAATTGAGATGAACTTGAAGGCCTTAATAGAAATGATAGTTTCTATCAAAATTCTCGCAAAGACTTTGTAGAGATAGAATCAACCCTAGTCAGTAATCCAGGTAATCTTACTCAAGCTATTGAGACACTTTTGAATTGTACTTTAGTCTGTAATCTGTATATTGAACCTCTACATTTATTGACACTTGCAAAGGTCAAAGCAGTCATACATGTATGCATTGATTGCCAAAATAACTCACAAAAAATGAATATAAAATTTGATAGTGATTGGTCCAAGAAGTCGAAATTCAGAATACTAAACATGTAATAGTGTTATCCGAATCAATAATTACAATAACAACAAAAAGCAGCCTGTTTGGCTAAAGTTCAAGTCTAACGGGTCAGTAGCTTAGGGGAAATAGATTAAACAAAAAAAAAAAAAAAAAAAATTGTTTCATATGAATGAAAGCCATGGATATGGTAGTGAAAGTATTCACAAAAACTTAGACAATGTTATATAAAATTAACAACAAAACCACGATGACATTATGTGAACAAAATGTGGGGAACGAAATGGCTAGAAATGTTATAAGCAATGCAAGATCGTTCAGATACCTTTGCCAGAGATATCATTATTACCGTATAATATCTTCCAAGGAATCCAGAATTGAATGTCAGATCAAACCTAGAGAAATCTCTCGATGCATCAAACTAGAAATAAGATTGCGAGATTTTTCCAAATTGAAAGTTTTAAGGTCCAAATAAATAGATTTTGTCGACCAGTAGAAAATTAATATTTCAGGTGGAAACTAAACCCAGAAACTCTGGAAGTTGACATATTTATTCAGAATAAACAGTCAAATAACTTTCCTCCAATTTCTTAAATCAGCCGATTACTGGTTAAAGTTAGACAGAAAAAATACACAGATAGCTCTCATAGACCCAATGTGGCAAATGGCTCTGCGGTATCTTTAATTGTTGGAAATGTTGGTCTGTATGCCCATCTTATTGCCAAACCATATGAAATTACTCATATCTAATCTTACAGCCTTAATAAAAAAAGCTAGATAACACTAACAGTGTCCAAATTATCATCCTCAAGTTTGAAACTAGAGGTTTCTGCGACAAACTGGCAATGTATGCTCATTAAATCAAGTAAAGAAAGTACTTAAATTACTTCCAAGAACCCCTGGAAAACATGGGTATGCTGCAAGTTCTAATAAACATGACATTATTATTTAGCCTCTGATACAAATTTAGCCAATTTCCTAACTGAAATGTCAAATCAGGTAATGTGCTATTCGTTTCTCGATATTTAAAGTCTGCAAAATCAGCATATAATGGAACCATAGATAGTCATAGGTAAGTCAATACCATGTTCTTGTTGATTTTATGGAAACTTTTACAATGGAAACCCACTAAATAAAATAAATGAAACTTGGGATGTGAATAAGGTTGTACTGTATCTCACATTGAACATTCGGGTCAGATTAGAAATCTCAACTGAAAGTACACAATTAGTCATGTAATGTCTATTTCAAGCATGTATCCCAGGGTCTCTGAAATAATATGCCATTGGATGGTTGTCAAAGACAGAATGTCAACACATAAAATTGGGGTTCCAAGTTGTTGTTTTTTCTTGAGAATCCATTTATAATGATGTTGTACTAGCATTTAGAAAATACCAGAAACATCTGAAACAAACTACTAGTAGTAGAAGGGAATCATAAGAAGGAAGTTTAAATTATCCTTGTCAAATGTCATGCGATGCCATGCGTGTACATATCCAGTAAAACATCTCATGTACATACACATTAGCAGTTTCTATAACAATACAGAAAGGTTTTAATTTTATAGAATAATAATAATAGATAGATATTTATAAATACATTTAAGTACATTTGAAAGACATATTTACCAGGTATGCAGTAACAGTACCATAAACTTGAACATTGGACATACCTACAAACCAAGTCATGGGAAATGCAAATTAACTGAATGTTCAATTTTACAAACTGATAAAGGAAATTAAAGGATTTAGATCAGTTGTTCTGAGGTTATTTTACTTTAAACATGCGATATGAACTCTTAATAAGATGAGTGTAATAGAAATTTTACAATTTCTTAAGAATCTCGCTAATGAAATTATAATTTTATTAACGAGATCTTATTAAGAGTTCATATATTCCCTCCTCGCCCACCCAGTCGTTAATTGTCACTAAAACACAGTTTTGTGTTATTTCAGAACATAACCACAGACAACTAAGTTACATGTATGAAGGATAGAATTAACATTCAACAATCTTCATCAAGTCAAATATGATGTATCTGCATTTTTACACTCTCAAAGTTGTAATGAAAATTTTTAAAGTTTAAATCTCACAAACAGTGATAGATTTATATCCTATACTACACAAGGACTTTATTCTAACTTTGCATCCCACATAGATTTGGGGATAAATTGGACATCTCACAAGCAGTGGATGTAGTTGTTTTCTTTGTCAAAGAATTCACTGAAGTTTACTCATAGTAAGGTGAGTTTTCAATGGCTTCAGATTATTAAGTTGGCATCTAAGCAATAGACCTAGTTATCGGTGCATATGCATGTCCACTCAGCTGTACTACTCAGTTTTAATTTATTCAAATTAATACTACTAACAGCTGGAATCCGATAATAAGGGTTATTATGCGATATGAACTCTTAATAAGATCTCGTTAATAAAATTATAATTTCATTAGCGAGATTCTTAAGAAATTGTAAAAATATCAATGAGTAAAAAGATACAGCAAAAACTTCATTTTCTTGCATCTTCAAACAGAAATCTAGATAGGATATCAGGTTATTAATCTTATATTGAATATGGATCATATAAACAAGATTAGAACCTGCCATACCTTGAGCATCACCCATCACCTTCGTTCGTCTCTGAGGCAATGTTAACCTAGGATCTCTGGCTACTAGTCCAAGAACACAGTTAGGGGGTAGCTCCCCTGCTGTGTTGACACTTTGGCACTTCTCCCATACACCAGGCTCACTCTGTACATGAGGCTCCATGTTTATATCAGAGTCTCCTAAAACTGGCTCTTTATTTACAACAGGTTTGTTTAGATTATCTTCCTTGTTGGTAACATTTTTCTCAAGCGATGCTCCTTTCAATAAATCCTTAACAACAGAGTGAGCCAGAAAACCTGTCAATCTGAGCCTAGTAAACTTATCTTTTAAACTGGTGACTGTAACACCATTTTTATTAGTCCATTTCTGATTTTCATGAACTTTGATGATCCCAGGTGAAACCATTTGATTTGCAGATGTTTCATTCACATCAGAGTTTTTAGAAGATCCTTCCTCTTGGTCAAGGCTATCTGCAGATATATCAAATATGGCCCAAAGTTCTAATAACAGCTGGTTATACATAGCTGGGTGACATGTGATCCAAAGTTGTCTTAACTGAGTAACACCATTGCATTCATTATCAGGTTTACAAGTGGGTTTCCATAGAAATGTGACAGGTCCAATAGCACTATACGGATAGCAGTTCGGTTTGTATAACACCAAGTGTCCTTGTCTCTGACCATACAGTGTGGCTCTAGCAGCAAATGTTAAACCTGAAAAAGTAACAAGATGATGACAATATTGCACTTTTAAAGGTGGAATAAAGAGTATAGTAATTTATGTGGTACATAACAAAATGTCCCAATCACAAAGTATTTAAAAGTGAAACCTGATCTTAATGTTAGCAACTTTATATGTTGTCATGGTAACCAATATTACCCATCATACTCAGATTATTGTCTATAACAGTATCAATTATCTGAACATAACTTTTGAGCAGTCATTTAACATGGAATAAATAATAAAATAATAATAAAAGTGATTAGGCAAGTGTATTCGGCATTCTAAATTGAATAATTATCATTAAAGTTTGAGGTAGAAAATGTAGTTCTAGTTAAATTATCATAGACTATAGTCATCAGACTTCCAAACTATGACTTTTTTCACTGGCATTATGTGGCATATTTACCTGTTTCTGGAGATGAAAGCTGTTGTACCCCTGCTAGAATATCTTCCTCTTTTCCCTTGACCTCTATACATGTGTAGTAAGATAGATCCTGAACCATTGCATGTTTCACGCTGGCTCTATATGCAGCCCTGGTCCCTTTATCAGTGGGCCTTAGAGGGATTTTGTATCCCCATTTCTCAGTCATGTGGAATCTCTTAGCATGCCATATATGCGTCTCCAGCCATCCATGACTGCGCTGTCTCCTATTATACTCCTGAAGGAGATTATGGGGACGTCTACGGTGTCTCCTTGAAGGACGTTTCGTAGTTTTTACCGGGCCCATCTAAGTACAGAAGATTTCAAATTTGTGTGATCATGAGGCAAAAGATGGCATTCTATGTACTGTAGTTAGACTCAATTTGGCTCCCGTTTTAATTTGACAGATTGGTGGATTCAGAAAATCCACCAAATTAAAAATCCGTCAAATTTCAGTTTGGAATTTTTGTCCAATGCACTTCAGAAATTAAATTTTTGAGACCCCTTTTCCAGTCAACATGTCATCAATTCTACATTATTATTCCAAAAGAAATGCAGAAAATATCTTAGCAAATACCTGTCCTAATGACATTAACAAAAATTAAACTTCAGGCCTGAATCCGCCAAATTAAATAGCCACCAATATTTGAAACTGAGCAAATCTGTCAAATTAAGTAGGATCAAAATAAGTACATCTACAGTACATGTAGCATACTCTCAATATTACACAAAACATGAATTTTTTACTTCAAAACCATCAGTTTCTTGAAAACCAAAGAACTTGGAAAATGTCAATGACAGGTCAAATCTATTTAAAATACCTGAGATTGAGCAATGTTCCTCAATCTCCTTGGAATACGCTTAATATTGTGACTCATAGCCCGACGTCTCATGTGTCGTGGTAGCTGCTGAATAATGCGTCGCTTGCCCAGGTTAGTGTCCATAACAACCTTTGTCATTGCTTCTATTTCTTGGCCCCTGGCCTCTGCATACTCCAGGATATTTATTGCTGTAAAATAATTATTCAGATTTTCTTAAAGATCTATCATATAGCAAAATCATAGTAATTTCCCAAGCATTTGAGGGACCAGAATCTGAGAAATCATGAAAGATATTTCGACCAGTTTTGAAGTGGAGTACAGTAAATGTGACTTCAGACTTAATGAGACTTCAAACTACAATTAATATACTGTGCATGTGATTAGCCAACTATACATTACCCAGTACATGTGACCTCACCTGAGACTACATGATAACTGTAGTGTACATATCCAATATTGATTACTATACATGTATAGTTATGTATGTGATTTGAATGAGTCAATGATATATTTACAGTACATGTTACTTGAGACTGCTTTACCTCTTGGAGCAAATGTTTCAGGAGAATCCTCTCTTTTCCTTTTTCCACCTTTGGACACATTATCATCATCATTCAAGCCATCCATCCTGTAGAACCGCAGTTGTGGGTAGATATTGGCTACTAGCTTACTCTCTTCAGGATCACAATTGTAAGGTTAATTCTAAATGTCAACAAGATCAAGTAGATTCAAGTCATCAAGTTATGAGTGATTCTTGTTTGAAAAATAACATGTGACTCAATTGAAGCATGCAGAAAATTTCTCATCATGCACCCTGACCTTAAAGAAGGTATATCAATCAAATTGAAAATATTTAATAAATCAAGAAACAAAATAACTTTTACAAGGTAATTTTCAATATTAATTAGCCCATCCACTTTTACTATTGCCATCTATTTTTCCATCTGCATATCAAAAATGAAATCCTCTAGTCCCTCTACTGAACACCCCTGTAATTTGAGATTGTAGATTTGTGTGACCTAGAGAACTTAGAAAATGAATGTATGAATGAACTGCGAGGTGAATGGCCCATATTATAGGATATCGATGACAACAATAAAATATGTTGTTATTGTCTGACTTAATAACCACAGAAATTCGTCAAGAGTAAAACAGAAGGAGGATTGGCTCCCAGAGTGCAACATCCATATTCTGTCCCATATATAATAATAGGATTTTATTAGTACTGATGCCCTTTTAGGGCCAAACGTACATCCGACATACAATTTACAATAACAGTAAATGTAGCAATAAAGTAAAGAAAATAGGATTCAGGCCCGTAAGACACTTTTCTCCAAGGGGGGTGCGGTTTTTAGCTTACTAAAGAGAATATAAAATTGTCAATTTTTTGCCGCGTAAATCAAATCGCGTAAGTCAGATGGGGGGGGGGGGGGGGGGGCTCAGTTACTCTCTATATTGGTTTGGAATTAACAAATGCAACTTCCAAACGTTCCAATTGTTTTGTGGGGGTCGTGACGAGTGGTCCACTCCCCCTAGAAAATTTTACAGTTTTGAGCTATTTGGTGCTTTCTGGGCACTTTCAAAGTGTAAGTTTCCAAGTAGTACGCCACAACCACGGGAATAAGAGTTGAGTGAATAAAAACCGAGCATTCAGGAGGGTCTGGGGTCCTTCCCCAGGAAAATTTTGAAATTTGGTTGTATTTGGAGCGAATTTGCAACCATCTGGTACGCCTGTGCGTTATGAGTCAATAAGAAAAATGTGAATTTTTTTTCAAATTCTTTTGGGGGTGTCAATGAGGATGAGAGGGTGAAGTGGGGTGGGGGCCAGTAGGGGAGCAAGGAATATTTTCTTTTGTTTTGTGGGGGATCTGAGGTGTGGCTAACTCTCCTAGAAAATTTTACAATTTAAAGATGATATTTGGTGCTTCTGGACACTTTTAAAGTGTATTAGTCAATAAAAACATTGAAAAACAAGCACATCAAATTTTGGGGTTGTCAATGGGGGGGGGGGGGGGGGGTGCCAGAGGGGGAGGTGGGGCTGGGGTGCCAGAGGGGAGCAAGTGTTTGTCCACCATATCAACATTTACAATATCAAGGTGCTATTCGATGAAGTTTTGGGCACTTTAAAAGTGTCTGTGCCTAAAAGTGCCTATTTCCCAAGAAAATTTTACAATTTTAAGGTGCTATTTGGTGCTTTCTGGGCACTTTCAAAGGGGGTGTTAGGGGGGACTGCCAGAGGGGGAGGTGGAGTGGGGATGCCAGAGGGCGAGTAAGTGTTAGTCTTCCAGAATCATTAACTTTATCAAGGAGCTATTTGATGATGTCTGGGCAATTTAAAAGTGTCAATACATAAAACAAATTCAGAACTTTTCCATTGTTTTGTTTGGGGTGTGAGGGGTGGCCCACTCCCCTAGAAGATTTTACAATTTTACGACGCTATTTGGTGCTTTCTGGGCACTTTCAAAGTGTATGAGTCAATTAAAGAATTTGAGAAAATCACAATTTTTTGGGGGGAGGGGGTCAAGGGGGGGGGGGTGCCAGAGGGGGGGGGGGTTATGCAAGTGCAAGATGCAAGAGGGGGAGCAAGTCCCCCAGAAACACTTACTATATCAAGGAGCTATTTGATGATGTCTGGGCACTTTGAAAGTGTCTGAGACAAAACACTAAAATAAATTTAGAACTTTTCCATTGTTTTGTGGGGGGTGTGAGGGGTGGCCAATGCCCCTAGAAAATTTTACAATTTTAAGATGCTATTTGGTGCTTTCTGGGTACTTTCAAAGTGTACGAGTCAATGAAAAAAAATTACAAAAAAAAAAATTTTTCAAAAAAAATTATTTTTTTCAAAAAAATTTTTTCAAATTTATTTTGGGGGGTGCGGTCGCACCCATCGCACCCCCCCATCTGACGGCCCTGGGATTACATTCTATGGGCATGTCGTGATATATATATGGGCATGTCGTGATACAAAAGTTGAATTCAAACAGCCGCAATTTTGTTCACTTCAACATTTGAATCGTGGATTTTGCTCTTATAATGGGCTTTCAACAGAAAGCCAATGGTCTTATTTCCTAACAAAAAATTCCAAAACTTAGAAGAAATGATCGAGATACATGTATTGGCTCAAATCTTTTGAACTGTTTATTTTGAATTTATAGTCGGTTATAATTTCAGAAAATAACAATAGGAATATATATTTCCACATATTAGATCTAGAGTCAATACGTCCAAATCCAAACAGGGGGGTAAACACGAACGGGTTCCAAATAGTGGCAAGCAGATCATTGAATTGAATAATAGTACCTCTACTACCTCTACATAATATTTATAGCCTGAAAGATACAATATAATGATGTATACCAACAATCTTACAATAAAATAATCAATTATGATGATTTAGGTGTTCGGAATTACCCCCATGCTAGTGTTTGGAATTACCCCCACAAACTCTGTGCGTTTAAATAAATAGATGTCAGTAATAAATGATTTAAATTTGGGTTTCTTGATGAGCAGGGGTGACAGGATCAAGTATCATAAGTTAAGGGTATCATATAATGATATACCATCAATCTAATAATTAAAACAATTAAGTTTAAGTTAAGTGTTTGGAATTACCCCCATGCAAGTGTTCGGATTTACCCCCCAAAAAAACTCCTGTTCGGAATTACCCCCCTAAAATACCTTGTAGTAAAAATGGAATAACCCAGATATTTTTTACAATTTTTCGTAATTTTTTCTGCAAATGCATTCTACAGTGGATAATACACATAATATGTATAGAATCATAGCATAGATGTGCAGTACAGCCAAACTAACTACATTTTTTGATGGGGGTGTTTGGAAATAGACGTACTGACTCTAGTGGACAATGATCTTTTCTTTTGATTTCTCACTTTTTAGGTTTTACCATCCATGGTTTTACACAGGCACTTGTATCAACACCTGACATCGATTGGTGGCCCAACCTGGAAGAATAATACCCAGAATAGACTATATAGACCTAAAGAATAGAAGCTCATTCTATTTCAGGTTTGGCAATATATGCCAGGTGTTGATCCTGTGTCAGGTGTGGTTTCACTGACGAAGCGAAGTGGGGTGTAATTTCTTTTCATACAAAAACTAAAATAACCTAACGTAGCTTCTATATACAGCTTACTATTACTTTTCCCTTGGCCTATGAATGAGACAATATCTTATACTCACAATAAACTAGTTTGAATGACACTGGCTACAAGTTAGGGTACAAGTTTAGTCAAAAGTGTTTGCACATTTTTCTACCGGAAGTTGTGTTACTCTTTAAACGAACGTGCTAGATTTATTGCATCATGCTTATATGTTTGAATCTACTGAGCTCTAAACTGGTTTAAGTCGATTAAATTAGACATTTTCATTTCATTTTCAAGATTAGAGTCTTAGTTGAGATAGTTACAGAACTGGCAAACAAAATTATCAAAAATTATAAAATGTCAAATTAGAAACGCATCAACGTTCGTATGTACAGTGGTATAACTCCACTTTAAAACTGGTATTACTCCACCATTGAATTGACGATTCAGGGTTCGCGCATTATACCGAAACCCATTATACCAAGACGCATTATACCGACACCAATTATACAGACGCGCATTGTCACTGGTGATCCACTCGATTACGCTGGTTACCAAAACGAACCGTTTTGGTAACAAAATGTCGGAACGTCGAAGGTACGATTTTTCTTTTTTCCTTATATCACGCGTTGTAGGCGCATTCCCCACGGCTTTTTTTTTCACAAACGTATATCAGTATCATATGTTATAGAAAATGTACATGTTTGCGAAAAAATAGCCCAGAAGACAACAGAATCGTCAATTTAATTACTCACTTAAGTTACATAAACGGTTTTTCGAAAAACGGTTAAGATCTGCACTTTTAACCCAAACCGTTTATGTAACTTAAGTGACGAATTAAATCGACGATTCTGTTGTCTTCTGAGCTATTTTTTCGCAAACATGTACATTTTCTATAACATATGATACTGACATACGTTTGTGAGAAAAAACGTCGTGGGGATTCTGCCTACAACGCGTGATATAAGGAAAAAAGAAAAATCGTACCTTCGACGTTCCGACATTTTGTTACCAAAACGGTTCGTTTTGGTAACCAGCGTAATCGAGTGGATCACAAGTGATTGTACCGAAAGGCTATACTGAATGCCATAATCACTGTTCCACAACTAGCTACTTTAACGGATCGTAAATGTAAAAAAAACGGTTACGAATTTTTTTGCTTTCTCGATTTAAACCTACTAAGAAGTCAAGTTGCAGATTATAATTTGACCCGGAGCAAGACAATATACCCAAGTTTTAATACGTTTCTTCGTTTTGGAATTTGTTTTCATCTGTGTTAGCCAACATTAACATGGAGTGGTTAGAGGAACAAGCCATTGCAACAGCGCCCCCAGGTTGTTCCCCATCATTGTACAAAAGGTATGTAGATGATGTACTAGTAATTGTTGACAATGACCGCGTTGATGAATGGACAAATCATATGAATTCTATATAGACGTTGTGAAGTTCACAGTAGAAAAAGAATCAGAGGAAAAACTGGCTTTCTTAGACACGCAACCTTATAGGAATTCAGATGGTTCAATAAGATGTACTGTATACACATAAAACCTAGCCACACAGATCAGTATTTAAACTTTCAATCACACCATCCCCTTGAACACAAAATGTCGGTAATTTCTACGTTAATAGGAAGAGCAGATTCGATTTACAGTGAACAGGAGGACAAAGTAGAAGAAACTTCAAATGTTAAAATAGCATTAGAAAGATGGAGATATCTGACAAAATATGGATAGCCTAAAATATAAATTTTGTGTTTTTGAACATGCGGAAATATCTTGAACACTTTGAAACTGAAATTCCTTAAAGGAATATTCCTTGCCAGACCCTTTATCTCTTGATATGGTAGCTATAATCATATATATAGTTTCCATATTTAGCAAAACATGGGGAAATGTTTTAATATGGTCAATATTGATCATTCAAAAATCTAGTGCTTATTTCCAGTGAGCTGCCATCTTTTAAGATTTCTTGCAGGAAGTGATGTCATCAACTCTCAACTTCTATAACCTTGCCCATAACAGTATAGGAAAGTAGCACAAAATCACTTCAAGACAAGTGATCATTACTTTCTGTGCAAAAATATTTTCAGGGCTTGTCAACTTAGAATAAAAGAAGAGATTTTCAGAAGGACTAAATAAGATACAAAGTTGAAAAAGAATATTTAGCTGGTTTTGTAATTCCTAATAGCTCCTCACCTTATGCTATATGCAAAGTTGACCTGTGTGAAATTTTAATAATATGGATAGCCTATAAATTTTGTGTTTTTGAACATGCGGAGATATCTTGAACACTTTGAAACTGAAGTACAGTTCCTTAATAGGTCGTTCAGTTTTCTTGTTTTTGTTCTACACAACACTTGTGTTTAATAGCCACGCGTAATTATTAATATGCGTAATCAGATTATTTCAAGCGTCGAAATAGCTTATTTTCCTCGACGTATCTACACAAACCTATTCACTCACCGTTATATTGAGTGATCTATGCGTCAATAATACTAAAAAATTCTCCATCTAAAATGTCACTCGACTTTTTTGTGATTATGAGTCAAAGAAAGCATTCTTGAGTTTCAAATTGACTTCTGTGGTAACTTGAAACCATCTTCTAATTTATTCCACTTACCTTTTATTGTTTCTCCAAATATATTCTTTGAAAATCGGATTTTAAGGGTGTTAATCAGGGTAATTCTGTGCCATTTTATGAAAAATCTTGTTGCTATCTAGAAACGAGCAATTGTGATCTTGTTGTTACCTAGGAACGAGCAACTGTGATGTCACGTCACACTCATGTTAATTCTGGAATCACATGGCAGCCATTTTGGAAATTTCAAAAAAGTTCCCAATTAAAAAGGCTAAATGCTGCTTACAAATTGGAAACTATGGCAGAATCAACAAAGGGTTTGTGAAATAATTAGGATATGGTTTCAAAATTATGCACATGACAATATATGACTACTAAATGCAGGCAGGGACTTTTAATTGCCAAAAAGTCGAGTGACATTTTAGATGGAGAAATTTTTAGTTATTGTTTTCACTCATCGGCTTTAGTGGCCCGCGATACCTTTTATTTCATTCATTTGAGACGCAATTAATATATTGGCAACAAATTAAATGTTCTAAATGATTCTTCTTCATTTTGGAATGTTTCTCCTACCCGATATTCAAAGATGTGTCTTAAATATTATACTTTACATTGATCACGATTCTTGTACGTTCTGTCTTTACGCATGGCGTAGAATAATGGAAATAACGTCACAACGCATGCGCGTAAATCGACATTTCATGGTCCAAAGATTTCAATGGAGAGCAGTCTTCATCAAAATTTAAAATCTTAATAACTTTTTAGCAAATAATTTATTTTCTTAGGATTCAACAGATCCTTGTTAGACCCAACGAAGTGTTCATTTTGATATATAAAACAGCAAAATCCATCCACAGATCTTTCGGCCTTTTAATGATTTAATTTTCGGGATATTTTGCTAAAATCCCACATTGGCCGCCATTATAGACTTTGAAAAAAACCCAAATCCTCATCATTTCATATCATTCGTTAAGTGATCTAAACAACTCCAATCGCCTAGGATTCAACGGATTCTAAGAGATCAAAGCTAATACAATATGTTGACAACCCCCGTTTCAATATTTGCCGCATAATCTTTCGGCCTTTTAGGTTATAAATTTGTCAATATTTTGATTTTCGACCATTAATGACGTACTTGGATCCAAGATTCATTGTCCCGGGATTCATGACGCTATTTCCATTATTCTACGCCATGACTACCGTTCACATTTGCAAGAGTTGTTGATTGCATTGCCTTGATCGTTGGTCGAACTTCAATTCCAACTAAATCCGATTAATCAATTAAGAAATGTAATATCACTGTTTATCCAAGCAAATAATTGTAACAACTACATTATTTTTAAGCAGTTTTGACACCTAAGTAGGGTAGCCTAGTGGCGTAGACTGAGGCTACTTTGCGGTTGAACGTCGTGGGATACGGAGGTCCCGCGTTCGAGCCCCAGGTACGGAGTTGATGATCATTGTCACTACGGACACCCGGTCCGAAGGTCCAACCGTTTACCGGCCCTTGGCATGGGTTGGTTCTCTGGCCGCTCTTGCCGGAGACAGATTGTGAGACTGTGGTTGGTTCCTCCACTAACGTGCTTTAGTAAACTCCGGGAGTCATATAGTATGGTAGCGGGCCCCCACCAAGGGCAGTAGTGGAACGACGCGAATCGGTCCCAGTATGGTTGCCTTGCAACTGAAGAGACTCGAGGAAATCATGCCATTCGCAGTGACCCAGAAAAGACTTTTGCTTCTTAATTTGACGTTTTAGTTCATTTATTTACATACTTTATTCATATTACTTTCCAGGCAGTTATAATTTTTATTGGTCAAATGAATGAACGAGACATCTAGATACTATTAAATACATCTAGATAGTATCATAATTCGATTTGTCGGACTTGAAAACACAACACACACATAGCTGCAATATCCGTAGCATTTGGCACAGTCGATTCCCACGCTCTATCATTTTGCGCGGTCATCATAAGATAAGGAGGTACGGTTGATTAGACCATGGGCTTTCAAGTTGAGTCAAGAAATTGGGATGGATACTTTGAGAAATGAGGTAGCAACAAAAGGAAACACCGGAAATAATCCAGATATAATCCAGAAATGACCACACCATTGTTTTCGTTAGTTATGGCAAGACCCCGGAGGAAAAACAGCAATCGTGGGTAGCTTAATTTTTGTACCAATTAGAGCCATGCCTTTAACTCAACCAAGACACATGGGGCAAAGTCCCTCTGGGTCCCAATTCAATTGAGAATCAATTCAAATCAAAATCAAATTGGTCAGATGACCTACTAAGCCATGGGCTTTCAATTAGAAATATATGTATTCAATGTTTCAAATTAATGAAACTGAAATATTTGGCAAAATAATTGATATTTCGTTTGTGGGAATGAAAACTGATGATAGAAATAATATCAGTAGCCAAAAACTGTATTTATGAACCGATTTTCAGAGAATGGGGATGAATGCTATGCATTGGTGTTAATTATCGCTTATTAAAAGGTACATGTGATTCTAAAAATAGAATAGTTATAAATATATCACGATTTTTTAACAAAAAGTTCAAAAACTAATTTTTGATATTGAAAAAATGTATCACATTCACATAGCATATTTTGATAACATTGGGTAAGACTACAATATAAGCCAATTTGATTTAAACTATATGTATATATGCAAATATGACCGAAAATTTTATTTTGCTCATTGTTAATTACAAATTATGATATCATGTAATTTCACTGTACAAACATGTGTAAAAAGTTTTTAAAATAAGTTTTGAACCACTGCGGTATAGGACATCCCTAGCCTTATCTTCCGTGAATACAAATCCATCACGAATGGCTTGATATTATGACGTGAATTTTTAAATTGATTAAAATCAGGATCATTTTTTTTATTTATAAATGTCAACATGTCCTGAGCCAATCGAATGTCGTATGACATTGTCATGTTATGGCTATCTGTCCCCTGATCTGCTAAAATTGTCGCTCTGCACAGTCCACGAAACAACTAAATATTGTCACCTGTCCTGTCCTGTATGAGGACAATTGTAATTGTTTGATTTGAGTTACTCTCTATTTGAATGCTACTATCGAAGACATCAGCAATGCAACTACGAATTTCGCACTGTACGAGTTCTTCTTTGACGCACTCGTTGGACGTACTTTAGCGTTTGGATTACCATTGGTTGGATCGAAACTCATCACCATGCAGTTGGAAGAGTCCGTCGAATATGTGAATGCGTGTCCCCACATCTTGTTACAGAGACCCTCGGCGTTTCCGTACATATCTGCAAAAGTCTTGCATGTAGAGTCCGCTGGACAGTGGTTCTCGCCTTTGGTGTAATCAAAGTCCTCCATCCAATTTTCAACGCAAGTCATGTCATCTTTGCATGCATTGAACCAATCATCACAGTACGACTTACACACGGGGACTTTGGTGATGCGACCGTCCTTTGGCCCATCGTGTCGGAATTTTCGCAAGCCTGGTTCACATTGATAGAAGCATTCTTCGTCTTTTATAAAGGTTTCGCATGCCTGGGATAGGTTTCCACACCTATCCCAATGAAAGTCGTATAGGTTCTTAGCTTTATGGGTAAGTAGCTCCTGTGTCATATTTGCTAAACAGCATGCATTGTCTTTCCAGGAGAGACATTCCACGTAATCAGGGCCTTCGGGACCGGAGAACTTTTTATGCCAAGGTCCGTCTAAACACTGTATACTCTCTTGTCCATAAACTCCGACGATAACAAAACTGAGACAACAAAGTACTTTCAAAAGATCCATTTTGAAATTGTTCGTCTTTTTAGATGTTCCGAGTTACTATCAAACGAATATATCGTAGTCCGGAATACAGTCGTGATTCTAAGAATACACTTGAAATCAGTTTCTATCCAGTATCTACAGAGAATAGTCAGATATCGCCTGTTTAGCAAGTTGTTTAGAGGACACCCGATACAAGGAAGCCTAAATATGAGGAGTGACTCATCCAGCTTATATAAAAATAAGTTTACTTTAGATAAGTTAATATGTATTTAAATTAAGTGTTCACCTTTTAGGTATCATTTTAAACCATTAAAATGCCAAAATGCTCTCATTGTCATTTGATAACAAATGTAAAATATAAGCTTAAAATAATTAAAATACTGATACATTTCTTGAAGTGGTAGAAACTTATCTTTAAGAGTTCAGATGTTTTGTTTACACGACTAAGAAACACCTAACTGACACCGGAATAGCCTGACAACTGTAAAGTTAGATACCGTTGTCACAAATGGCGGACATAACCGTCGCTTCAACTATTTAATCACTTGGTCCTCATTTCATGGAATTTTATCGTCGCTAATTCTATGAATGTATTAAGCTCTTGTGATTATGTTTCATATGAAATCCCAATTTCGATCAAATAGGGTCGTGAATCGCTATAATATAGCGTCTTCGATATCGTCAATGACAACGGAATCTGAATTTGAGTAATTAAAAAAAAACGGCATATGGTAATACAGTGTCCGTTGTCCCGTATCTCATTTTGATCGGTTAAATTAAAGACTTTATTTCGATGGTAGAACATTATTAACTGTACAATGAGTATTAAGACACTTTGATTGATTGTTGTTCCAAAGGAATTTAGTCTAGGTGCTCTATTAAACTTCATGAAAATCTAATTGAAGTGACGGTTATGTCCGCCATTTGTGACAACGGTATCTGACTTTACCGTTGTCAGGCTATTCCGGTGTGAACTTTGCTATACATAGTATCAATAACAATAGCAAGATTGTTGGCTCAGCAAACGAGAGGTGTTCAAAGTTCATATAAAAATAAATGACTCAAACCTAAGCTATTCGCGAATGCAACTAACGCCTGACGGCTACCGGATTAACATACTATTTTATGGGTAACTCATTTAATACCTGCCGCTATTCCATTCATATTTAAATGAGTTGGCCATGAAATAGCCGGTTAATCCGGTAGCCGGCAGGCATTGGTTGCATTCGCGAATACAAGGTTCCAAGATACTATTTGGACTGTGATGGTTTCGGCTTTGACGATTTGGCCTGCTTATCGAGGCCAAGAGCGATCCAGAACTTCTCAAATGTTGTTGAAAGCACGTCCATTTAAAAATTATAATTTTTCTCTCATAAAACTAGCCATATTTTCAATAGTTTGAAGATCTCTTGGAAGTCAATGATATATAACTCAAAATGTCGGAAATATGATGAATTTTGTGAAAAGGTATCAATATTCTTAAACATGTTCTTCAGTTTTGTTATTCCAAAACAGTTTTCTTCTATATGCAACCTTTATTTTTTTATAAATAATAAAGGTTGCGTCTAGAAGAAAACTGTTTTTGCGGTATCAATATTTCAACAAACTGTCCTGCTGTCAAGATGATTTGAGAAGTTCTAGATCGTTTTGATGTGAAATGTAGCCACGAACTAATAAAAGAGACACATTTGTGAAGCATGGTGGATGTTTCTATGAGAGCCATCTGCTTTCAAAAGATTAAATTAATGAATGCTGCCCCAAATATTCACCAAGAACAACACGTCGTACACATTCCGTCTTGAGAAAGGGATGTGATGTAATATTGGCCAGATCTACACGCATGATATCATATTTGAAATTCATTCAAATTAAATGCATCATTTAGTTCTTGAAATGAAAATGTTTTAAAATTATTGTTCCCCCTAAGAATAAGTCATGCTATCTATCGATTTTAGCTCATTTTAGTCATCAAAATATTCAATACCTTTAAAGTTCCTGGAGCAATCCACTTTTCTTTTAAAGAAAAAAAACGTCTCAAAATCATCCAGGCTATATCCCTAATAGCAAACTCCCTGTCACTTTTGGTGTTTTAAGAATATGATGTGGTACTTTTATATTAGATTTTTAGAGAGAAAGAATTGCCAAAACTGTAAAAAAAAGTCTAGGCAGCCATAGAATGTACAAACCCACACACTAAAAGTGACACTTGCCACAACTATATTGTGAGTAAAAGGCTTGCAAGTGAATATATTGAAAATGTCCACCATAAATAAATGACTGGGCCAATATTTTATGTTACATTGATAATTAGAAATTGGAAACAAGTTCAATTTCAGACTCCAGATGACAGATTTGTTTTTAGTTGATAGATTAGATTTCATCTGGAGTCTAATAATTTTACACCAATAGTGCTACTAATCAACCTTAATATTATATATAAACACATTGTAAAGAAACAAAATGTTCATTTTTTAAAATAAATAAATGTATTATACTTTTTCAAAGCATATACATGTTACTCATTACACCCACTAGTTTCACATTGACTAGTCGTTCCCTCCTCATCGTCTTCCCAAATATCAATATATGTTGCACACTGACAAAATAGAGTTCATTTTGCCCTGAAAAATCTCCATTTTAGAACATAGAATTCCACTCTCTCAGTGTCTAATTAAACTTCAGTATAATATAACAACAATTATATATATAGAAAAGGGTTCATTGACTTTAACATGTCTAGACACTAAATCTAAAAAACATTGTTAGGAAACCACCTGCTAAACCTGACTGTCAAGTTCTATTTAGGTCACTTAATAGCCATATCTTAGGTCATATTTGATACATATATTTAAAGAGGCTCTATGCCATAGGATAGCACAATCAAGACCCCCCTGGACTTTTTTTGCATATTGAGTTTCACCACATATCTACCCATCTACTTACCAAAGAAGAAGTCCCAAATCCCCCTCAATCAGTGTTAATTTTGCGAAGAAATTAATTCAATCTGAAGTTTGAATATACCGGGAAAGTCCTCCTGTTATCTGACTGGTCGTTGAATTTGTTTATCATAAACCTGATTGGCTGCCTAATCCAAGGCGCTTGTGGGCGCTTGTGTGACTCAATGGGGATTCCCCTGGCTAGCCGAGGAATCGATTGTGTTCAATTCTGAGTTTGGTTGTTCTGTTGATTATTTCCGATATTTCGGCAATAATATACCCAAAAGTTATTCTCAAGATATATTCATGGTATGTGAGATATTATATGAGCAATAACAATAGGACATAATTGATTGTCTGGGGGAGAAACCTATGGCATAATGCATCTTTAAACAATGGCACTTTGATATCAGATGTACAAACAATTTGATTTTATCTAGTAACTATCATTTTTGTGTTTACTCATAGCTTTTTACTGGAGTTTATCACTAATAGCTACTATATTCTAGTATATATAGCTTTGAAATCTTGCTGAAGTCAAAAATCTTTAAAAGTTGACCTATTCAATTTTAAGTTTAAACCACAATCCACACATCTACAACATGTTCAAGGCCATCTAAATTTTATGTCAAAATAGTTCTACAGCAATCCATCTTCAAGAAATCAACTTTAAACTTCTAACTTCATGAGTTTTTTCTAATTGTAATTGCTCAATAGCACTAAGTACAATGTGACTAGGAACAATTTGGTTTAAGTACAATAAATTATGATGGCCAGTATCTAAGCATGGAGATCCAAAAATAACATATTGCAATATATGTATGGCTAATCAGTCTGTATGTATAACAAGACCATGAGATCTGTGTAATATCGCATAGTTCAATTACTCACCCCGGAATAGCCTGACAACAGTAAAGTCAGATACCATTGTCACAAATGGCGGACGTAACCGTCGCTTCAATTAAATTTTCATGAACTGTATGTTTAATTGAGCACCTAGACTAAATTCCTTTGGAACAAGAATCAATCAAAGTGTCTTAATACTCATTGTACAGTTAATAATGTTACCATATTCCGTTGTCTTTCTAAATTACTCAAATTCGGATTCCCTTATCATTGATGATATAGAAGACGCTATATTGTGGCGATTCACAACCCAATTTGATCGAAAATGGGATTTCATATTATACATTATCACAAGAGCTTTTAAGCTTAAAATACATGCAATTATTTGCGCAAAGAATTAGCGACGATAAAATCCCATGAAATGAGGACCAAGTGATTAAACAGTTGAAGCGACGGTTATGTCCGCCATTTGTGACAACAGTATCTGACTTAACCGTTGTCAGGCTATTCCGGTGTGTTACTGTTATATTACCAACAAGTATATGCTCTTTCCCCTTGAAAAACTCCTCGAAAGACAGGATTGACAATAACTGTACCAGTGTTCTTTTGATTTTGAAGAGGAGATCACAACACACAATAACACTTTCAAGTGCAGTCAACACTTAACATGAAGCCTGATCATATCCCAAAACACTTGACCCTTTTGTATAGTAAGTGACATCATCATCAAAAAATAACTACTTCATGTAATATCACATTGCTATATGTATACAGGGGTTGAGCTAAGGTTCTGAGAGCAGCTGGTCAAAATGGTCCATATCAAAAGTGATTTGGCAAATGACCAGTGGAACAGCCTTTAGCTCAAGTCCTGTATGTATATCAACATACACTGATAACTCGTTCCCTCCGATATGTTATACATTTTCATTCATAATGCACTCAAAAATTCAATAACAAATTTCCATTCAATATCTCGTCCAATATACTATTTTATTCCAATTTGACAAGTAGAGCATGTAGAGCTATGGCACCCTCCTCCTTTGTACTCCACTCAACCTCATTGTTTGTGAATCTAGGGTCTATCTGCTGGTGCAAGCCTAGTGTCTGTGGGCCTGTCTTATATGAACCAGGCTTGATATAAGCTTGAAAAGCAAGGGTAGCACAGTAGGACTTCCTTGTGCAAATGTCTCTATGTCTGGAAGGAGAAAAGTATGTTGAGTTGATTCAATGCTATGGTCTCAAACTGTGATAAGCCTTTGCATAATACACTTCTATTTCAAAATTATTTCAACTTGAAAAAGTCTGTTTTACCCTGGGGACTTCTATCCCCTTAATAAATGTTTCAGCTGACAATCAATGCTATAAATTATGTGTCAAGTATATAGCTAGCAGTGGAGTCTCATAAATAACAGAGCTTTTCAAAAATGACCTCTTAATATGCTTTCTGAAAGGAAAAACATGTTTGACAACAAAACTTACACTTTTTGAAGTTTACTGCATACAGGCCTTAGAATGCTAATCAAATATTGGGTTGTAAAACTTGTAGAATAACTTACTCATATTGTGGTGCAAATGTTGAAGAGCATCCATATCTTACAGAGGGAGAGAGACAGATGGGTGACACATCACATTCTTCTGGCTTTCTACTGCCACTTGTACTGAGCAGTGAGAATGATTCTGGCTCACTTAGACCTGCAATAAACCAATATATACTTGTACTGAGCAGTGAGAATGATTCTGGCTCACTTAGACCTGCAATAAACCAATATATACTTGTACTGAGCAGTGAGAATGATTCTGGCTCACTTAGACCTGCAATAAACCAATATATACTTGTACTGAGCAGTGAGAATGATTCTGGCTCACTTAGACCTGCAATAAACCAATATATACTTGTACTGAGCAGTGAGAATGATTCTGGCTCACTTAGACCTGCAATAAACCAATATATAACTGTACTGAGCAGTGAAAATGATTCTGGCTCACTTAAACCTGCAATAAACCCAAAATTTTGTTATCTCAAATATATGTTGTTGCTAGTTACAAAAATATTACGTTCTGACAACATTTTTGGGACATTATGACAAAATCTTCATTACATTTTGTCAGCATTCTCCATGATCACTATAGAGCATATTGAGTGATGTGATATTCACTAGCAAGTTCACTAGCATATTAAACAAGACACACAGTGATAAATATCGCACTTTGAAGAGCAAACTGGCCACCATGCAATTTACCCAGCATGGCCAAAACCTAATCAGACCTTGGCACTAGTCTGCTCTTGCATCTGTAAACATTTCAAGTTGACAAGGTTAGCGGTTTTCCTGACAAGAATTTATTTGTAGTCTTGAACTTTGGAAAATTTAGATAACATTGTTTGTGACCTAATTTGATGACCTTCGACCTTGAAAATTTCACTTTTTCAGACCTCAGTAGGTGTTTTGTAATTAAGCTGACCTAAATTTAAATCCAAAATATCAATTTAGAAAATCAACTTTTTGACCTTTTCAAGGTCACTGAAGGTGAACGAAAGGTCAAATCTGAAATCTAAGGTCAGATTTGAACTTCTGAGAACTTGTAGATGTTTTTAAAAAAAAAATTTGGTCAATTTGGAGCAAGTTGAAAAATTCAAAATGGCCGCCAAATTGAAAAATACGAATTGGCCACCATGTAATTCAGCTAGCATACCAAAACCTAATCAGATCTTGGCAATAGTCTGTTCTTGCATCTGTAAAAATTTCAAGTTGAACGGATAAGTGGTTTTCCTGGAATTTTGATGACAAGATTTGTTGAAAAATTCAAAATGGCCGCCACGTAGTTTACCCAGCATGCTCTTAACCTAATCAGATCTTGGTACTAGTCTGCTCTTGCATCTGTAAAAATTTCAAGTTGAACAGGTAAGCAGTTATCCTGGAAATTTGATGACAAGATTTGGTTTACGTCCCGCCCGCCCGCCCGCCCAACAGCACAAGACGACGACAATATAGCACTTTTTCAAAGTGCGATAATAATGTACATATTAATAAGTACATATGTTCTGTTTACTAAAGTTTAACTAGACAACAGCAATGCAAAAGCATAGCAAATCCCATCGAACAGCCATGGCTGGTATTTTTACAAACAAAATAGCAGCCATTTTTCAAAATGGCCGACTTCTACCAAAAGTGTCATTAAACAGGGTGCCATGCTTATAGTATTCAATTACCAAATATGAACAGAATCGTTCCACTACTTTTCGAGTTATAGTAAAATACGTTAAAATTCTACCAAAAGTGTCATTAGGCAGTGTGCCATGCTTATAATATTCACATACCAAATATGAACAAAATCGATCCACTACTTTTGGAGTTACAGCAAAAAATTGGATGGATGTATGTACGTACGGACGGAGGCGTTCCCTATATCCCTCCGAACTTCGTTCGATGGGATAATAATTAGTATGTAACTGCAACACAACACAACAAACTGAGTTTAACATTAAAGTACTTCAGATGGGTTAAATGTTAAATTTTAAACAAGAAGAGGAGGTATTTTACCTGGCATTATAAGTTCTCCACTATCAAGTATACGCCTAACTTTATCTATGTGCGTCCCATGATATGCCAGGTGCCACTTCTCTTGTACATTCAAGCTTTGCGCTTTTGGCCTCAATCTATAATAGAATGATGTAAATTCATTCTAATGACATAATGATTGTATAAATCAAGGTTGAACAAAATTTATTACAATACAAAAAGAGACAAAGTTACTTTGATGCTGAACCTAACAGTCACAAGGTACCGGTAACTTTTATGAATGCTTAACTGATTGTGTAGTATCACCAATCAGTCTTATATTTTCGCCAGAACGAAGTGTTGACCTAGAGTAATCACATGGAATGAGTTGGGCCAGTGGGACCAGTTAAATATCATATCAGATGAAAAGCTATTAAAAATGGGCATCAATGAAAACAAAATTTTCTATGGCTAACTTCATCTCTTCAATAGAACACGAACAAATATTTCATTGCATTGTACAAACTTACTTTAACGTGAATTTACACCAGCCGTATGGAGTAGCAAACTCTTTAGGTGGGTCCCCTATCTTCATATATGGGTCATCGTGTCTTATTTTATGGCAAGTATCGCAATAGCAGATGGCCTGGTCAGCTATGAAGTACTCATCTGGAATAAAAGCACAATGTAATACAATACAAAACATGGACTATTTTAAAAATATATGCATATATGATCAAGATGAAAGAAAAAGATAACATACTGTACTCCCTGTATTTTTCGCGTGCGATTTAGTTTCGCGCTTTTCGCAATTGTGGTAAAATCGTGAAAATTAATCTTCGTGAAATTGTCTATTAATTATTAGTGTTTTTAGGTGATAAATGCAATGCTAAGTAACAATGTCTGTTACAGTGGCTTATTTGATCAAATAAACTAAAAACGAATGCAAAAAGTAATTGCAAAAATAATTGGGTCTCAGCAGACTGCCTATATAAATAATCGTTTTATTGGAAATAGTTGTCGACTTACGCTTGATATTTATGAATATGCTGAAAATTATGAAAAAGAGGGCGCTATTTTATTCATTGATTTTAAAAAATCTTTTGATAGTATCGAGTGGAATTTCATCTTTGAAACATTCAAAAAATTCAATTTTCCTGAACAGTTTATTAAGTGGATAAAAATACTCTATGTAAAACCAATGGTAACTATAAAACAAAATGGATGGTTTTCTGAAAATATACACATGCAAAGATCCTGTCGGCAAGGCTGTCCAGTATCTGCTTTGGCATTTATTATGTGCACAGAGGTCCTTGCACTTAAAATAAAACAGAATATTAACATAAAAGGCATTGAAATAAACAATAATGAATATAAACTCTCTCAATATGCAGATGATGCTAATTTATTTTTAAAAGACAAAGATTCAATATTGCAAGCAATTCAAACGATTCAATCATTCTCTTATGTTTCTGGATTAGAACTAAATATAGACAAAACTGAAGGAATTTGGTTAGGTAGAAGTAAAGTGAATGAAAATAACTTTGCAAATATAAAATTTAGCAATGAGCCGGTAAAAACTCTTGGCATTTTTATTGGACATAATAAAGACAAATGTTATGAGCTAAATTGGCTGAACAGGATAACAAAATTAGAGAAAGTATTAGATTCTTGGAAAAAGAGGAATTTAACATTAATTGGAAAAATAACAGTGATAAAATCAATCGCCCTTCCAAAATTGATTTATGCAGCATCAATACTTCAATATGATAATGAAATTGTAAAAAGAGTTAATACAATAATTTATAAATTCCTTTGGGATGGAAAAGATAAAATAAGGCGAACTATTATTATAAATTCATTAGAAAAAGGTGGACTTAACATGATAGACTTTGAATCTCAATTGCATGCTCTAAAAGCTGCTTGGATTCCAAGGTTATATGATAAAAAACAAATGATGAATAAAATACCATATCTCTATTTTGATAATATTGTAAATGATTTTGATGTATTATTGAAAATGAATAGTTTTGATTTGCAATACTTTCAGAAAATACCAATTTTTTATCAGCAAGTATTATGTGCTCATGCCAAATGTAAAGACAAAAAAAATCTTGAAAATATGAAAACATGTGATATCCTGCAAGAGACTATATGGGGTAATAGTTTGTTTACTGTAAACAAAAAAACTCTGTATTTTAGAAATTGGATTGAAAGTGGTATTGTCTATGTAAAGGATCTAATAATAGAGGATACATTTAATGATATCAACCACATTTTTCAAAAGTTACAGGAAAAACAAAATTGGATTTCTGAATTTTATCAAGTTAACTCAAGTATGAATATTGCAAGAGGTTTTATTGATGTCAATAAAGCAAAATACACAAACATTCCAAATTACAGATTGAAAGCAAATAATGTTTTATTCCAAATTAGAGATCAAAAATCAAAATTCTTTTATGAAATTTTGAAAAATAAGCAATCTGAAAAATGGTTCATGAAAAAGAAATGGGAACGTGAATTTTGCTTCTTAAATAATGAAACCTTCGATGAAATAAATTGGGAAAACCTTTTTTTTACAAAGATAAAATGTAAAGAAAAGAAGATAGCTAATTTCAACTTTAAGATTATAAACAACATCCTTCCTAGTCTAAATGACTTACATTTATATGGAAAAAGTGAAACATATAATTGCAGTTTGTGCGGAGAAGTATGTACATTAAAACATTTGCTTTTCACATGTACACTCTCCCAAAATGTTTGGAAATATATCTTTAATATATCAGGTTTAAAAATAACATATAGAAAGTTGATAATAGGCTATAATGGAAATGACAACCAGACTGCATTTTTGAACTATTTTATTAGTATTGTAACATTTGTGATCTATAAAGCATACATCCAAGAATTAAATAATGGAATAAAACGGAATTTTGAAGGAATTGTTAAAACTCTAAAATTCGAAATTTATGTACGCAAAAATGTATTTTTTAAAAACAAATGGAATATGATAAGATTGTAAGTGATTTATTACTACTGTATCTGTACTTACTTTAAAAAATTGAAATAAACTATATTGAAAATAAAAAAATAAAAAAAAAATAAACTAAAAAATTATGATGTACGAGAGGTTATGATGCAGCGTGTCATTGACCAAGATGACATAGTAGAATAAGAAGGTGTACTTAGTGAAATTCGCGAAATTTAATAGATTTATATATTTGTATAATATAGTATATACTGTCTAAATTATGCTACTTATAAGGAGAACCATTGTTATACACTGTACCAGGTAGGCCGAGAGATTGTTTCAGTCGGGTACACAGGTTCTTGTAATCACAGTTCTTTACACAGGCAGGCTCAAGCTTCTGCCAAAGCTTTTCTTTCATTCCTGCAAGAAGCATAACAAAAGAAACATTTACTATCAAAGTATTGTAGGACAATAGACAAGGGGAAGTCGACTCCTGATACCACGAAAATAAGAAAACATAATGCTAAGTGGGACTGTCTCCAAATAAACTAATTAATGCTTGCTATACAAGTGCTTACAAGACTTTGTATTTTTCTTTTGTGTGTTTTATAATCCTTATGTGAATCTGTTTTTTTGCATTTAAAATAAAAAATAAAAATAAAATAAAATAAAACAAGTGGAAGCTTTTGTGTTTCCATTTGACTTCAGGAAATAATCAAAGAGCTTAAAATGGTAACTATATATTAAATGAAAATAATTCATCAAGTTTGACATGGTATTAACATGGAAAATGTCACCACCTGCCATTTGTTACAGACAAAGACCGCTGTCTACAAAAAAGTTGGAGACAACAATATAACAATATATGGCACTTCTGTTGGTGACATAAAAATGAAATACGAAACATGTCATCCAACAGAAAAGGAGTATAACTGAGAAATGGATGATTGTGTTGTTGATTTATGACAAAGCCGCAAGAATGATGCAAATGTGTGTTGCTCACAGATGATACTAACCATCTTCTATAAAAACTTTCTCCTTCTGGTCACTGTGTTGAGATTCTAGCCTACTGGAGTCATCAACTACAGTCACCTACATGAACAAATATCATAATTTAGTTAATGAATGATGTGGATTAATGTAAGGAAATAAACAGATATTCAGGGTGACGAATAAAACATTCTTGTACTTTTTCTATTTAGGTACAGTAAAACGTGTCACATCAAATATTTGTATTCTTTATTAATTCTTTTCTGATAAAATATCACAGTTTTGGTTTAGTTTAATACCAGATTTAAACTGTCAAACAAAACTGAGACTTCTGCACTGTACCTGTTTACATTTCCCATAGAGGTCAACAATGGCGTAGCATTTGTGTGGAATATCTATAGCAGCTATCCCTTGGTCAACTCCATTTACATATAGATGGAGTGTATTGTCAGGCTCTATCTGTACTCCAACCTTATGACCAACACTGAGGTTGGATAGACCAGGCCCATAATTCTCCTTCACCTAAAATAATATAGATAGCTGTAAAGAATACACATTTACAATGTACCACATTTTAATTGACTTATAACTATCATTAATCATGGATTTTGAGCACATCATGATATACTCCATTAGTCTATTATTGCTTTTATAATTACTATCCTTTAGAGCTCTCTATAAAATATCATGGAGATATAATAGCCTGAGCGTCCCTAACATGTATAAGTTGTACATTACTACTATAGATAACCGTGTTCTGAGTCATGGTTAGCATAATTGTAAGCAGCGTTCAGAAAATATGGCTCTCAGATTGTCTGCTAAATCTTTTCTAGAGGTATAAAAACCATAGGCTAAGGGTGATAGAAATCATTTTTAAATAAAGATGGCATGGTAATCGATCTGTATTTATCTTTAGTTCTCAGAAAAAGATAATACTGGATTCTGTTGGTGCTGCCATCTTTATATCGGCCCAGAACCTATGGTAAAAACTGTTGTTTCAATAAGTCTATAATTGAACTAGAAAAACACCTTCTCCCTGGAGTAGCTAATCCCATTGAACAAATCAAAAGGACTGGTATCGATATGGCTAACTGATTTGAACACATGTTTCTCTTAAACCGGTCATCAAAAAATTCTGAAAATTTTACACATCCTCAATTTAGTGATCATCTTTTGAATGGTAACAGGTTAATCTGAAATATATATACTTTTCTCTATATTGTTGACACTTCTTTTGTTCTTGGTATCATATGTTCGGAATGAAACAAAACATCTATCCGAACCTCATTGGAACAAGATGACATATACACAATGGGTTTACGTTTAGGTCTCTCAATATTGTAATTGTACAAAGGAAAGTTTGGTTGATTTAAAAAAAGTATCTTGCTAATGAAATGAAAGGTTAAGTTTACTTTTTTCTATTTTTGGGGTTTTGTTTTAATTTTTTGGATACTTTTTCTTAAATCGACCAAAGGTCCATGTGCAGTATGGCAAGTGATTTTAGACAGTCATATCTTTCACCATGAGTACTTTCTGGGCATAAATACAGTAGTATCCATTAAAATAATATGTTTTCTTTCAAGTGAAGCCACGATGTAGACGAAGTTGTACCCTACAGTTGAACTCTTCAAACGAGAGGTAATTAAACTGAACTAAAAAAACTTTATGGCGTATTGGAGTATTCAATCATGAAGTGTATAGGCATAGATTCCAAACCAGGAATTATTTTTGTGTCCATCAAAATCCATTTGCATCCTACGCATCCCTACATCTTATCCAAATATGTTACTAAATAATAAATATATAATAGTATGATATTTAAGTGCAAAAGTTTGAAGCATTCTCTATAGTTTCTTATATATTTCTTTTAGTATGACCTGAATCGATTGCAAACAATTCATATTTGCACATTTGATGAGATAAACCATTAGTGTCATATTGTGAAATTATTAAGTTTGCAATAGATTCAGGTCACAGTGTATTTTTGGTATTTTTGTGATATTCTATTAAAACCAATAATTATTGGGATAAGCTGATATCCTCATGTCAATGATGCACAGCCCTATGCAAGTCAATACAACCTTACTGAACTAAATGACCCCTATCTCAGCCTATGTGTGCCCGAGCAATTTAATATTTTCTAAAGAATTATATGACATTCTATTCTTCATGTTACACCTAAGAATGATTCATTTTGCCAATTATCGCACCTCTTCCTTTGAATCAATTCTGTCAATTATCAAAAATTTGAACATGACTGTATTCACGCCTTCTATAAACTGTAAACAAAGTCAACATTTCACCCGGGATATATTCCCGATCAATACCCCTGGTAATACGTTTAATGTGTGACGTCAGCACGGTGGGTCGTAGTAATGGCGGACCATGATGAATATTCGAAAAAACAGAAAAAATTATCCAAATCTGCAATCAAAATTGAAATCTGACCTCTGGTTCTGTTCTGATTCTATCACCTATTGAGTTCTGAAAACAAAACCATATGATGATATCCCCATGTTAAGTCAAGAAATACATGTACATAGTATCCCGACTTCTAATATCATTTACACAAATAGACAATGACAAAGAAAAATAACAATACTGGTAAATGTTTATTTATGCTATTAATGTAAAGCCTCAACAGGTAAATTTGTTGTCTTAGTTTTTCTATTTGTTTATTGCATAAAATTACAAGTATTAATTTATGACATGTAAAAATAAATGTAACAAACACATTAACTAGACAACAGCAACGCCAAAGCGTAGCAAATCCCATCGAACAGCCATGGCTGGCATATTTACGAACAAAGTAATGTATATAGTACATTACAAATGGCAGCCATTTTTCAAAATGGCCACCTTCTACCATTAGACAGTGTGCCATGCCATGCCATATACCAAATATGAACAAAATTGCTCCATTACTTTTTGATTTATAGTAAAATATGTTTAAATGGTGGCCATCAAAATGGCCGTTTTCTACCAAAAGTGTCATTAGACAGTGTGCCATGCTTATAGTATTCACATACCAAATATGAACCTCCATCGAGTATGTGTATACAAAATATGAACAAAATCGAGCAAACGGTATTTGATTAATTGCCCAGACGGACGTATGGACGGACATACAGAGGCGTTCCCTATATCCCTCCGAACTTTGTTCGATGAGATAATAATGAAAATGATCAAATAATTTATAATTTGTTTATTCACTTACTCGTACAACAGATTTCATAATTGTCATTTGTATTTCATGATTAAAGTAGAAAATCTCAGATATTGAAATGGTTTGGTAACTTGGTACTTAATACTTGAAACATAAAATATGAGGTTTCTATTTTTGGAGATCTCTTAATTATCACATGGATACATTGGATAACTCATTTTAATTTCAGAAAAGGTATTTTCTAGGGAGATATCATTATAAATTACACAAATCTCAATGTAAACAAAAATAACATTAGATAAAACAGATTTGGTTTAATGAGCCAGAAATCAATTGTACTCAAGATTAATCTAACTGGATGGTAAGTTTTTTAGTCTTATCTCTTAAATTTTCTACAATTTTCTACATTTTTTTACAAGCAATAGAATGAAATCATTAAGAGGCTTATTTTAAAGATATTTAACAATACCAATACTATATCAAAGCCTTACATTAAACTTCTGGTTTCTAGTTTGTTCAGGCAATCCAGCTTGCATTTTGTAACATATGGTGATACTTTTTTCAAAATAAAGGCACTTATACTATTTTTGGGGAAAACTGTATACTTGCACACAGACATTACAAGAAACACAGCAACTCCAGAGTAGAAAATCCCACCGAATTAGACATATTTTATCAAATCACTCATCATTCTGAACAAGACGTGGTAGAAATAATAATCAATATCATCATATTGACTTCTTTTGGCAAAAGCTACACCCATAATATGACAAAACACCATATCATAACTTCCTTCTCGAGTAGAGCCTATACATTTTAGCCAAATCCATCAACCGGTATTTCAATTATCATCTGGACACAAATGAATGGATGGCTTCTCTAAATACAATCGGTGGAACAATAATATGCTACAAAGTCTCACAAATACATTGTTTCAGTTATACCAGAACAGAATGTGTCACAAAAAATACCAATCAAAAATGAACTACTGGACCCACTGTCATGTTCTTTTTCTTGTTGGCAGTAACGGTAAAAAAAAAATTTATAATTTCATTTCAGATGGGACATAAAGTTGAAGTCATGCTATTCAAAGTAGCAGTTATGATAATTCTGTTAGGGAGTCCAGGAGTTTTAGCTACTGAATGTAGTACACAATGTCCAACTGCCTTTACCGTGAAACACCTTAAATCATGCTACTTGTTCTTGTATGCACCTGGCACAGAAGCCACATGGTATGAAGCCAATGCATATTGCGCAACCCAAAATGCACATCTTCTCACCATAGAAACATCGGCAGAATATTACTACATTTTAGGAAGAATCCGTGCTTGGGGTAAAACCGGACACAATGTTTGGACTGGTAAGTACTTTGTTTACCTTGAGTCCAATTGGCTAACTGATTACAGATGAAGCACTTAGGGAGTATAGAATCAAACTAGATATCAGCAACGCCAAGGCGTAGCAAATCTCATCGAACAGCCATATGGCTGTCAATTTTACAAAATCCCTCCACTACTTTTCAGTTGTAGCAAAATCATAAAATTACACACATAAAAATGGCCAGAACTTTTCAAAATGGTCACTCACTAGCCAAATTGTCTTAAGAAAATGTTATATACTTCTAAGTAGGCACACATAAAATTTGAACAAAATCTATAAGAGCTATAGTAAAAGTCTAAAATGACACAAGTAAAAACTAGCCAAAGTGTCATAAGACAGTGTGCCATACTTATGAGTATTCACATATCAAATATGAACAAAATCGCTCTACTACTTTTCAAGTTATTGTAAAAATGTAAGAAAAACATGTTAAAATGAAGCCCATTTTTGAAAATGGCCGTCTACAAGCCAAAGTGTCATAAGATAGTGTGCCGGCTTTCGAGCAGAACTTGTACTGCCTGGACAGACAGGTGGACAAACATACGTATAGACAGACAGGTGGACAAACGTACGTATAGACAGACAGGTGGACAAACGTACGTATAGACAGACAGGTGGACAAACGTACGAACAGACAGACAGAAGTATGGATGGAGCCGTTTCTGAACTTCGTTCATTGGATCATGAATACAATGAGTAATAAAACTCTAAAATGGCCAAAATCATTAGAATAATATTTATGTAGACTATACAAGTACTGAGGCAGTTATCAGAGAGCTTGGATATAAGTTATTTGGTGAACTTGTACGTAAACTTGTACTTGTAAATAAAAAGGTGGCTATTAGCCAAAAATCTCCGGATGTAGGGCTTAATATAAAGTTTAAATGCATACCATTTGTATCTTTTAAACCATATTTATTATCCCATGTGTCAATTTTTCTGATCTATTATAAATATGTTATATGATATATACATTATAGATCTTACTCTGTACAAATACTGGATGAGAGTTTGTTATGCAACCAAATGGCTCGCTCCTTAAATTGCTAATATAGATTGGATTGATTAGTGTATCAAAATAGTTGTCATAGTGTTTGATACTTTACATATCCAGATAATTAATTTTAAAAAGGGATCACGTTCAATTGGTCGACTGACACATGAGTACACTTTTATCTCAACTTTAACTTTTATAAGAACTGTGAAATAATTCATTCGTCCATGTGATGAGCCATGTTAAAGGGTCTTGTTCGGAGAACACCATGCCATAAGAGCAAGGTATTGAGTTGATAATATACAGATTACAACAAAGCAACAGATATTACATTCGCAGTCGCTGATTGATGAATGAAGTGAACAATTCGGAAACTATTTATGTCAACTGGGTACAATTCATGAAAATCAAATTGACTTTAGTGTCACAAGACCCTTTAAAGTACAAGTTTATGTATGTACTAGTATTCAAAACAACTTTTATCGAAAGCTCTCTACTTTATGGTATTTTCTCTCATTTATTTCTGCTTTCTATTTCTAATCTTCTATCTTTTTCACAAAAAGGTGGTAATAGTCGGGTTTGAATAGGAGATAAGTTCACAGAATATTTCAAAAATATATAGAAGCAATCTTAAGGTGGATTTCAAAACTTCATACCATCCTTTTGAGAACCTGAAGTGGCACCAAGCAATCCATTGACTTTTTCACCAAAAATCCAAGATGGCCACCACAATGTATCGAAAAATCATAAAAATTAACTAAAGTTGTAATTTAGTAATTCAAAATAGTTGTATACTGATCAAACATGACTAATAATAGTACCTATTAGATGTTCATATGGATTTAAATTCATTGGATCATTTTTGTATGAAAACTGGAGTCCCACAAGGCTCAATTTTATGTCCGCTACTTTTTTTGTCTAATGATTTGCATTGACCATGGCATTTGCACATAGCAGTGGATACTTATCCATTTTTGTAATGTGTGCACCCAGGACCAAATTTCACCTTGCACCCATACTTGACCAATGCTTGGCATGCCTTGGCTGCTTGAGGAAAGGATGTCAATATTGGCACCAGTAGAGACATGTCATACTTCCAGCCCCATGTTGTGAACTCCTATACCAATTTTAGATGGAGATTGTACAGTTGCCCTCAAAGAATACCACCTTGGTTAGCAAGTTCTTAAGATTTTTTAAGCAAGGCCTCCTTTTGTTGGTGGTATTCTACTCTATGGCCATCACAGAACATTCGTGCTGTATTGATATCTATCTGGTTGCTGGTTCGATCATATAATAGAACACAGTAAAGTGTTCTAGGGACTGAGTGGCCTGAACTGACAAAGCAAGGTTTGTTGTAACCATTTGTACCACTTGTAAAAAAGCTGGAGTAACTTCAATGAGCACATTCCATAGCTTGAAGGCATATTTTTTGCTATGGCCAAAGAATGGTGAAGCTAATATAATATAATTTAATACCTGTAATTTGTGAGAGGTCCGAAGGCAATCCAGATTGACACTTATTGTGCCCTTAAATGCTGCAGCCATGGCAAGAGCAACTACATCAGTATCTCAACTTCTGATTGTGAAGTCTTTTACCCTCTGAGGTCATGTTTTATATGAACAAAGAGTCTCGTGTCAGTTTCTTCATGAGTACAAGGTCCAATCATTGCTGTATCTGGCAATTGAGGAAAGCACTGAATAGATTCTCCAATAGAAGTTATCATTTGCTTGTCATTAACATCAAACTCAGACATAGAGTTGGCCAGGAATGCAAACAGCCTAGTCTTGTTCCGTTGATTATTAGAAAAGCTGGGCAGTTCTTAGGCATTGGATTCTCTGCATAAACTATCCTTCTAGCACCAGTGCCACAATGAATCCTTGTTAGGGACTTCTCACTGTTTTGTAGGTAAACATTCCAGACAACATCTAGGAACACCTTCCATAAGCTACCTTAACTTGGGATGAAAGAACCAGTTTCTAGACATTTAAGTAAGTCTGTCGTAGGTCACATGGCTCTGTGCTTAGCTAGGGATGAATGGATGCCAATCAAGACACGTTGACATGTCTGAGTTTTTCAAACATGAAAAACATGAGTTCCGGCCATCCTTAGCTAAGCACGGAGCCATGAGACCTACAAAGAAGCAGACTTAAATGTTGAGAAGCTAAGCCAGATGGATCTGAAGTATTGGAAAAAACCTGCAGATGCAATTTTAATAGATGGCACCCTTCTGGTCTATGTGATGCGTCCTGGTGTGGCTACCAACTTCCAAGAATATGCTACCAATGTCTCATCCCAAGTTAAGGCAGCTTATGGAAGGTGTTTCAAGATTAGATGCTATCTGGGATGTCTACCAACAAAACAGTGGGAAGTCCCTGACAAGGATTCATCGTGGCACTGGATGGTTTATGCAGAGAATCCGATGCCCAAGAATTGGCTAGGCTTTCTAAGAAATGGCCAGAACAAGACTGAGCTGTTAGCATTCCTGGCCAACTCTATTTGTGAGGTTGATGTAAATGACAAGCAAATGATAACTACTATTGTGGAATCTGTTCAGTGATTTCCTCACTTGCCAGATACAGCAATGATTGGACCTTGTACTCATGAAGGAGTTGACACTAGACTCTTTGTTCATGTAAAACAGATGACCTCAGAGTCAAGGTTACCAATGTCGCTTGGCCCCGGGTTCGATTCCCGGTTCAGACAAGTTTGTTTGTGCGTCATGTAATTCTGGGTGTTTGACTGAGTGGTTCACGACTCGTATAAAAGGCTGTGGTGTGTACCTGTATGTCTGTGTACCTGTGCACACAAAAGAACACAGGGCTCCTCCAAGGAGGGGTTTCTGGCTCTGTCTTCGAGTGTAAAATATGTAAAGTACGGAATATACCAATGAGGTATTGCTCGCCAAATATGGCGGTAACCAAGATATAATAATAATAATTAGGGCCCAATAAGTGTCAATCTGGATTGCCTTCGAACCTCTCAAAAATTACAGATATTAAATTATATTAACTGCATTATTCTTTGGCCATAGCAAAGGATCTGCCTTCAAGCTATGGAATGTGTTCAAGGAAGTTACTCCAGCTTTTCTACAAAAGAGTGGCACAAATGCTTACAACAAACCTGGTTTTGTAAATTAGGACCATTCAGTCCCTAGACTGTTTTACTGTTCTATTATATGATCGAACCAGCAACCAGATAGATATCATACAGCACGAAGGCTAATATTTTGTGACGGCCATACAGTCATTGACAGAATACCACCAACAAAAGGAAGCCTTGCTCAGAAAATCTTAAGAACTTGCTAACCAAGGTGGTATTGTTTGGGGGCAACTGTACAATCTCCATCTAAAATTGGTATAGGAGTTAACAACATGGGGCTGGAAGTATGACATGTCTCTACTGGTGCCACTATTGACATCCCTTCCTCAAGCAGCCAAGGCATGCCAAGCATTGGTCAAGTATGGGTGCAAGGTGAAATGTGGTCCTGGGTGCTAACATTTCAAAAATGGATAAGTATCCACTGCTATGTGCAAATGCCATGGTCAATGCAAGTCATTAGACAAAAAAAGTAGCAGACATAAAATTGAGCCTTGTGGGACTCCAGTTTTCATACAAAAATGATCCAGTGACTTTAACTGCATATGAACATCTAATAGGTACTATCATTAGTCATGTTTGATCAGTATACAACTATTTTGACTTATTAAATTACAACTTTAGTCACTTTTTCTGATTTTTCAATACATCGTGGCTGCCATCTTGAATTTTTGGTGAAAAAGTCAATGGATTGCTTGGTGCCACTTCAGGTTTTCAAAAGAATGGTATGAAGTTTTGAAATCCACCTTCAAATTGCTTCTATATATTTTTGAAATATTTTCACCTAAATATTCCTGACTATAATGACATATCTGGTAGATGGCAATGGGCTGGAGGACCTTGTTTTGACACAACATCAATGAGATATACTCATTGGGGCCATGGGCAACCTGATAATTCCAAAGGAAGAGAACACTGTATACACCTTTACAGTCCATTTTCTTTGAAGATGAATGACGTTGCATGTTATTCTAAATACAACTTCATTTGTGAGATAAATCTCAAGTAACACTACTAAAGATGAATGGCTATAGATGATAAGCATGCAACAACATTAGAAATAACCTGTAATAAAAAATGAAAGATGAGTAAAACAAGAAAAAAACGCATCATAGATCAGCTTGACAGTATTCACATGGGATGAGCACATAAATCTTCAATTAAATTACTATATATTGTGTTTTCAAATAAAAAATTAACTAATAAAAATAAATTCATGTCTATCTTGTATAACATTCATGTCATTCCCCCATAGTTGCCACTGGAGTATATCACATATAAGCTATCAAACATTCATTCCTTAGAATTGAAAACTTAAGATTCCTGCCAATTTGGAGTGGTGGCTATTTTAAATGAATATTTTTTCCTACTTACCATAATTCATCTTTCAACCAAATATGAGTTATGCACGAGATGGACCAAACAGACAGACTGCTTCAATATATCCAATCTAAACTTCATTGAATGAGCTTTCATATGATATATTACTTAGGGGGGTAAACCTATCTAAGACTGGAGGCAGATGAGGGACGCTCATTATGAAACACCCTGTGGGCATGTATATTAATAAGCTGTGTCCTGTCAATTTACACCTCAGACAACAAGGCAATAAATGGCCAATCTGTACATATTACAGATTGGAACGGAGAAACTTCATTATCAATTTATAGATTAGGCTGTTATATCGCCCTCAATATAAGAGAAGCAAATTTAATTTTTAAATGAGCAATTTTTCTCAATTTTCATATTCCCAATATAACAAAAGAACGTACTCTATACCCTCTGATTGTATAAACTACATGTCATTGTGAATCAAAAGTATTTCAAGGATCTCCAGGATGCAAATAACAGCTATTAGCACTTCAAGACAACATCATACACTAAAGCATATTACCTTGACACCTGCATGAAATACTGCACTGTTATGTATGACCCATGCATGCTTTTTTAGATTCAATGCTGAAGTAGGTAGGGGCAATCTCTCAGGACTGTATCCTAGCACCCCTATCATTATTGAGTCGGTCCAATTTGTTGCTAGTTTCTCTATTGTAACCTTTAATGAATAATGAATTACTAATATGTTTATGATAAAATATAATATTAAATACTTCCTTTGTTTTTTTGTTTGTGTATCTAATTTGATTTTGAAAGATGTCTCTGCAAATGGCAGTGAAGTGAACTTTAATATGACATTTCTGAAAAGTATAGATTTTATTTTCAAACATGAATAAAATGTTTATATAAAAAAGTCTCCAAATGAACTCACTAGCTTTTATTGCCTTTATGAACATGATATAAGTTTCATACAACAATAATATACTAAAAATTGTACTTTAAAAATCTTACTTGAAATAAATGTTTCCTTGGCAATGGTTTATGAGTAAGTACAATTCCTTGATTATAACTATCTGTCCTATGTGCAGTGATCCCATGCCCAGTTAGTTCTATGTTCTTGCCATGGTTTGATGCAAATGATAACTTCTGACTCTCTGCAACATCCTCATCTTTGTCCCCATCATCCTGAAGGTGAACAAACATTTAATCATAAGCACTAAGCAGTGGTTTCTCTGCCTTTAGGAAAATGGGTGCTTTGCTGACATTAGATTTTGAAAATTGACCAGCATCAACTTGAAAACTTTAATTCATGTACACATTTGAAAATGAGAAAAATCAGCTTATTTTTACCAATTTTGGTCAGAGTTGTGATTATTGTAATTATTCAAGATATTTGGACCTGTCCCAGCCCAAAACAACCTGACCTGTTTCTGACCCACTTCTTACAGGCAGTAAGAATTTATATGGTCAGAGTACAAGTTATGCTTACCAAAGATGGGTGGGTAGAGAGGAGAGCATGTGAAGAAGGATGTCGCTCTACTTCTCTCCTCAAAGTCTTACTGCACACACTGACTGTTTCTACACTACCATAGAGATCTATTACTGCAAATGTATTCTGAAATAATAATACAAATGTGTTAAACAATGGAGTGGCTCATTAATGGTAGGGCTGACTACCATGGTGTTGACAGACAGTACATTACAACATTTTAACAACATTCTTTGAGTGTTAGGTGGAGGAGTATAACAGAGGCCTTGTCATGCTTCTCGGTGCGTGAATTTATTAATCTAAAAAAATGTGTTTTACGACTGAAAATCACATGACATCTAAATGATTCCATTCATATTCGTGTCTCAATGTTACCTTTCATAGGTATTGATTTACCTTTGGCACATTAGTGGCGGCCACCCCCATATCTTCCCCATTGATCAACACGTGCATACAGCCATCATTACTCCACCTGATGCCTACGCGATTACCACGCTGAAAACAACAAACTTTCTTATTATACACTCACAAAATGTAACATATTACAACAATTCACCTATATATGCTTTCATTCCACAATTTTAATTATCTTTATTTGAATTAATTATAAAAAATGGATAATAAGTTGAATCAGTCAGCACAGTCTATCCTATCCCATAGTTCATACCTTGAGCATCATTAAGATTGCTGAAATCACTTAAAATGTACTCATTTTTTAAACATAGAGAGCTTGCTTGCCAATATTTGTAAAAATCCTGATTGAATACTGAATTTAGGTCACTTGAACAAGAACCTGGCAATCAGAGAATGCACATTTAATGAGAATGCACATTAAATGAGAATGCACATTAAATGAGGTAATCTAACATTGTTGAAGTTTAACATGGAATTTTACAAATATGACTAGACTTCATGATTTATAGGTACAAAGGATCTGTGCTGACTGTGAATTGAGTGTCGAGTGAAAAAATTGCATATAATTTTTTAAGCTCTAAATACACTATACAATATTACCTCCAATCTTTCTAGTGATGGAGCATAGTTTTCCTTCAAGACAACTCCATTCTTCTTGACAGTAGAGCCAGATACCAGCCAAGTTGACTTGGTTTGGAGGCCACTAGCAGAGGCTGGGAGTAGGGAATTGGTACTGTCTGTCAACACCATGGTAGTCAGCCCTACCATCAATGAGCCACTCCATTGTTTAACACACTCATCTATATGCACCTGAAATATTGGATTTAGTAAATTCTATATTGGTGATGTTTCAGCAATCCTAATACTTGCAGCAATAAAGGGGAAAGTTTACTTGTAGTTGATTATACATGGGGGTATATTGCATGTATTGAAAACAAGGCATTAACATGCAAAATGTCACCAACCATCATTTGTTACAGATGCTGAACACAGAATACCATCCACAAAAAAGTTGGAGGCTATAACAATATGTCACCATTCTATTAGTGACATGAAAATGAACAAGTTTATGAATACAAAAAGGCTCATTTAATACTTGCAAGTTCTACGAAATAATAATAAATGTATGAGAAGAATGCAACGAATCTTTATCATTATTAAAATGAAGCGTTTAGATTCGACAAAATGACATAAACCAATGATTTGTGTAAAAAGTATTTTAATTTCTCACCTCAAATATTTCATCAGATCTAAGGGGGTCACAACTAAAGAGTATTCCATGGTTAAAGTTGCGGCCCCTGGTTGCTACGCAATTGTTATTCTTTAATGTAATATTCTTTCCACAGCACTGAGAGAACTTATGGCTCACCTAGGGAAAATAAAGTTTTCAAAGTAATTTCTAGTGTACACTGTAGTTACATATTATGCATATACATCTACATCTGTTTCACATCAATGCATCATGAATAACACTCACGTTAATGTAGTTAAATATTATGTATATAAATCTGTTTCACATCAATGCATCATGAGTAACACACACATTAATGTCGTTAAATATTATGTATATAAATCTGTTTCATATCAATGTATCATGAATAACACACACGTTATTGTAGTAAATATTATGTATATAAATCAGTTTCACATCAATGCATCATGAATAACACACACGTTAATATAGTTAAATATTATGAATATAAATCTGTTTCACATCAATGCATCATGAGTAACACACATTTAATGAAGTTTTATATTACCAGTTGTTAACTTACCTCAGTGGCAACTGTGCAAGAATTAGAATACAAACTGTTCACCTCTTCTTTGACTAGATTGTTTTCAGTTTGAACCCCAGACCCCTGAGTTATGGTCACCTGGGCACACTGACCATACAGGTCAATAACAGCAAACATGCCTACAAAAACATACATTTCAGTATATTTTTATTATTATTTATTTCATATATGTAATAGATACAATGTTTCAGAGTTTTGTGTGTTTATTTGTTTAGATTATGCATTGAAAAGCACATCATCAAAGTCTATTTTCCTGACAAAGTGATATTAATGTACTAATAATGTACTAATAAATGAGTACACTCCTATTATTAGTACATTTATTAGTTCTTAATATTTTTATTGCTGTTTCAACCAACTTTTTGAACATCCTACCTGGTTACAAAAGTAACAATTTTTAACAGATTTAAAATGGAAAACACAAACACCAAATGTGCTTCATAAAAACAGTGACTGTAACAACATTTCACACTGTAACAATATGTCACAACTACTTGGTGGTAATATAGAAACCATACTAGGTTTTTAAATAACCCTGTATTGTCTAAAATGTATCAATATGATATAAATGTGATGACAAAATACAAGGTAAAGTGCATTACCTGCTGGTATATCAGAGCATGCTACACCATGTTCCTGGCCATCTACAAAGAAATGTAATGAGGCATCATCCTTTCTCATCATTCCTATCCTTGAGCCTGTAGTGAGGCCATCTAGATCTACTGTATAACCATTACGTATTGTGGACCCATCCTGCATCACAGCTGACCCACTAAAACACATGGGAGAAACATCTTAAATATATATTTGATGGACAAGGCAGATTTTGGGAGGAGAGAATTGTGATTTAGGCTCAAACGGATCAAATAATTCAATGTTATCAATTTTTACAATACTCCTATTCGCGATAAGAGTTCAGGTGGTAATTTACATAAATATCTCCCATGATGCATCACTTTGGAAGGGAAAATTTTTCATTGGCCCGCCGAACGAGTCGATTACTCTGAACGTTTCTCAGCTTCTGATCTTCCATCAGCCCTCAAGCATAGTTATATAATCCAATTTATTCAATAATCAGAAAGATAATCGGAGATTCAAAGTAACATTATTTATATTTTTCGATCTTCGATTGCGTCTGAGCAATTTCTGGGATATCAGTGACGTCACTGGAATTGGACGGCATTTTCAACTACAGATTTCTTCGGATTTGGGGATTATAGCTCAAAAAGCTTTGTCATATATCTTAATTACATACATACCTATCGTTTGTGCAAATGAAACTCTACATAAATGTTTAATAGAGCCGCAGTGCGGCATTGAAAATAGCACCCCTATGTAATCTAATGGGAAAGAACCCGGATGTAGACGAAGTTGTACCGTACATGAGAGCTCTTCAAACGAGAGGTAGCTAAACTGAACGAAATTAAACGTTATCGCGTATTGGTATATTACAGTAAAACCTTTGCATTGGAGCCTCTGCAAGCGGAACAACTCCAAAAGTGGAACACTTTTGAAGGTCCTGTTAAAAATACCTTTGTGTAAAATCAACCTATGTAAGTGGAGCACCTTCCAATGAAACACTATTTTGAGGTACCAGAATTAGAGAAGTTTCATTGTATAACTGATGAGAACATTTTTGTGTGAACTTATGGCATGGCCTGGCGCATTATACTTTATCATTTTTTCCCTAAATATAGCCTCAGCCTGTTATGACTTGAGATTCCCTAAAAATAATTGCAAAACATAACTTACCTTAACATCCAAGTGTCAAAGTCAATGTCAGTCATAGTACTTGGGAAGTCCAAGTCCTCAGGTTTCACTAATGACAGGCCTAAAATATGAGAAATTGAAAAATTAATATGAGAAATTGAACAATTAATATGAGAAATTGAACAATTAAAAAGAAAAGATCTCAGTGCATGTTATATATTTCAACAACAAAAATACTGAAAAATGTGAATTTCCATGTACTTTAAATGACTTTATTTTGTGTGGTTTTCCTAGTTAAAGCAACCTCCTTTAAAGACAAGTTTTTTTTCCATTCAAATTTCTCTAATCTCAATGCAGTGCACTCCTAATATGTAATGATCAACAAATACTTACCAACTTCAATTGAGCCTGACCATCGATCCACCATTTTGTCTATTCTAACTTCAAAAAGTTCATTATCTCTGAGGGGTCTATTGCTCATAACTATTGCATCATTAAATTCGCCATAAGCATTAGGTCTTACTGCTGTCTTTCCCCTGTTGACAATCTCCGCATTGTGGCCATGTAAAGAGTGAAACAACAAGTCATCCTCCCCTACTGGTCTCATCCTATCTCCATCTCGTACATCTTCTGAATGCCACAATAATGTACAATGTTAAAGAGTAGAGGTTTAAATTTACATGTTGTTTTTTGGTTTATCATATTTGTGTGAAAACATTTGACTTACTAAAAAAACCTTTTTGTAAATGCTACTCAATGGAAACCATATTCCCATAATTGCCCCCCCCCCCCATGCTTCTCTAGACTCATTTTGTTGTTACTGATATTTGTTAACACTAAAGAAAATCCAGTGTCTTCATGGAATACATAAATGAAACATAAAAGTGTTAAAACTACATACCATCCTGGTCCACTAGGGTAGCCTGAGCCACCTGTCCATAAAGATCTAGTACTCCATACACATTAGGAGGTAGACTAGAGGCTGCAAGGCCCTGATCAACACCATTCAGCATAAAATGCAGGTCACCATTATCTTTACGTAATGCAGCTAAAATATCCCCAACCTGAAAACAAATTGTAAAAAAAACTAGAACTTTTTGTAGATAGACTGTAGATCATTGTTATACAATGTAACTTGATGTAGCCTGTGAAAGATAATTCACTCAGTGAAATGTCTACATATATGTGTGTAAGAGGTAGAAGTATCTCCACATTTACCTTTATTTTGTCAAGTTTAGGGCAGTATTCATCCAGTATGGTTGTTCCATTGTGCATGACTCCATTGCCAGTTAACATCCAGGTCCCGGATCTAATGTTGGTCATGGTCGAAGGGAACTCAAGGTTCAGAGGTGAGTGTGTCGTCATACCTTATATACAACAGTACACAATTAATGTTAATTATCAGAACCTTGTACAAGTGTTTTCAAATACATTTACTTGCTGATTATCTTATCAACAATTCACATAGTATGATTCATCTCAGATCTAGAATTTTCAGATTTGTAAAATGTAGAAACATTTCATGGGAGTAGGTAAATATTTCATGATATTCATATTTCTTTTAAGAAGCATATTACAACCAGTTGTTCACTGACCTAGTTCAACAGATCCTGCCCACTTGTCCACCATCTTGTCTATGCGCACCTCAAATAGTTCCCCAGGCTTCAGAGGTCTGTTTGTCATCACAACTCCATTGTTAAACTCATCTTTTGCGCTGAAACATGACATCACGCATAAAATACCAGAAAAATGAAAAAATGACAGGGTAGAGATGCCATTAGTACAAAAAGCACAATGAACATCCAACTTGATATGAACAATAATATTCTTTACAGTATTTTGTTATCTCTAATTATGTGGCACATGATAAATACATACAACAATCAGATTACAGACATTACATTAAGACATGCAGTATAAGTTATTACTTAGTGAAAAAATCTCATATATAAATAATGCCTACTTTGGCCTTGATGCTGTTCTCTGACCATTGATGACAACAGCATGGGTGCCACACTTAGAGTGGAACTGTAACTTCTCTGTCTCAACACTCTCAGCACTGCAGTCATCTATAACAAAAAAGACATAGAAATAATATAGAAGACAAAGAAACAGCAAGGAAGACATAAGAACAACAAAGAAGACATAGAAACAACAAAGAAGACATAAGAACAACAAAGAGGACATAAGAACAACAAAAAAGACATAGAAACAACAAAGAAGACATAAGAATAACAAAGAAGACATAGAAACAACAAAGAAGACATAAGAACAACAAAGAAGACATAAAAACAACAAAGAGGACATAAGAACAACAAAGAAGACAAAGTAACAACAGAGAGGACATAAGAACAACAAAGAAGACATAGAAACAACAAAGAAGACATAAGAACAACAAAGAAGACATAAAAACAACAAAGAGGACATAAGAACAAGAAAGAAGACATAGAAACATCAAAGACATAGAAACAGCAAGGAAGACATTAGAACAACAAAGAAGACATAGAAACAACAAAGAGGACATAAGAACAACAAAGAAAACATAGAAACAACAAAGACATAGAAACAGCAAGGAAGACATAAGAACAACAAAGAAGACATAGAAATAATATAGAAGAAATAGAAACAGCAAGGAAGACATAAGAACAACAAAGAAGACATAGAAACAACAAAGACATAGAAACAGCAAGGAAGACATAAGAACAACAAAGACACAGAAACAACAAAGACATAGAAACAGCAATAAGACAGAGGAACAACAACAAAAGACATAGAAACAACAAAGACATAGAAACATCAATAAGACAGAGGAACAACAACAAAAGACATAGAAACAATGGAGACATACGAGATGTAGATGTTTTTAACTCACTTTCTTCTTCAAGCTCTCTAAAGTCCTGCATTTGCCTCAAGAGATTGTTCACCCGCCTGTCCAACCTTTCTGGGACACTCAATGGAGGTACCCTGCAAATAATTTCCTCTTATATCATATAAATGTGCTATTTATATTTGCTCTATGACATGTTACTTTATTATTATATGCACAACATAGGACCTTGATTCTAGAAGCACATGTGTTACTTTAAAGTAAAAATGTCAAAATAGGTTATTGCTAACCTTTAGCAATAAAATTTAGAAAAAATATCTTTCAAATGGTTAAAACAATTAATATATTTTCAACTGGATGTATGATTCTGGTTCATTTAGAGACATAAAATTATGATAGAAATAATTTCAAATTAGTTTTTAAATGAAAGTTTGAAAAAGGGCTTGAGCCAAGGGCCGGTCCACTGGTCATTTGCCAGGTTACTTTTATGCTATGGACCAGTTCATTTTTTCAGAAGTAATAGGAAAATAACATGACGACTAGTCCATAATGCAATTTTGACCAGCTGCTCTCAGAACCTTAGCTCAACCACTGGTTGGAAACTTTATGACAAGTACATACATACCTTGCATCATTCCTATTCAGAATAGTGACTTTAACTGCCATTCCATAAAGATCTATTACTCCCCAAACAAGTTGTGGTGTACGCGTTGCTGCAACTCCTTGGTCAACCCCATTGATGAAGAAATGAAGTGCTCCGCTACTTTTTCGAATCATTCCAATCCTGTCTCCTTCCTAAAAATATTAAAAATATCACAACCGTATTGATCAATCAAGTTTGTCTTACAAATAAAAATGCCAATCACATATATATTTAGTGCTTTTTTACAAATATTAAGCTTTTATAAGAGTATCCAGGGTATATGGATTCAAAATCTTTTTGAATTTTTGCTAGAAAATGCCTGCATTTGCTTAATTTTTATCACAATTTAAGTGTAGTGTAACTCATGGAAAATAACCTTGACAAAATATTGATATGTATGCAACTTTTTAATTCAGTGACACGGACTTACACTTAGTTCATCCAAGTTGAACTGTCCATACTCCCTCCTGGTCCCCTTGCCATTGGTCAATATACCACAACCACTCATCATAATAGTACCAATAGAAGAACCTAAACATTAATGCATGCATATATATTATGCACAAATAGCATAATAGATACACTTTGTTTTTTTTCATGTTAGTCTGGCGACCAAAAAATGCCAACATAATCTCCAAAATACCAAAGTTTAAAAAAGGAACATTTTGTAGAATATATGGATCCTTGTATAAAAATGCAGGACAATATGCATACTACATAATTAACTTGTGGGCCGGGCCACCTAACATCATCCACAAAAAACAGCTGAGGCAAATTAATTATAAAAAGATGATAACTTTTAGTTTTAGTCTACCTCAGAGCCAATGGTAGGCTCCCATAATGGTATCATGATACTTGCAAATAAAAAGTTAGTCCAGTCTGCCTACTTTGATTTTGACACAAATAATTTTAAGACCTTCTACTTACCAGACCTCATGTTGGTCATTGTTGCAGGAAAATCCAGATTCGATGGATTGTGTGTTGTGATCCCAACTTCTATTGAACCAGACCACTTATCGACAAGTCTATCTAAGCGAATCTGAAATCATAATGTTAAATCAATAATAACATTTTATCACCACCCGCTATGGCTCAGTGGCAGAGTCAAGGTTACCAATATCGCTCGGCCCCTGGTTTGATTCCCGGTTCAGACAAGTTTGTTTGTGCGTTATGTAATTCTGGGTGTTTGATTGAGTTGTTCACGACTCGTATAAAAGGCTGTGGTGTGTACCTGTATGTCTGTGTACATGTGCACACAAAAGAACACAGGGCTCCTCCAAGGAGGGGTTTCTGGCTCTGTCTTCGAGTTTAAAATACGTAAAATACGGAGTATACCAATGAGGTATTGCTCACCAAATATGGCGGTAACCAAGATATAATAATAATAATAACATCAATCCTTAACATTTTATCATATCGAAATGTACAGATGTAACATTTTATTACATAAAAACAACATTTTATCACATCAAAACTGAACATCATATCACAGCAAATCTTAACATTTTATCACATCAAACCTTAACATTTTATTGCATCAAAACTACATTTTGTGACATAAAACTTAACATTTTATCACATCAAAACTGAACATTTTAAAACATCAAAACTGAACATTTTATCACATCAAAACTTTTTATTTTATCACATCAAAACATAACATTTTATCCCATCAAAACCTCTCATTTTATCACATCAAAACTGAACATTTTATAACATCATTTTATGACATCATTTTACATCAGAATACATTGAGCTTAATTGCTTTTTAAAGAATACCCATTGAGTATTTACCTCAAATATTTCATCATCTCTGATTGGTCTATTGGTCATTACAACTCCATTGTTGAACTCATCAAGAGGTCGTCTCCTCTCGGCTGTTCTACGATTATTAGAGAGTTTAACTAGACTACCCACTCGTTCATGGAACACAAGGGTCTCATTAGAATGGATGTAGCTAGCCTCAGCGATTGCCTCATTTGTAATTTCATTGGATATGACTGTAACAGAAATAATTCAAAATAATGATTCTCGTCAGCAAAGACTAGGATATAAGTTTACTTATGTACCAAAGTTGGATATGATCACAAGGATTTAAAAACTGATTTTGCATCAAAGAATATGGTCAAACATGAATTATCCTTATCGTCAAATATTTAATCACTACATACATGTATTTATGTTTTTAGGGTGAATTTATAGGGTGATACATTATTGGTTGATTCATTATTCGTTTATCTATGCCTTAATCCCCACCTAAAATGTTACCACTTCCAACATCAAAACTAATCCCTTCCAGAACTTACTTATATCTCTTGTGCTATCATCTACTATGGTAACCTGGGCACACTTGCCATACATATCTATCACTGCATAGACCTTGGAGGGGATGTTGGCTGCAGCCTGGCCTTGATCTCTACCATTTACATAGAAATGAAGTGAACCTTAAAATAAAAATAAAATTTCCTTTCTTAATCTGAAATATTCTGAGTTCTGTTTGAACCTATCTTTGTAAATGCTCCAAATTTGTATTGTGTGTATGTGTCCTACATACAAGATAAAAATAGCATACATTGATCATATAGTACAAAAATTATGTATATTCTATAAACAGAACAAGCGCTATACTAAAAATTTGTATGCTTATCAGCTTCTAATGCAGAACCTTACCCAAAAGATTTCAAATGTTCAAGTCAAAACCGTTGGGTAGATTGACCAAAAGGATCAGTACTGATATTACAGTAGCCTATTACCTTCGATAATCTTTTTTCTTTATAGGATTACATGGGGAACCAAACAGCAACTAAAATAAATAATTTATTGGATGAAATGCATATATACCTTGATTATTTCTCATTACTCCAATTTTATCTCCTTCATTAAGTTGATCCAGATCTTTGCCATACTCCTCTACAACAGTGTGTCCATCCTTTAGTATATTACTGCCAGACATAACCCATGTCCCCTCCCTAAAGCCAGTAGCACTTGTTGGTAGTGCTGTGTTCTCAGGATCTGCAGTTGTTACTCCAATCTCTATTGAGCCACTCCATGAATTAACCTTAAAAAATAATAAATTCATCCAAGTATTAAGTGGATCATGGGTAAAGTAAGTATTTGCCAATCATGGAGTTGGTCGATTAGTTGTAATTGTTTGGAGTAGAATTGGATGTATTTTTGCACCATTCAAAAGTTTGCTCATGCCCCCCCCCCCACCCCATGCGGGGAGTGGGGAATTTGATTTGCAATATTGTGATCCATGATCATGCAGCATATTGGAGGAAGGTCTGGTAGAAAGAATGATAAATTTGTGTTCTACAAAATACAAATTAGGCACTGAAGGCTAGGCGATGGGCATGAAGTGAAGTGAGGTCTTTGTCAATCCATTTCAATTACATCAGGGAAGTATTATTCTGTCACTCCTTGTTCTAATTTCTAAACTATATATTCTTTTAAGATTTTAGTGACCTGTCTCCTGTGGTTCTATGAATAGTCTTATTTCATTATTAGCTGAATTTTCTTGGAGCCATATTTTGAACTTTCATTACATGCAATCATGCATTGCAAATTCTGGATCGATTGAGATCAATTTTCCTCAATAATACCATGATAATATGCAGCAAATACTCGACAATGACAATACTACATTTCTGAAATGCATTTTTGTATTAGCCATTTGCATCTGAAAAAAAGCTTTTGGCGAAACTAAATTGTTATCGAATAAATTGATTATGTATTCCCAAGGATATTAAATAGATTTACTGGGAGAATTGTTGGATTTACACTCGAGCCCTAAGACGTCTTGGGTGAAACGTTTTAATGTTAAAACAAATTTTAAATATAATGTAAATCCAGATTTACATCTGGAACGAAAAAATTGAAACTTTCTGTTAAAATGTGTGACATGGTCCTTTCTTTTGTCTAAACCATTGTTCCCAATATCATCCCAAAAATATCGAGAAGAAGAACCATTGTCATCTTAGCCTGGCCTCCTTCTACATTCCTAATATATGCACCAAATCGTGCTGCTCTCCTTCGTGTTTTAACACTGCTCTCTTCAGGACATATATTTGCGAACACGATACATCCTTTAGCAAATAATATTTAAGTAGGAACGTAATAGCCACGTTGACTGAACCATCCTTCAACCAGTACTGAACTGATATTTTCATATTACATGTATACCTACCTATCTCCAAGACATCTTAGGAAAACAGGTGTAAAGTCATGAAAGCTAATCATATTTCGTAAAACATCTTGAAAATGCTTCATGTAAACTCAACTTAATTTTTCTAAAACGTTTTAGCTAAGATATCTTAGAATGCCGCGTGTAGTGTAAATTGGGCTAATAACACGCAACTCGTTTAGTGACCTTGTCAACAGCGTTTCGCCCAGTGTTATCAACTACAGTTTATTTAATGACATGATTTGATTTGCCATTTCTATGTTACCGCTCTCTGAACCAAAAGTTTCCAAAGCTCTCTCCAAAACATTCTAAATACATGAATACAATACATGATCGAGGACACAGAGAGATAAGGGATGATGAGTTTTATCACTGATTTTTATTCATAAGGTATGTATGCTTGCTTGCATCTCACTATTTTAGAAATGATTTTACAAAATCAGGAAATAATTACATGCTCATGAAAGCTCCTGCTCGATTTAAATTCCTCGCATCGTTTGCGAAATATGGTCAAAGGTTAAAACTAGTTGGGCCACAAGATATGCTAGATAAGAAATAGGCTAAGGACTAGATCTCTAGACATCTGTAGACTAAAATTAAAGTACCACTGCACCTTAAATTATCAACATGTATGAAGACAATCATATTTTTAAGTTATTTCTTAAAACAATTTCATACATGAAAAGTACAAAATAAGATTTTTCTTTTTCCAATTTTGAAAATCCAAGCAATAGGATCTACTTATGTATGAAATATGGGAAGTTGCATACCCTTCTGTTGAAAGCCCACGTAAATTAAGGTTCAGAAAATGTTATTTTCTGGTACAAAATAAAGCATGAAGGCATGCGTTAATTTCCTTGCTTTTTTCAGGTAAGTATTATTGCAATGTCTTGTTTTAGAATATCTGGTAAGAGTTCAATGGGAACTCAAGGAAATTCTGATATTTCACACTTTCTAAATTTTCTAAAGTTTCCAGACAACACAGGAGCTACCAATAACCTGTTTCCAGGTTTACTAAAAGAAGACAATGTAATGATACTTTCCTGAAAAAATCAATGAAATATATACATGCCTTCACAGGGCCGTCAGATGGGGGGGTGCGATGGGTGCGACCGCACCCCCCTTTGTCACCCCCAAAATAAATTTGAAAAAAAAATTTGAAAAAAAATTATTTTTTTAAATTTTTTTTTTTTTTTTTTTTCATTGACTCATACACATTGAAAGTACCCAGAAAGCACCAAATATCATCTTAAAATTGTAAAATTTTCTAGGGGTATTGGCCACCCCTCACACCCCCCACAAAACAATGGAAAAGTTCTAAATTTATTTTAGTGTTTTGTCTCAGACACTTTTAAAGTGCCCAGACATCATCAAATAGCTCCTTGATATAGTTAGTGTTTCTGGGGGACTTGCTCCCCCTCTTGCACTTGCATAGACCCCCCTCTGGCGCCCCCCCCCCCCCCTTGACCCCCCCAAAAAAAAAATTTGTGATTTTCTCAAATTCTTTAATTGACTCATTCACTTTGAAAGTGCCCAGAGAGCACCAAATAGCGTTGTAAAATTATAAAATTTTCTAGGGGAGTGGGCCACCCCTCACACCCCAAACAAAACAATGGAAAAGTTCTGAATTTGTTTGATGTATTGTCTCAGACACTTTTAAATTGCCCAGACATCATCAAATAGCTCCTTGATAAAGTTAATGATTCTGGAAGACTAACACTTACTCGCCCTCTGGCATCCCCACTCCACCTCCCCCTCTGGCAGCCACTTAAAGAAACTTTAAGAACATCAAACATCCCTTAACACCCCCCCCCCAAAAAAAAAAAATTTAATTCTGGGGGACAACCTTTGCTCCCCTACGGGCACCACACCCCACTTCACCCTCTCATTGACTATGACACCCCCAAAAGAATTTGAAAAAATACACATTTTTCTTATTGGCTCATAACGCACAGGCGTACCAGATGGTTGCAAATTCGCTCCAAATACAACCAAATTTCAAAATTTTCCTGGGGTAGAACCCCCAGACCCCCCTGAATGCTCGGTTTTTTATTCACTCAACTCTTATTCCCATGGTGGTGGCGTACTCATGGAAACTTACACTTTGAAAGTGCCCAGAAAGCACCAAATAGCATCTCAAAACTGTAAAATTTTCTAGGGGGAGTGGACCACTCCTCACACCCCCCCACAAAACAATTGGAACGTTTGGAAGTTGCATTTGTTAATTCCAAACCAATATAGGGAGTAACTGAGCCCCCCCCCCCCCCCCCTCTGACTTACGCGATTTGATTTACGCGGCAAAAAATTGACAATTTTATATTCTCTTTAGTAAGCTAAAAACCGCACCCCCCTTGGAGAAAAGTGTCTTACGGGCCTGCTTCATACTTAATTTTGTACCAGAAAATAACCTGTGCAGGTAGGGATAGCAATTTTTTACCAAAATGTTACTTTCCAGCTGAACCTAATGAGGATAGGTGCTTGCGTTTCCTGTGCTAGCTGAAAGCCCATGGGTTAATGCATTATTAAGCTGTATGAAAATGTCGATACGATACGACTTAGCTTGAATATTCGGCCGTGCAATATAAAAAATTATTTTATTTTGGTTTGCCCTCAAAAAATCAAAAAAATCATTGACATTTGAAAACTCGTCTGTCAATATATGCCAGATATCTTACTTTTCTATCGATTTTGACTTCAAAAAGCTGGTTATCTCGCAAGGCTTCTGCACTGAGAACAACCCCATTATTGAATTCTTGCGATGGATGACTTCTTTGAGCTGTTTTTCTATCATTATTCAGGGTAACTAGCTGACCAACTTTCGGATGAAATTGGGCCATTCTGCATCTCGCGAAATACCGAATGAGACGAGAGTACACTAGACGAAAAAAACTGTTTGCTACAATTTGCCCGGTAATAATAAACATTTATTATTAGGCCTATGTCGCTTTTATTCCCATAATAAAATGGATTAAACATGTAAACATAAATCAATCAAACAATACAACAATAACCAAAACATATATAACATTTATACACGTAATAAACAAAGAACAAAATATAACAAAACAAATAATTATAAAAGTTTACAAATGCTGGTGGCGCTTATTTATTTCAGAGGAGGAGGTGAGACGAGGCAGCATAAGAACCATCTTTCTTTTCTAAGACTTTTTGCTGGTAATTAAAAAGTGTTTAAATGTAAAAATTAAAAAAAAGTTTCACAGGTTAAGAGGTTGCAGCATGCCATGGGCCTATAGGCTAGGTACATGCAGTCGTCAACACCTGAATACTGAATCGCGCAATTACGGCACAGTCATGGGTCAAAAATCCCCTCCCCCTTGGCAGATGTTCTATCTTGGATTACTTTCATTGCAAGAAGGGCCACTTTGGGGGGGGGGGGGGGGGTCGCCATTTGAATCTGGCACATAAAAAAGGCAAAATAAATCAATGACAAGAGAGGTTGACGAATGATGATACTCTCTCGGGATATTTATCAAGCAATCTAAATTTTAGAAAAACTATAAGCTGGGTGACCCTTCTTGCTCCACGGCCTTTTCTTCCCTTCTTACCCCGCTCTCCCCTACAGGTGTCATAATGTTAACAGATCAAAAGACCTTGAGCTGGAACAAACAATTTTAAACAAACATTTATAAAACAACATCTCAAGTTTCAATACATACACATTACTTGTATATTTAGTTATTTCCCTATTAATAAAAATCTGGATGAATAGGAACTATTGATATTTTCATTCAATGCGCGGAGCAAGTCCTTGAAGAAACTCCGTTTCTATTTGTCATAGGATTCTAAAATTGTTTGACTTGCGCTCTATGGTCCCATTGTAAACTCCAAGACTATAATACAGTTGCTATATGAATGATCGATTGAATAAGCAAAGTCAATTAAATTGGATCATAATCTTATTGGATCAACTGGACTTCTGGAGTTAACGTATTGGTTTTATTAAGCTACGAAATACATGAAAAACCAGATTTGAGAGACATTAACTGATCGATTAATGCAAACACGGATATGACAAGTAATGTTCAGAGTTATGAAAGATAAGTTTGTTCTAAGTGTGTAACGATCATAAGGCTGTCGCCAAGAGTGCTGAAAACACTCAAAACTTTATCAAGAATTAGTGATAACGTCATCTCAATATACATGTTATGATATGGATACTCAGTAATAAACACGACATTGACATTCGAATCGTAGATACTTTGGATTGACAATGCAACGGAGATGGACCTATCGTAATTAAATACTTCAGTGCGATATACCCTGAATCGGAGACATATAAAACTGTCAGTTTATATGTCCCTGCCTGAACAAAGTAAGGAAACTTAAAATCAGCCTACACAAGAGAGAGAGGGAACAATTAAAGAGTAGATAGGACACAAAACGTTTTTGACATAAAGAGTGGCTTATGCTATGTTAAAAGATGCCTCGGAGACAAGACCCAAGAGTTAAGAGTATTCCAAAGTGCGTCCAGGCGCTTTCCATTACAGACGCCATCTCTAAAGGATACTTCCAACAAGTCAGATTCCTCATCGAGTATGGAGCGAATGTCAACGAGCGAGACATGGATGGGAGAACGCCTCTTATGCTCTGTGCACTTGTTGACAATGAGGAATGGGGAGTTGGCATTGCTAGAACACTATTAGAGAAAGGTGCCTATGTTGGATATAGAGATAAAATGGGTCTGAATGCGATGCATTATGCCTGTATATATGAAAGAGCAATCCTTGTTGATACGTTCTTTAATGCAATAGACTTTGATCTGAATCAGGGCGATCGCAAGGGTAACACCGCCTTGTTCTATGCAGTTACCGCCAACAATGAAACAGTTGTGGAGAATATTGTTAAAACATTGTGCAGGTACAAAATGACACTGGACAAAAAGAACAACCAAGGCATAACGCCTCTAATACAAGCCTGGAAATCGGGGCACGTAGTTTGTGCAGGTTTGCTCCTACAAAATGGCGCAGATGAGACTATCAAAGATGGCCTCGAAAACAAATCTGCCAGAGAGTGGGAAATGGAATTTACGTCTAAACAAAGTCGGCGGCAGAGCTCTGCCTCAACATCCACATCAGGCTCACGAGCAATGCTGAAACGCCCATCGTCTGCCCCGTCTCTCTTGCGTCGTTCTAGACCCAAATCAGCCTCCGCTCGCATCGTCTTCAGACGTGGATTGTATAAGGAAATCGCGGATGAAACTAGTAACCCCACGCCAACTAAGAATAAGGATGCTATCATACGTAGCGCGAGCCTTTCTGACCTTAAAAACAATCCAGAGTATCTGTTCAATACAAACCCAGTTGAGTGTTTTTCAAATCCCATATCAACGGGATATCCAAGGATAGGCACAGCTCGAGAGCGAATAAGACTTATGAAAATAAATTCAGCTCCAGATAAAATTAATGTTACTTGGAAGAAAGAGATGAAAATACTTTATAACGAATTCGAATTTCAAATCACTCCTTCTTATCGCGGAGCTGCTAAACCACCCCCTCCACCACCCGAAGACGATGAGCTCTTAGATGCAGAAGAAAATGGAGAGAAGAAACCTGGTAGAAAGATATCCGATGGCAAGCCACCGATCCATCCACACGCTGAGCTGAAACGACGCCAATCCGAGATGAGAATGACTGGGAATTCTCGTCTGTCTCGTCGAAACTCTGTGTTAAGCAATCAACCCCTCTCCGTTGGCAATAAAAGAAATACATTGACCCATATGGGAAGTTCAGAGAGTATTAACGCTAACGGTGGTAAAAATATACTGCGAAAGAAAAACAACAAGACAGACGTTGAAGAAGGTTCAGACCACGGCAGTCGACCCGTCAGTAGAACCGGGTTTGCAATGTAATATACCTTAATGCCAAATAAAAGTATTATATTCAAAAATATGTCAACTTATAATTATGGGGCTTTTGCTCTAAAATAGGAAAAAATGGTGGTACATAAGAGGGAGTTCAGTGTTTCTCATACCCTGTGCAATGCAGTGCAGAGTTATAGAGACGAAGTTCTCTTTTAAAAAGCGAAGTCGAACTGATGCAACATGAATGTTTCTCATATTGGCATGTTACCGGCAGCTCCACCACTTGTTATATTTAACAGGGTATCTCCATGACTCAATATTTCAAACGTCTTCCTGTAAATTTACAATATTGTGCCTCAACTTTACACCCTTTCCCGACAGCTTCATAAATTAATACGGAACTTGCCATTGCCGTACACATACCTCAGTACGTAGTCTGAGACGTCGTGCATATTCTGTGGCGGTAATTTGTAGTGGAATTAGGCTGCTATACCTATTTTGTAAACATACTTTAAACTGCAGATTCAGAAATTTAGCTTTTATAAAGCCATGGCGTAGCGAGGCATGAGACGAGCGAGCCTCGTCAAAATTTTACCTTTACCTTTTAATTAAAAACAGTCGTACCTCAACATTCCCCAAATTATCCTAACCATCAAAATCCAGTCAGCTAAAATCCGTATCCAAATAAAAAGGCCAATAAAAATGTCCAAGTATAAAAATAGATGGCATTAGTGTATACTAAATTTATTGATTTCAATAACAACATAATAATATACTTTTTCATCCTTCTTCGAAGGACTTAATTTATGCTTAAATTCAGGTTATATAAGCTACTTGTAAAATACCCTTGCAGCAAGGATGATACTTTTTCGGACTGTGGTATCAGGTGAAGATCCGGGTCGTTGTTAGATTTTGTACAATATATATCACCACATCGATAATATGATGTATCTAATTTGAAGATTCAATAAAGAAACCATATAAAACAAATTATTGAAGATCGTCCGACAATGCCCCATGTCCGAGATTACCCCTATGTCCTCCAAATAAAAATATTTTCGTTCTGAGAAAAAGAAACTGTATTGAATATCAATGTCCTTGAAATGAAACATTAATTTTTGATTGCCCTTTCTCTATGTGTGTGTGTGCGATCCAAACCATCAAAGCTTTAGTTCATTATAAAACATTATTAAAAGTTATACATATATCTGTTTACATTCACGTTACTCATAAAGTTCTGGTTGCGTGCGTCTGTCAAATAATCAGCTCGATGGATTGTTAAACAGTTTAAACTTTGAATAGAAATAAATTGAAATAAACACACAAGTTCCAAAAAAGTAAATCACCTTTAAAAAATGAACAACTTAGTTATAAATTATTAAAATCTAGTATATTTAAATTTAAATATTTGAATCACGCTATAGTTCAAGGGCCTGAAGACCCCGGAGACCTAGGAGAGCACGACATGCAGTAGATCAAATGTTGACATCAGATTTTGAGGCCACGAAAACTAAATATTGATACTAATCTTGGTGCTCTAAATCGGCATTGTATTGGGGTTGCACTGGACCATGGTCAGCCCATTGGTGTATATGTATGAAACTTGAGAAAACAGGACTCGTTCTACATTAGTAAGGTTAGCTACACGTTTTAAGAAAACGTGAACGTGCATTGGACACATAGGGATATAACTGTCCCCATCATATATAATCACAATGTTGGAAATCGTATTACTAGACAGTTCCACAATATACACCCCTGTAAAATAAAAACTGAATTGACAAAAAGGTCAGTGGCATATTCTGGTGCCATTTTATGGAATGCTTTGCCAATAGTACTTCGAACATGTAAAACTTTGAATTCTTTTAAACATAACATTAAAAAGGACCTTTTGGAAAAGATGAATGAAAACATTACATAAAATCACATTTTGTTTATTTAATTATTTCTCTCAAGACTTCAAAGTTTCTGTATTGTATCTATTAATTGTATCTGTATTGTTATATGTTATATTATATGTAATTTTGGTTGCTCTGCAACACATTTTGAAATAAGCGCTGATACGCCCAATTACTAAGGGTGTCGAGTGCACACGTTTTGTACTTTACATTGTTATATTATGAAATAAACTATAAACTATAAACTATAACTTTAAACTATCTCAATTGTTTTTTCTACACAGACCTAATTGCGACTATTTTGTCTCTACCTTCATCTCATTCGGGTAAGTAAATACTATGAAGGGGATAAATATTCCATAGAGGACTGTAATTTTACAAGTTAACGAACAATTCTCTTAAAACGTATAATTTAACCCCCCCCCCCCCCCCCGTTGACCAATAGATAGACGTGTGGATAAGTGGATGACGACGTAGTATACGTAGTGATCAGTGTAGTGTAGAAAATCGAGTTCAGTTGCTGACCTCCATGGTTATGTTTGCAATGGAACAAATTCTGAATGTATTTGGAGACCGTATGCGCAAGTGTGGGACATTACACGAAACAACATGAAGAAGGGATAACCCAAAAGTACATGTAGTATCGGTCATATTGCTGTCTGATTTACTATATACAGGGTGGGCCAAAAAAATTTGCAACCTTTTTAGAAGGCAAAAAAAGTATTATAACATTATGGTATTGACATGAAATTTTTTTTACAGAAACTTAAGGATAGGCATATTTTACCATTTAAATACTTAAGCTAATACTGACATCAAATTTTTTTGTCAGATGTTTGAATATTAATGGTAAATTGTTCATGTGTCCGAGATTTACCGATTTTCCTAGAAAATGTGATTTTCTATCATTTTATGTGATCATCGATAGAACATTTGTTATGTTCACTAAATCTGCTGCAATCTTTGTTAAGTGGTGTATTGGGCGGCTATTCATCAGGACTAATGAATCAAGGGGTATTTTGCTCCAGATATTCCATAGTGACTTTTGGCCTATGGTCAGGAGCGCTATCCTGCTGGAATATGTAATCACTTGGGGCTGAAAGAGCCCCCATTCTTGAAAGATGTCCCTTTAGAAGAAGATTAATCCTGAGTCGAATGGCCACCCAATACACCAGATGCCAACCCCTGGGACTATCACACATGGGGGCACCTGGAGCAATGTATTGTAGTTAATGGTTATACCCCACAAATTATTGATCAACTATAAGAAGTTCTGCAGGATAAGTGGAGACGACTACTACAAGAACTGCTGGATCTCGCCATTGACCAGTTCAGTTCTCGTCTCCATGTGATTGTGAAGGTGAAAGGCGGATGCATAGAACATTTGTTTAATAAATAATTAATACAGTGTAACAATATTACCATAGTGACTAGATCCTGATATAAACCTGTACTAGACATTGGTTAAACAGTTATCAAAGATTGTAGCAGATTTAGTAAACATAATGAATGTGTTATTGTTGATCACATAAAATCATAGAAAGTCCGAATTTCTCGGAAAATGGTAAATTTACCATTAATATTCAAACATCTGACAAAAAAATTTGATGTCAGTATTAGCTTAAGTATTTAAATGGTAAAATATGCCTATCCTTAAGTTTCTGTAAAAAAAATTTCATGTCAATACCATAATGTTATAATACTTTTTTTTGCCTTCTAAAAAGGTTGCAAAATTTTTTGGCCCACCCTGTACTACTCCCAGATGAACTTCTCTTCATGTCTGTCCTAAAGTTTCAACTTTACACGGAGAAAGGTGATAGTTTCATCCTTGAATTCTGGGTTATCTCCCTCTTTACAAAACAGGTGGCATTGCTTTCAGGGAACATGGCGAAAGCCTTAATTTCTCACTTACTAGTGAAACCAATCCTAATATACTGTGGCCTTACTAAACAAATTCTCACATTAGTCTACATATTATTTCGATCAGATAATTGAGATAAAATGAAACAGTTCACCAAGTTGATACAACACGATTCTGGTAAAAGTTTCATAAAGTTAACCTCTAAGTATAAAAGTTCGTTAGGTGAAAGTCGTGGAATTTCTACCTAAAAAACGTTAACGTGGCACTTTTATTCGATTTGATTTTACTTTATTACATGCATGTATATGCTTTCACAAAACAGAGTGAAATGAATCGAATACAAAAATGAATAATTAACTAAATGGCACTTGTTATTCATCTAGATGGCAGATTATAATTAGATTTTTGAGGTTGTGTTCGCTAAAAGAAAGATTGACATTGTGAGATTTCTTTCGAGGGCAATCATAGCAGATTGTTGCTAATTGTGATAAGTTAAGTGTGCCAAGGTATATCAGTCAAGCAGGAGCATAACTGTCTAAGATGAAGCAATATTAGACTCATGGAATTCCATTTAAGTGTTTTACTGATGAATACTACACACAGAACTCTTTGAAACACAGGTTAATTAGTAGAGGCAGAGAGCTGCCCATTCGGGGACGAAACATGTAGTTTTTACACCTGGTTAGAAATGTTACGCAAAAACTGGGTCAAATATTTTCGGAACACAAGAACTATAATGCAAATGCTGTTAGGGTAACCCTACCATGAAATATTTTACTTTAAATATTCACAAGACGATTTTTCTGATAATCTCTCCCTCTGTTGTTACACATGGGTATTGGTTTGCCCATTTGTTGATCCAGCAAATTAAACAACACACTGGTGATCCACTCGATTACGCTGGTTACCAAAACGAACCGTTTTGGTAACAAAATGTCGGAACGTCGAAGGCACGATTTTTCTTTTTTCCTTATTTCACGCGTTGTAGGCAGAATCCCCACGACGTTTTTCTCACAACGTGCATCAGTATCATATGTTTTAGAAAATGTACATGTTTGCGATAAAATAGCTCAGAGGACAACAGAATCGTCGATTTACTTCCTCACTTAAGTTACATAAACGGTTTTTCGAAAAACAGTTAAGATCTGCACTTTTAACCCAAACCGTTTATGTAACTTAAGTGAGGAAGTAAATCGACGATTCTGTTGTCTTCTGAACTATTTGTTTGCAAATATGTACACTTTCTTAAACATATGATACTGATACACGTTTGTGTTAAAAAATGTCGTGGGAATTCTGCCTACAAGTGTAAAATAAGGAAACGAGAAAAATCGTACCTTCCGGATGTTCCGACATTTTGTTACCAAAACGGTTCGTTTTGGTAACCAGCGTAATCGAGTGGATCACCTGTGCAACAGTTCCATCTCGACCACTCGCATGATTGACGGCGACATGGATGCTGTGCCCATGCTGAGATACTAAAGTTGCCTGTCATATCAAAAATATATGTTTATCTTTAAATGTTTTGTTGGTATTAATAATATTAATCCGCTGACCAAACACATGCCATGGATTATGAGAAGTTCGGTTGTTTGGAAAAAGGATTTTACGAAGTGGACCCGTTTCGCCGTTAGGTACGGTTCTCAATGGTCTAATATCGAACAATGAAATTGAATATCAAAACAAATATAACATTTGATTTCACTAGCGAATAAATAAACGGTTTGAATTTATTTCCACGGCGAATGTTGCTTGCCTAAGGATAGGGCGCCTTGAATAAAACAATTCACACGTTTAGAGATTGGCCGTGCGTTACACCAAAACAGAGCTGAAACTGAGAGCTATTTGACAAATGAACACGAAATAGTAAATTGCTGCACTTTCATGCACTTGAACTGAATAAAATGAGTGAAATAAGATAAATTATAAGTAAAAAGTCGAGTGCTTGTACGTTTGTGTATATCAGTAATCAAAAGTTGTCAGGTGTTTTTACCAACTTTTTAACTCCAGCCGCTGTTCAGATTGCTGTAAATGCGATGGTTAATGATGCTCAGTGATAAGGATTTAAATTAATATTTAATATAATGATAAACATGGATTACGTATTTTTACATCATGAACGAGTGCTAAACCTCATTTTGTGATTAATTAAAAGCTATTAATTAGTGAACTAGACTCGCCCGGTTATTTCCTTCCCTGTAAAGAAACTATGTATTCCAGCGGTAATTTTCTTACACTACCAGGACTAGAGACCAATAATATGGGACTAGAGACCCATAATATGGGATCAGGTAATTTGGTAAACGGTAGGCTTGATCCAGAAAGGAATATATTCAAAAGAGGACTAACTTCAAATGGTGCTTATGATGCTACTCAACGTCATTTTGATAGTTTGGATAATTTAAGTGACACCGAAAGTGAATTTCGGAAATATAATCTTCCTCAAACGTTGATCACTCTCCCAGCAAGATTCAAAAATCCAAAAATCTCTCAGGGTGGATCATTGATGACAAATGACAACTCGTTTGAAGACAATATTGTTGATAACAACAACAAAGAAGGTGAAAAGCTTAAGGGTAATGCAACAAATACTAGTAATAATGATCACTTTTCTATACATCCATCGGCGCAGCCAGGATCAAGAATAGTACAAGAGCACAATCAAAATGGGAAATGTAATGGAGAAAATGGATCATCCGAGGACTGTACAAAAGATATCAGTTTGGCATTACAGTGGCTGAAGCAACAAGTGGTATGTACCCTAAAAAGTCATTACCTTAATTTCATTCTCAAGAGCTCCACTTTGTCATCACTCCTTTGGTAAAGAATGATTCTCTTAAGATGCTTTGATGCAGCCTATTTATATTCAACGATTGCCTCATTCATGTCTATAACTACATCCTTGCTGCAAGGGTATTTTACAAGTATATAAGCATAAATGAAGTCCTTTGAAGAAGGATACTATAACTGGTTAGCAGACAATCAATTCACATTCAAACACCCATAACAAAGATAATCAAACCATTTGTTGTTATCAGAGGGTAGTAGGGCCATTAAATAGCCGATGGAGAGTTTGGGTATTAATACATAAAATAGCAACCTTTGATGAATTCGAATTTACACTGCAGGCCGTTGAAATACTCCCATTTGTCTCCCGCACAGCTGTACATCAATAAGATGGTAATTGCAGCTCAAACATAAAGTATTGCACATTAATTCTCTACAATTATAGTTTAGCTCTCTTTAATGTTCCACCAATATAAACCTCACCTTTCCCAGTAACATGTTTGTAGTTGGGAGGTTAGGTACACGTTCAAGAGAACTTCTACGCGGACGTGTAATATTACAACAACATGGATTACTGCCCCATCACATTTGGTTTTTCTAGGTACAATAATTATACAATTATTTGTAAAACAGAAAAGTCAATGTCAAACATTAGTACTATTTTGCTATTATAATTTGGGAAACAGACCAACATCCATAGTCGACATAGTTGACAGTCCGTCAAGGTCAAAAAGGTCAAAGTCACACATGAGATGTGATGAATCGAATTTCCATTGACTTTCTCCAATCTTTGCACCAAGTTCTTATTGTAACATATGCTTTAAATATCAATGGGATGTTTACTGTGCAAAGTATCCAGAAGTTACCAACTTACCAAAATACAGGTGTTTACTTACTATTAGCTTTACTACCTAGCAATGCAACATAAATCATCTCAAACATCTCTAACATGCCTAATGAGTGTAACCCTAATATTTACATTGGAATAAATCCAAATGGGGCCTTACAACAATCTAAGTGGAGTTAACCTTTCTGACCAACGTATAATAATTTGTGCTGAACACACCATCAATAGAAATAAGGCAGGACCATGCAAAATATCACCTCCTGCCATTTGTTAAAGACACCGAACGCCAACCGCCAAACACCAAACGCCAAACAATTTAATGTCAATGAAAACATTGGAGACCGTTACAATATGTTACTACTTGAGGTGGTGACCTTAAAAGTTAAATTGTTAAATGAACTCTGAGCTATAGTCAAAACAGTAATGTTTGTGAGTACTTTGAATTTAAAAAATAAGCAACCAAATGACCATATTGAAACAGTTTATGTAAAAATAGAAACATTTATATTTATCCTAACTTTTGTATATTTCAGATAGTAAGGTATAATGTGCAGCAAAGCTGTGGCCATGTGTAATTTAGGGAGTTTCAGCCATGTTAATTTTTCCGAAAATAACATGGCAAAGAAGTATCAAAATAAAAGAGGACACCGATATGATAGCTAAACTAGAAAACAAACTAAAATATACAAAAGTTAGGATAAATATTAATGTTTCTATTTTTACATATATTGTTTCAATATGGTCATTTGATTGCTTATTTTTTAAATTCAAAGTACTCACAAACATTATTGTTTTGACTGTAATATCACGGGGTACCATCGAATAATTTTGGCAACGTACCGGAGAGCGACATTTTACTAAGAAATGGCAATAATTTAGCACAATATATTTTTTAACTAGAGTTCTACTTTGATTTTGACAAAAGTAAGTATTCCATGCAATGGCTATTTCATTCATGAGTTTGTAGGAATTCTGTTGGAACCCAGTTCTGATCAAGTACGAAGTTATTGAAATCGGCGCAGTCGGACTTTACTCCGAAAGATGGTTTTTCGATTATAATTTTTTACAACATTTAAGTATAGACTTTTGAAAAAAGTACAGAATAGTCCTTATACTATTGAATAATTCTGTTATTTCTGATTCACACGACTCTGATTTGTTTAATTAAAAAAAAGTTTTAAAAATATTACTTAGGAACGTAACCGGAGCTGGGAACGTAACCGGAGCAGATCAGTTGAATTATATAATTTAAAAAAATAAAATATATGATTTAAAGCATATATATTAATAAATACGCATTCGAACAATCCCGTATGTTTTTAAATTAGTATATGTGCTTTAAATCATATATTTTAATTTTTTGTTTAAATAATTCAACTGATCTGCTCCGGTTACGTTCCCAGCTCCGGTTACGTTCCTAAGTAATATTTTTTAAACTTTTTTTTTAATTAAACAAATCAGAGTCGTGTGAGTCAGAAATAACAGAATTATTCAAAAGTATAAGGACTATTCTGTACTTTTTTCAAAAGTCTATACTTAAATGTTGTGAAAAGTTATAATCGAAAAACCATCTTTCGGAGTAAAGTCCGTCTGCGCCGATTTCAATAACTTCGTACTTGATCAGAACTGGGTTCCAACAGAATTCCTACAAACTCATGAATGAAATAGTTATTGCATGGAATACTTACTTTTGTCAAAATCAAAATAGAACTCTAGTTAAAAAATATATTGTGCTAAATTATTGCCATTTCTTAGTAAAATGTCGTTCTCCGGTACGTTGCCAAAATTATTCGATGGTACCCTGTGTTGCCAAAGCGGAATTTCCTCAATAAAAAATTCAAAGATCTAGTTCTGCACCTTGTAAGTATTGTGGCAATTGTTTATATTGAAACAATCTGAAATGCTATCTTTACCTTGAAAAACATGCCTCTGGAATTTGTGTTTTAGAAACATTTACACATTCCTCAAGTCTGTTTTCAGAGCTTAGATAATAATGACACATATAAAAAACGCAATCAACTCTGAAGTCAAGATTATATTTCAAGTGTGGAATTTGTATTATTCCAGATCTCCTTGTCCGAACTATTTCTGATTCATTCATCGACTCATTATTTGTACCCGATGTTTTAGTCTCACTTGCAGACAAAATCTATCAATTCTAATTTTAACCAGAATTTCGAAAGTTCAAAGCATTAATCATGCTTCTCGTCTAAATTGAACCACCAAAAACAAATGGAAAACTATCTATTACATGATGCAACTGTTCCAATTAAACATTGACCTACAACAGATAAATGAAGGTCACCCCATCATCGTCACTGAATCATAATGGCGGGTGTAAAAGGGTAGGAGGTCCTATCAAATTATGATCCTACTTTCCTTTATATGGTGACCTAAATACAACTCTTTCCGTATCCACAATCAGGGCAAGTAAGGGCCTTTAAGAAAGGAGACCAGTTTCCCCAGGGGACCATAATTTCTTTTACACGGGATTGGGATACTGTATTTGGTGGTATTGCATACACTTCCCAAGAGACAGCTGACTGCCGTTTTTAATTACTAGTAAATAAATATCATTTTTTGATCTAACCATCCATTCAGACTACGTTTGGCTCCATTTGTGAATATTAAGATGTTACTGTGTTATAAACAACAGGATGTAACATCATGTGTAATAATTAGAGGGTACCGTGGTCAGCTGATGGGGATCTAGGGTAAATATAACATATTGATGGGGTATTCATATTTTGGATATTTACCTCCTGGTTACTGAGCCTCCCTCTATCTTAAACACTCTTCCAATTCCATGAATTCATCATTCATTTTTTTACCAAAAACAACATACCTAATTTTATTTATTACAATGTGCAATACATAAGTTGAAATGAATAGCAATGAACTAGTATTTTCCACTTTTACACAAGTCAATGAGAATTTATATTGTTATCGATAAGAAATTAGTAAAAACTATGCATTACAGACAAAAGTAATTAATGAAATGATCAACGGAACATACTATTTTAAAGTTCAATAGGCTTACATGTAATTGCATCATTGTGAAAGTTCAATAATTGCAAGTGAAATTGAATAGTATTCTGCACAGATCAACCATCTTTGTATATCAAAATTCATTTTCAAAAATATCTTGTATTTTCCTTATCAGTGTAGCTTTCATGAAGCGGATGGAACTCATCATTGCTAATGGATCGGAGTAATTAAATTATGCAACATTAACTTGTGTATTCGACTTCTTATGCTTCTTATGTGGTAACCTTACCACCAAGATGGTTTTATTGACAGAACTCAATGACTTTTTTTTGTATTTCTTATCTTCAAAATGACATTTTCAAATCTAATTGAGTTGGTTTAAGTGCTAGTATTGTTCTTTCCAAGTTTTAAGGAACTTTCAAAAGCCCTTGAAATATGATTTAAGTGATCCTTTTCAAACCATATTGAGAACTGAAAATATAACTACAAGGTTATTTCATGTTGAGGCCTCCTTATCTCTGTAGGGAGGAGGTAGATTACTTCATATGTTGGCAGGGTCCACAGGAAGCTTCTTAACTAGGCAAACCACCCAAGGTGTAGAAAGTATCTTTCTGTCAAAAATAATGTAACAGATTAAATATAAACTTTTGATAAGATACTACAAAAGTGCTATTGACTGGTTAGTATCAGCAAGATAACAGTGTCTTGTAGTGCTTAATGTATTGTAAACTAATGGAGTTAATAAAATGCAGTTTATTCTGGGATAAAGTTTGAAGAAATTTGGCATTTCAGTAAAACCTGTCAAGTGGAACACCTCTATAAGTGGATCACCTCTGTAAATGGAACACTTTAAGTCCCATAACTTACTGACTTCATGTAAATTGAACCTCTGCAAGTGGAACACCTTTGTAAATGGAACACTTTAAGTCCCATAACTTACTGACTTCATGTAAATTGAACCTCTGCAAGTGGAACACCTTTGTAAATGGAACACTTTGAGTCCCATAACTTACTGACTTCATGTAAATTGAACCTCTGCAAGTGGAACACCTTTGTAAATGGAACACTTTAAGTCCCATAACTTACTGACTTCATGTAAATTGAACCTCTGCAAGAGGAACACCTTTGTAAATGGAACACTTTAAGTCCCATAACTTACTGACTTCATGTAAATTGAACCTCTGCAAGTGGAACACCTTTGTAAATGGAACACTTTAAGTCCCATAACTTACTGACTTCATGTAAATTGAACCTCTGCAAGTGGAACACCTTTGTAAATGGAACACTTTAAGTCCCATAACTTACTGACTTCATGTAAATTGAACCTCTGCAAGTGGAACACCTTTGTAAATGGAACACTTTAAGTCCCATAACTTACTGACTTCATGTAAATTGAACCTCTGCAAGAGGAACATCTTTGTAAATGGAACACTTTAAGTCCCATAACTTACTGACTTCATGTAAATTGAACCTCTGCAATAGGAACACCTCTTATAGAGGCTCCACAAAGTGGAACATTTCAGTCTACTCAACCATTGCATTAATGTTAATGAAACCTCTTTAGTGGAACACCTCCCAAGTGGAACACTTTTTAGTGGAACAAAGGATTTTCCACATACAGAGGTTTTACTGTTGTATATTGATATTTTATATACAACATACCATATCAATATATTTCATTTGAGATTTTAAAAGGTGTTTGACTACCCTGTATTCACTCCACATTGGCAGCCCCACTACCCTCTAACTTTTACAGAAGATTTTACTGTTTTTAGACTGGTATGGTCTTAATAATCTCAATGTACCTGTCACTCCCTGTTATGTATGTTTGAATGTGAAATGAATGTAAGCTATAGGCTAGATTATATAATTATCTCAGAGTGTAGATAAAGTCGAACTATTGAAAAGGGTAAATTGGAGGTAGAAATGAATTACAGAAAAACCTGTGTATAAGGAACAATTTTTGCAGAGAAAAAATGTTCGGTGTTGGTAGGCGTATACTACAGGGAGTATATTTATACAGCGGAGGAATGGTGTTCACTAGAGAGAGGTGTTTATTAACCTCTTGAATCCCAGGCTCTAAAATCGGTCGAAACCACAGAATATTTCATTTTTGCAACCTTTTAACATTTACTACATACTTGTATATACAACTTTAGATGCTCAAATTAGTAAAATTAGATGGCACAGAGATCATTTCTACACGTTTTAAAACAATTTTTGTGTAAATTGGATGAAAATAGTTCAATTAAGAGCAATTTTAGTGAAAAATTTTGTGACAGATTTTCTCTTCACTCCAGTTAGTCAATTTTTCAATAAAAAAATGTTCCCATTTTTATTGGCCCACCCTGTACATATATTGTTGATATCATTACTGTCTGGTGTTATCCAAAAATGGAATGGAAGTGTTCACATTTTGAGGTGTTTCACATTAAAAGGTGTTTGCATGATATGTTTAACTGTATTGTAATCTAGCAATTGTAATCTAGTATTGTAATCTAACATTGTGTCATTTATCAGAGTTGAGATCTAAGGTGGCTTTTAAGATTTGTGATCTTATATTGCGCTCATTTAGGAAAACAAAATATTTTAGCCACATGCAATTTTCCTGGAATTTCCTATTCGATTAGGGCAATTAAAACAGGTCTGTTATTATTCACCATGACCTTTGGTGGTTTGATACTTTTTGTAAATATCACCCTTGGTGATCAGAACTTACAGCACATCTTGTAAGGGGGTTGGGTAAGAAGAGGGGCCAAGGGGGGGGGGGGGTTGGGCAAGTGAGTGTTGAGGGAAAGAAGGGGTCGGACAAGATGGGTGTGGGGAAAGAATGGTGATGAGGGTCTTGTTGGAAAGTGGTCCGAATGCAAGGACAAATGAAAAATGGACTGTTTCATCCAAAAATAAACTCCTACTTGTTAGTAGAACCAAGGGTTGTTTGTGAAACATGATTACCATACCACCTTTATGAGTCAATTCATGCACACCTTTGAGGGTGGACCATTAAATCTCTGGGGAGGGAAACTAACCTTTTCCAAAAAGGTATTTTGGTTTGGGGTGGAATATTAGAAAGAAAAACATTGATTGACCTTGGTTAGACAAAAACCATGTGTCTTTTGAAAGGACTTGGGTACAATTGTTTTTGAGACAGTTCTGAAGTGCTCTGGAAAGTATAGGGTACAAAAGATCTATCAACTACACTGCCTTTATCAAGTATGTTGCTTGTAACTCTGATAACAGAATGAGCAATCATCATCACACTATTACAGTTATTATCAAACTAATGATCGAAATATGTGAACTCTGACATCGTATCAAACATGTCAAATGGGGTCAACCATGCATTCCATAAAGGTGTTGTGACCTCAAATTTATGAAACATATTATGATTGATTTATTGACAAAAATTGTATGCAACTAAAATGTACATGTACTAAAATGCTGTTCTTATATGTATAGGCATAAAAATGTAAATGAAAGAAAATTACATTCCATGTTTATTTTCAACAATTATTGTAGTTTCTTACAAACTAAAACTCAGAAGTCAAGAACACTGTGCAGAACTGGTCATTTGTTCATACTAATAAAAGCTTGTAAACTTCTATTTCAGTTGATGCTCAAACAACAAGATAAGGCATTAGCTCGACAATTCTTGGACCTTGGTGCCCAAATCCATCAGTTAAGAGGAAATGACTTCTTCCGACAGCCACAACATAGACCAAGCAAATCTTCTGAATATCAACTAACAGGCTCTAAACTAAGTCGTAGCTTTGCATCACTCAATGATGATAACTTTTTCTGGGCCCCTTCAGTGGGTTCATTGAGACCCCTTGGCAGAACAATCAATGAGAACCAAGCCTCATTTTTTGAATTTCGTTCAAGAGCAACTTCAATGGTATCTGTAGTACCTTCATGTACTTCCCCGCCACATGAAAAGACAAAAAGTTTTTTTGATGATGAATTTACCGAATGTATAAACTCACTCGATGAAAGCACACATTTATAGGATTATTGAGACACCGAGACACACCATGATAAATCAAGACACACCATGATAAATCTTGCATTTGACGACAGAAAATACCCAGCATGCCCATTAACTTCATGTAATTAGGTCTGGATTCATATGCCATAGAACTACTTTCTTGACATCTGAAATGAATCCTTTAAAATTAGTTTTGGGTGGTTAAATCTCTCAACTTTAAATCTATGTTAACCAGAACAACGGCAACGCCAAAGCGTAGCGAATCCCATCGAACAGAAATGGCTGGCATTTTACAAACGAAATATATAGCAAATATCATAAAATAACACACATAAGAAAGGCCACCATTTTCAAAATGGTTGCTCACTAGCCAAGTTGTCATCAGAAGTAATATGCTTTTTTTTCTAGCATTCACAACCAAATATGAACAAAATCGCTCTACTACTTTTCGAGTTATAGTAAAATACTTTAAAATGGTGGCCATTTTTCAAAATGGCCGCCTTCTACCAAAAGTGTCATTAGACAGTGTGCCATGCTTATAGTATTCACATACCAAATATGAACAAAATCGCTCCACTACTTTTCAAGTTACAGCAAAAATTGTAAAATAACAAGTAAAGACCGAGTAAAATACGTTTAAATGGCGGCCATTTTTTAAAATGGTCACCTTCTACCAAAAGTGTCATTAGACAGTGTACCATGCTTATAATATTCACATACCAAATATGAACAAAATCGCTCCACCACTTTTCAAGTTATAGTTAAATACGTTAAAATGGCAGCCATTTTTCAAAATGGCCACCTTCTACCAAAAGTGTCATTAGACAGTGTGCCATGCTTATATTATTCACATACCAAATATGAACAAAATCGCTCCACTACTTTTCGAGTTAAAGTAAAATACGTTAAAATGGCGGCCATTTTTCAAAATGGCCGCCTTCTACCAAAAGTGTTATTAGACAGTGTGCCATGCTTATAGTATTCACAAACCAAATATGAACAAAATCGCTCCACTACTTTTTGAGTTATAGTAAAATATGTTAAAATGGCAGCCATTTTTCAAAATGGTGGCCATTTTTCAAAATGGCCGCCTCCTACAAAAAGTGTCATTAGACAGTGAGCCATGCTTATAGTATTCACATACCAAATATGAACAAAATGGCTCCACTACTTCTTGAGTTACAACATAATTCGTAAAATAACGAGTAAAGGCCGCCATTTTTCAAGATGGCTGCCATGTGCTTCTTAAATATCTACATTTCTAGCTTTATCAATGTCCTATATAATTTTTTTACATTAAAACATATTGCTATTACAGTTTTACATATTGCACCTAAATTACAGTAAAATAGGCACTAAAATGGCCGCCATTTTTGAATGAGCGGCCATTTTGAAAATCGGCTTTCGAGCAGAACTTCTACTCCCATAGGGTATATGTGTACAAAATATGAACAAAATCGGGCCAACGGTATTTGAGTTATTGCCCGGACGGACGGACGGACAGACAGACGGACGGACGGACGGACGTACGTACAGACGTACGTACGGACGGACGGACGGACGGACGGAGGCGTTCCCTATATCCCTCCGAACTTCGTTCGATGGGATAATAAAGGATTTGAAGTGCAATCATCTACATGTACATAACATGTTTTGAAATATTGTACTGCAGTGTAATTATATTTACAAATTATTTATATTTATAATAAATATCAATATTAAAACACAATTCCATTTCTGTTGCCTTTCTTTATTATGTAACACTTTATCAATTTAGACACCAAGGTTACAGTAAAATACAAAGTACATTATATATTGTTAATATATCATGGTAATACTAAATTCATTTTCTTGCATTTTTTATAATACAGTAATCATTGGCCAATAGGAGCCAGGACTCACATAGATGGGAGTTCACTAATTTTCTCGAGTGGGTTGTTAACACCAGTCCCGGACACCAGTTCACCAATTTCACAAAAAATCAACAATATTTCGTCACAATATCCTCTGCATATTGGTTTTTCCAGAGTATTATGTGGCGATATTCTCAAGTTATTCATTTTGCTAATAGATATCATATTCATCTTTTTAATATTATTATTCATTTAGTACATTAAGTGTAGGATAACTTCAAATATACTACATAAACTAAACTGATATCACATTTTCTCTTCATGATTATTTACTTATATATATTATACTTGCCATATATATATTTTCTTGCCATAATTATTTACTCCTAATGTTTAGAGTTTTAATATGATAAGGTTTTGGGAGATTTTCATTGAAATTTATCTTGAGGGATTTTTGAAGCAATTTGTACATCTACAAGTATACCCACTGAATTCTTCGCCATTTTTTGACAGTCCTCAAGGCAATTATTACCCTACTGGCCTATACAGAATGTAGAGGTCTGTAATTGTTTTTAACCCGAAAAAGGGTAACAAATCCAAGACTAAAACTGATCACTCATACTAATCAAATTCAACTTTACTATCTCTGATTTTTGATATGATGCTACATATGTATGAAACCATCAAAGCTTTTATTTCAATTTCTATTTCAATTTTATTTATTATACCATCACCCAAATAAAGGGTATTAGGCAAAAGTACATACAGTAAACAATTAAGTATTTCATTCACTTCACTCCGCCTACTTTTCAGCAAGTTGAGATGCTAAATTCTGCAAGGGCAAATGCCCAATTCTGCAGGAACTCTGTGTGATTTCTCGATGTTTTTAATGAAAATCAAGACAAATTGAGGGTAAAATATCAAGATATGTACATACAGTTAAAAACACATGGTGGTATCTAGCAAGAAAGCAAAATGATAAAACAATAGACCTAGGACAAATTTATTTTATGTCTTTTGGTTATACTTTCACAAAATATGTCAATTCCATGGAAAGGGATCAAAGTTTATGATTCTGCAACTCAAGGTCAATTCCATCCACGCTCTGCGAAAATAGAATTCTAGTAGGGGGAGTGATAATTTCCTTTTTGGAAAATCCATGTGTTCGATTTAAGTAGTGCCTTGAGGATCAAAAAATGAAGACAATCTACTGAACTGGCCTACAATTTTCTCATCTTGAGTTACTAAGTACATGTATTTGGTTACTTTGAGCCAACTTTGAGTTATGGTTTGTGTCTGCCATAATCATTCCAAAAATATGGAAAATTAAATGTATATAACTCTAGACTGAACACAAATGGGTCATATGAAACACTGCATGCCTATAAGGCACTTTAAGAAGGCTTCGCTTACTGTTAGATTACCTGAGATAAATATCATTTGCCCTTGTATTGTAACATACCATTGGAAAGGAAAATACATGATAGATAATATGATTACATGAAGTATTATGATTAAAATCAATAATACCTAAAGTTCGATTTAGGAATAAACAAAGAGCAAACTAGCTAAAGGTTAAATGTGTGATGAAACATATCCTCTATTTTGCAGTTGCTTCTGTAATCTTGCTCCTGAGTTCTGCTGGGGTAAATACACCAAATTCTGTAATAATCCCTCCAGTTATTAGAGCTGCAGGGGTAACATCAAAGGCAGGATTCCAACAGCCTATACCTTGAAAATATATAACAACATTTATCCCATGGTTGCAAGGATATATATAGATAGAATATCTCGGTAGATATACTGTACTCCCAGTTAATTGCGTGAGTTTTAATTTATTTAGAATCCAAAACATTACAGATGCAACAGAGTTGTTAACAAGCTTTACTCAAAAAAGATACACAAAATTTAGTGGAATATGGAATGGAATAATAGTCATCTAAAATGACATTTTAACAAAATTTAGAATTTCTGCCATTTTCAAATGACCATGCTAAAATTGCAAGACAACTACGTTCAAATACTAGACTTAGTAAAGTACACATGTATATGGTTCTGGGTTCTCCCCAGAATCTAATTGCATGGCGCTCCCCCCTGCTCACCCGTTTTCCCCGCCCTGTTCCCCCCCTGCTTGCTTCGCCCGCCCTGCTTAGCGCCCCGCTACTTCAAAACTTACGTACATTATTTTATTCTCCTGGATATTCGACGAAATCACATAAAATTCAAAACTTTTTCAAAAAGTTTTTCCCGATTTGCCATTCCGAAGGACGAATCTTAAATGTCTTCTGATTGACTCAAAACTCATGATTAGTTACGAAATATCCAATCAAATTATCTATTACTCATCGTGCGTCATCGACATAATCTGCCCCAGGTTCGGTTCGATCACTTGATTTGACTACGTATGCGCCCAAAACATTCTAACTTATCAAAATCGTTCATTTGATGCGTGCGTTCAGAAAATTAGAAAAAGTTAACAGTTGAACCTATACTGCAACGCGGAGTGATATGATCACTGATCATCAAAATCGCCAATTTGGAATAAAACAAACATAAAAACGACTAAAACTACAATTTGACAATGAAGTATTATTTTTTATTAATAGTTATTATAATTGCGAACGAATTAATGTTCTAATCTTGCTTTTGATGGTTGTCATGATAAAGAAGTTCGACTTCCGGTTCTTTATGCGGGAAACTCAAAAAAAAAATGGGTAAAATTAAAAAGACTTATCTAAAGAATAGAATGAAAGTAGAAACAGTGGACAGGGTCCTCAACATTATCATAAATGGACCAAGGGAAGAGGTGTTCGATTTTGAGGCAGCATGGGGAGGTTGGGGGAGGTGGTTTGACATGCACCCCAGAAGATGTAGGGACAGAAGACTTTAAGGAACATCAGTGTCACAATATAGGGTAGCGATTTTTCGGTTTTTATTTTGTGCTACTTTTGGACTTAGAATAAAATTTAAAAAGACCAGGCATTTTAAAAAACATAGCTAGAGTTCAGTTCAGCCTAGACTATCTATAGATTTTCATACCTTTTTTGAAAACCAACACAAAAGGCCAAAAGTAACACTTTTCCAGAAAATAAACAAGAGTCAGCCTATCGATAGATTTTTATACCTTTTTTCAAAACCAACACAAATGGCCAAAAGTAACACTTTTTTCGGAAAATAAATAGAGTCCAGCCTATCGATAGATTTTGATACCTTTTTTCAAAACCAACACATATGGCGAAAAGTAACACTTTTTCGGAAAATAAACAAGAGTCTAGCCTATAGATAGATTTTGATACCTTTTTAAAAACCAACACAAATGGCGAAAAGTAACACTTTTTCAGAAAATAAACAGAGTCCAGCCTATTGATAGATATTCATACCTTTTTTCAAAACCAACACAAATGGCCAAAAGTAACACTTTTCCAGAAAATAAACAGAGTCCAGCTATCGATAGATTTTCTTACCTTTTTTCAAAACCAACACAAATGGCAAAAAGTAACACTTTTCCTTTTCCAGCATACGATAGATTTTCATACCTTTTTTCAAAACCAACACAAATGGTGAAAAGTAGCACTTTCCAGAAAATAAACAGAGTCCAGCCTATCGATAGATTTTGATACCTTTTTTCAAAACCAACACAAATGGTGAAAAGTAACACTTTTTCAGAAAATAAACAGAGTCCAGCCTATCCATAGATTTTGATACCTTTTTTCAACCAACACAAATGGCGAAAAGTAACACTTTTTCAGAAAATAAACAGAGTCCAGCATACGATAGATTTTGATACCTTTTTTCAAAACCAACACAAATGGCGAAAAGTATCACTTTTCAGAAAATAAACAGAGTCCAGCATACGATAGATTTTCATACCTTTTTTCAAAACCAACACAAATGGCGAAAAGTAACACTTTTCAGAAAATAAACAGAGTCCAGCATACGATAGATTTTCATACCTTTTTTCAAAACCAACACAAATGGTGAAAAGAAGCACTTTCCAGAAAATAAACAGAGTCCAGCCTATCGATAGATTTTGATACCTTTTTTCAAAACCAACACAAATGGTGAAAAGTAACACTTTTTCAGAAAATAAACAGAGTCCAGCCTATCCATAGATTTTGATACCTTTTTTCAAAACCAACACAAATGGCGAAAAGTAACACTTTTTCAGAAAATAAACAGAGTCCAGCCTACCGATAGATTTTCATACCTTTTTTCAAAACCAACACAAATGGCGAAAAGTAACACTTTTCAGAAAATAAACAGAGTCCAGCCTACCGATAGATTTTCATACCTTTTTTCAAAACCGACACAAATGGCGAAAAGTAACACTTTTCAGAAAATAAACAGAGTCCAGCATACGATAGATTTTCATACCTTTTTTCAAAACCAACACAAATGGTGAAAAGTAGCACTTTCCAGAAAATAAACAGAGTCCAGCCTATCGATAGATTTTGATACCTTTTTTCAAAACCAACACAAATGGTGAAAAGTAGCACTTTCCAGAAAATAAACAGAGTCCAGCCTATCGATAGATTTTGATACCTTTTTTCAAAACCAACACAAAGGGCCAAAAGTAACACTTTTTCAGAAAATAAACAGAGTCCAGCCTATCGATAGATTTCGATACCTTTTTTCAAAACCAACACAAATGGTGAAAAGTAACACTTTTCAGAAAATAAACAGAGTCCAGCCTATCGATAGATTTTGATACCTTTTTTCAAAACCAACACAAATGGTGAAAAGTAACACTTTTTCAGAAAATAAACAGAGTCCAGCCTATCCATAGATTTTGATACCTTTTTTCAAACGCACTTTCGGTAGGCTGGACTCTGTTTATTTTCTGAAAAAGTGTTACTTTTCGCCATTTGTGTTGGTTTTGAAAAAAGTATCAAAATCTATCGATAGGCTGGACTCTATTTTCCGAAAAAAGTGTTACTTTTAGCCATTTGTGTTGGTAAAAGGTATCAAAATCTATCGATAGGCTGGACTCTGTTTATTTTCTGGAAAGTGCTACTTTTCACCATTTGTGTTGGTTTTGAAAAAAGGTATGAAAATCTATCGTATGCTGGACTCTGTTTATTTTCTGAAAAGTGTTACTTTTCGCCATTTGTGTTGGTTTTGAAAAAAGGTATCGAAATCTATCGATAGGCTGGACTCTGTTTATTTTCTGAAAAAGTGTTACTTTTGGCCCTTTGTGTTGGTTTTGAAAAAAGGTATCAAAATCTATCGATAGGCTGGACTCTGTTTATTTTCTGGAAAGTGCTACTTTTCACCATTTGTGTTGGTTTTGAAAAAAGGTATGAAAATCTATCGTATGCTGGACTCTGTTTATTTTCTGAAAAGTGTTACTTTTCGCCATTTGTGTTGGTTTTGAAAAAAGGTATGAAAATCTATCAGAAGGCTGGACTCTGTTTATTTTCTGAAAAAGTGTTACTTTTCGCCATTTGTGTTGGTTTTGAAAAAAGGTATCAAAATCTATGGATAGGCTGGACTCTGTTTTTTTTCTGAAAAAGTGTTACTTTTCACCATTTGTGTTGGTTTTGAAAAAAGGTATCAAAATCTATCGATAGGCTGGACTCTGTTTATTTTCTGGAAAGTGCTACTTTTCACCATTTGTGTTGGTTTTGAAAAAAGGTATGAAAATCTATCGTATGCTGGACTCTGTTTATTTTCTGGAAAAGTGATACTTTTCGCCATTTGTGTTGGTTTTCAAAAAAGGTATGAAAATCTATCGATAGGCATATGACTCTGTTTGTTTTCTGGAAATGTGCTACTTTTGGCCATTTGTGTTGGTTTTGAAAAAAGGTATGAAAATCTATCGATAGGCTGGACTCTGTTTATTTTCTGGAAAGTGCTACTTTTCACCATTTGTGTTGGTTTTGAAAAAAGGTATGAAAATCTATCGTATGCTGGACTCTGTTTATTTTCTGGAAAGTGCTACTTTTCACCATTTGTGTTGGTTTTGAAAAAAGGTATGAAAATCTATCGTATGCTGGACTCTGTTTATTTTCTGAAAAGTGTTACTTTTCGCCATTTGTGTTGGTTTTGAAAAAAGGTATGAAAATCTATCGGTAGGCTGGACTCTGTTTATTTTCTGAAAAAGTGTTACTTTTCGCCATTTGTGTTGGTTTTGAAAAAAGGTATCAAAATCTATCGATAGGCTGGACTATGTTTATTTTCTGGAAAAGTGTTACTTTTGGCCATTTGTGTTGGTTTTGAAAAAAGGTATGAATATCTATCAATAGGCTGGACTCTGTTTATTTTCTGAAAAAGTGTTACTTTTTGCCATTTGTGTTGGTTTTGAAAAAGGTATCAAAATCTATCGATAGGCTGGACTCTTGTTTATTTTCCAAAAAAGTGTTACTTTTCGCCATATGTGTTGGTTTTGAAAAAAGGTATCAAAATCTATCGATAGGCTGGACTCTGTTTATTTTCCGAAAAAAGTGTTACCTTTCACCATTTGTGTTGGTTTTGAAAAAAGGTAAGAAAATCTATCGATAGCTGGACTCTGTTTATTTTCTGGAAAAGTGTTACTTTTTGCCATTTGTGTTGGTTGAAAAAAGGTAAGAAAATCTATCGATAGCTGGACTCTGTTTATTTTCTGGAAAAGTGTAACTTTCTGTTTATTTTCTGGAAAAGTGTTACTTTTGGCCATTTGTGTTGGTTTTGAAAAAAGGTATGAATATCTATCAATAGGTTGGACTCTGTTTATTTTTTGGAAAAGTGCTACTTTTCGCCATTTGTGTTGGTTTTGAAAAAAGGTAGTCTATCAAAATATATCGATAGGCTGGACTCTGTTTATTTTCTGAAAAAGTGTTACTTTTGGCCATTTGTGTTGCGTTTGAAAATTTTTTTTAATCTGATCCCTGATGCCTGGTCATTTTAAATTTTATTCTAAGTCCAAAAGTAGCACAAAATAAAAACCCAAAAATCTCTACCCTATATCGTGACATATATCTTAAGGAAACATAATGAACAATGAATACTCATGACACTACAAGCATATTATCATGTATTGTTAAATAAAAGGTTTTCTAAATGAGAATTGGTGTTTATATAGCGAGCGAAGCGAGCGGCAAAAATTGGCACAAAAATCATGCGAGCGAAGCGAGCGGCGAAACTTGTTAAAGGCCCCATATAAAGTTTAAACCACTTTGGCTTATATTGTAGTCTTACCCAATGTTATCAAAGTGTGATATGTGAAACTTTTTTTTTAAATTTCAAAAAGTGGTTTTTGATAGACTTTTTGTTCCAAAATTTGTGAATTTATTTAAAACCAACTTTTAGAGGTCACTCATATCTTCTAATTAGCCACAATTCATACCAATGCATAGCATTCATCCTCCCATGTTTTTTGCCGAAAAAATTAAGAAAATCGGTTCATGAATAAGCGAGAAATGAACTTATCAGTGCATGAAAATGGTTCTGAGAAAAATGCATTTCAAAATTTTAGTTCTCATAGAAACCAATGGTACAATGATATCTAAAACATAATTTATACTTCCTTTTAACCTTGTTAGACAATCAAAATTGGTTTTTTATGAAAGTCTAACATATTGAGAAAAGATTGATAACGAAAAAAGAATTTCAATTTTTTTCAAAAAGTTTTTGGTACCTTAGTGACATCACTAATGTTTCAAAATACTTTTGATATGTTAAAACATTGAAGTGGCCCATTAAATATGGCATTTTATTATTGAAAGAGTGTGTCCTTTGTTCAACCTTTGCATTGGTGTTAAAAAGGTAAGCTTTTTTGAAATGCATTAAGAAATATTTGATGATTAAGAAATTTCAACTTTTTTTGAAAAATGGCGGGAAATTTGAATATTTGAGAAATGAAATGCTCACAACTTTTTTTTCAAAAATTTTTTTTTGTTAAAAAATCTCTAAAATCACTTTTTAAGTCCTGACAAATAGTAAATGAATGATAAAAAAATATTTTCAAACTTTAGACGGGGACTTTAAAAAATCCCCCCCTGCTATGAAAAAATCCTGGGGAGATCACTGTGGTTTGATACAGTGACCCACCTTCAGGTGCCAAAGACACTCCATTCATTGTGGTCATCTCTATGTGAGGTCTCTCTTCGATTATAATATCTTCTCCAGTCTCAAGCGTCAAGTCTATAGTCGTACTGGGTGCAGCTATGTAAAAAGGTACATTATGAAATTTGGCAACAATCGCCAATTGATAAGTTCCAATTTTGTTGGCTGTGTCACCATTGGCAACAACGCGATCAGCACCAACAACTATTGCAGACAAGTCTTTGGTTTTCATCAACATTGCTGCCATGCTGTCACAGATTAATGATGCTGATATTTTGTCCTGTACAAGCTCATAAGCAGTTAGTCGAGACCCCTGGTTATACGGCCTAGTTTCAGTACAGAAAGCATGCTCCAAGCAGCCATTTTTCACAAGTGACCTCATAACCCCTGAAAAAATGAACACATAACTTGAATATAGGCTGGTTGTACAACAACTAACTATTTTTGCTGCAGACCAACTTTTGAATATTTTTGGGCAAGTATAAAATAACATGTAAATTGTATTAGTATACTGTATGTATATGATATGCATTTTAAACTGATGCACAAAGCAATTAAATGTAAATCAAAAGTAATAATTACAGATTACTTTATTGATAGTTGAGATTAATAAAAGCCAAATCCAATTATTCACATCAATACGGAAATTGCACAATGTTTGCACATCATATTATATATACTTAGACCCGCCTGAAGTGAATCTGCTGGGGCTAGCTAAATATGTTACAATGAAAGGTTATATATGATTGCATGACAGTCAAAGCAGAGATTTCAAAATATGAGATTTTGTGGCGTTCATCTTATACATGTATGAGTGTTGCTTATATACTACATACCTACTGCTGTCCCGTATCCAGCTGTAGCCAGAGCCCCTGCGTTACAATGTGTTAACACCTTCAGACCTTTGGGGGCCACATTCTCTGCTATATGCTTAGCACCATGGTCCCCAATAGCTTTGTTCACAGCAATATCATCAGCTTGCATGCACTCAATCTGTTCAAGTATCCTGAAACATGCCCCCTGGTAATAATTCTCATGATGTACAAATAGCACTATTAATTGGAATTACATGTACATGTATTAAATTCACAAGTTCATATTTTTCTGTATCTGTAGCTAAAGAGCCCAGTTATGGATAGTGAATTAAACATTTTAACAGAATTAAAGAATTTTAACAGACACGTGTATGTGGCAACCCCAGTCGCCAAAACATAACTTATTTTTCTAATGTTCTTCAAAAAATGAACAAATTGTGGCATTAACTTCTGAATTGCATACAAGTACTAACCTTTGATGCATCTGTGAGACATCTATAGATGTAGAAGAACATAATTCACTAGCTAGCTTTGTCAGTTTTCTCTCAGCATCCACTATGTTTACTGCAGTAGGCCTGGCTGTGGTTAGATACTTCATCTTTTCAGCAACAAACTTATACAGATCATCCTTTGTTTGGAATGTATTTTTGTGGAGGTCAACAGCCAGACTTAAACACCCAGTCACTGCAATTGCTGGAGCTCCACGAACCTGTAGATGGACAGAACCAAATATTCAATAAAATCATGGAATTACAGAAATGGATTCATATCCACTCCCTGTGTACCAGGAATGTTTCTGTGTCCAATGAAGTATATAAAATTCTTCTGACATTTGTGGTATAGACAAAAGTATGACGGAGAGCTATTTACATACAGGCACTAGATCTAGTTCTTGGTACATATAGAGTGGGAAGGCAAACGTCCTTTGTTCTGCCCTGTGAAATTCTATGCACACAATTATTAATGTGAGAAAGCATTACTTCCCAAAAATACATAATAACATTTCAATTAAGAAATAAGGTACAATTAAATGCTATAAAACGTAACACAGCACATTGTCAAGTGGAAATAAAGCTAGGGGAAGTAACAAATATGCAAATTAATTTACTCCATCAGCCATTTGGATAGCACTTCCTATGTAAACAAATATTTTTGATACCAAATTTTAACATACATGTATGTGGGTTATAGTCTCAATATTTTGTTTCCAATGGAGGGGGAGTTGTTAGTAGAATGAATTGGGGGAGTTTTTTCATGCATTTTGCTTATGTTTTTCATCTTTATGATATTTTATTGATTGATTGATTGATTTGATTTATCCCCAAAAATATATCTCATTTTAAAGGATTATCTATGGATTAAGACCAAGACATTTTTTTTATTTTTCAAACTTCAGAGGGCTGGGAATCATTGGTAGTCAACAGTTTTGAATAATATAAATGATGTATTAAATAGGTTTCATGTATGCCAATAATTTCTCAAATTGTGTAAACTGAACACAATCAAATTGTGTAAACTGAACACAATCTTTTATCCCTAGAATATTCTTTTGGAGGAATTTCCCATGTAAATCCAATCGTGTGGTTCCAAGCAGATTTTGAGATAACGGGAAGGTTAATCTTTAATACACACATTATTGGGTTGTTTTTGTTTACCTCTCGACCCACTGAACTGAAATCAAATTTTCTCAAAGTTTATCAAATAAAGTTTTAATAAAAAAAATCAGAATTAAGACAAAACTTCGATAAGAAGAATAACAGGTTCAAAATGTTTGCAAAGTACATTTTAATGCTTCCATCAAATAATATTTTGAAGCAAAAGTAAAAAGAATTTTGGCAGGCTTTGTATAAAAAACCTTGTACCTCCTACCCATGTACGTCAGGTATGATACAGTCTTTGAAGGGTTCAATCTTTAAAATAGTAAGATTATTCAATCTCCGTCTATGCTGAATTGTAGATGCATTAATGCAGTAGGCCTACACGTATGTCTTATAGATATAACATTTGTCTAGTCAAAAAATAAGGCCAAAATTGCAAAATTGTTGCTTCATCAAAATTGCACAATTAAAAAGCTCGTTCACTATAGAAGTAATCAACACTTAACTCATTTTTTTCATTTTCTGGGAATTCAAGGAAGTTGTCTAAAAGGTGTCACTCTACTGCCACATTTACATTGATATTACAACCTTCTTTATTGGTGTTCTACCCCGTGTTCTACTCTCCCCATCATTCAATTTGGAACCAGATAGCGAATCATCATCCATAGTTAAATACACACTGTCGCGTGTTGGGCTGAATTTATGATCCATGAGACTAAAATCATCGTTACTCATGCTGTGATTAAATAAAAGATTAAGATACTTAGATTTTCCCTATTGAACGAGCCTTCGAATGACGCTATTTTGACAAACAATAAAAAACTCAAATTAACTATACAGCTATACTGAGTATACTATGAGTGCATAATACATCTAAGTTAGCATTAAATAAGATTGAATAATCTTTTAAAACTTTAAAAATTGAACCTTTCAAAGACTGTATTAGATATCCACGTACATGGGTACAAGAGATTAAGTGCTCAAAATGGTTGAAAACTGCATGATTTTGAAAGAATTTTTGGCCGGAGGGGGGGGGGGGGGGTTGCCCGCAAACCCCCCTTGGCTATGGGCCAGTAATCATTCTATCAAATACATCAAAATGCTATTTACCACACAGGCAAGAAGTAAATAACAATTCATCTGCTCTTACTTAGATTTCGACCGCCCATTTGACAATTTATAATATTATTGTTGATACCGCCGCAAAACATCCCCGTGAGAGTTATAACTTTTACATCAAAGAGAAAATTGGTTTTGCAAACGGTGAAATAATATCGAACAATGTGACCATCAAATGATATAATATAATTGCTTATATTCTACCATCCTTTTGATGTGGAGAATTTTAAGTCCTAAAATTAAATTTCAAGTGTTGATCAATAGAGCAGTAGAACAAGTGGTCAGTCCTGTGACATGTGACATGGCCTTCTTATATCCCTATTTAATTATTTAGATTTTGTTTATTCAGAGATATCTAATAAGTAAAACATATATTTTCTTTCCGTTTGAATCCTGCCGACACACATAACAATAATATATCAATACATCATCATTTACTAGAAATTTATAAAAACAGTACATTATACGGGTAAATATAATAAATGTCTAGACTAGACTATAAAATAAGCACTTTACTTCCACACTTTATTAAACAATACAATAAACATGTCTTATTACAACCCCTTTATTTAAGGACAGGGTGCATGTTGGGAAATTTTCTGCATTCCTCAATTGAGTCACATGTTATTTTTCAAACATGAATAACTCCTTCCCCACATTGTCTACATCTTCTAAGTTTGCACAAAGAGTGCACTTCTGTGCCTAGAAAAGCCTTGTGAGAAGGTTTGTTTTGTAAAATGTATAAAAAATGAGAAAATTCAGTGAAAAAAATTTCTGAAAATTTTCTGATTTTTTTCACTGAATTTTCTTGTTTTTTATACACTTTATCAAAACATTCTTCTCACAAGTCTTTTCTAGACACAGAAGTGCACTCTTTGTGCAAAACTGAAAGATATAGACAATGAAAGGAAGGAGTGATTCTTGTTTGAAAAATAACATGTGACTCAATTGAGGAATGCAGAAAATTTCCCATCATGCACCCTGACCTTAAAGGTGCACCTTAGGGGAAATGATGTTGCCACATAAATCCAATGCTTTTGAAGTTGATTGACTAATGGAATTGTCAGAAAATTAGCGAAGAGTCTTAATTGAGTTGTAATTTTGTGAATTAGAATAGAGAATTTAACAAAAAGGCACATGCTATCTATTGCAAGACTAACGCCTGGTGTAACCGTCACCATGTTATTCGGTGTTTTTTAAGTAGCGCAAGGATCCTGTCATGACCGTGGTAATGTTAAAGCCTGATATGACCGTTACAATGCTTGCAAGGCCTGTCATAACCGTGACAATGCTATATTATATTGCAAGGCCTGTCATGACCGTGGTAATGTTAAAGCCTCGTATGACCGTGACAATAGTTCCAAGGCCTCTCATGACCGTGGTTGTATTTAAAGTAGCTTGAGAACACTGTAATGACAATTTTTCTTCGTGTTTAACTACCTTAAATATGTAAATAAAGACTACTAAAAATGTGTATTAATTTCACAACGAAAACCTAATTTTTACTCATAAATAATTTGTGAACAAACTATATCTCTACTCTCATTCAAGGAGCTTCGATTCGAAAGCATATACTTTCTATAATGATCAATTAATAAGATTTATCCATAAAAAATACCAACAGCAATGGGCGAAACATGAAGGTCATTAATGTCATATAAAGGTTGCGGTCGCGCCAGGCTTACACGATTACACTACCACGGTCATGGCAGGCATTTTAATATAATACAGCATTGTCGCGGTTATACCAGGCTTTCACGATAACATTACCACGGTCATGGCAGGATCCTTGCGCTACTTAAAAAACACCGAATAACATGGTGACGGTTATGCCAGGCGTTAGTCTTGCAACAGATAGGGTCTCCAAAAAGGGCCTTTTTGTAATATTTTAGGAACTAATTATTGATTGTCAGACAATGTCAGTTGAAATGTTCACCTGCATTTTTTTAATTACACTCCACCCATCCTCTACACCACTGACGTTGATATATTCTGACTTCTGCGGTAGAAGGAGTTGATCGAGGATATCTAGCGTCCCATCCTTATATCGAATAGCTTCTAGAGACATTCTTACACGCGAAAATCACACTTTATAATTGAACGTCGGACTCACTCAGATGAATTAGTGAGTAAGAATAGGCAATTAACTACACCAAAACTGGCTATAGCGAGATTTATACTGAACGAAATATGCAGTTTTTATGAGGATAAAACCGGGAAGAAAATAAAACATAGGGTCTTAAGACGACGTTCTCATGAAGAATACCCTAAGTAGCCTGACTAGAATGAACAGGCCAGAACACTCTCTCACAAGCATTAGTTTAAGAGGGACTCTTGATAAATCAATGGTTTTGCCTTTTCCTTTCATCAGTGTTAAAATATAGGGACAGAAAATATTGGCATTTACGTGTCGTTTTTTCGTTTTGTTAATAAAGACAATATTTAGGGAAATAGATTGAAGAAACTCTTGTTGTCATGAAGAATGAATAATATTTATTTGTAAGCTTAGGCATATTCCTACTTTACCTATATAAAGGTTGTGTAATAAATCGCCGGGCCCTCTCTCTGAACAACAAAACGTGGTAGCGTGGCTAGGGCCGGGAATATTATGAAACTAAATTTCGACTTGATCTTGAATTGAGTTAATCAAATTATTTGCTTGGTCATTAAGGGAAAATTTGGAATAATATTAATACCGGAAGGTGCTGACACCTTTAATTGACAAACTAGATTGAAAATAGTGCAAACTGTGGGAGGGGGTGATTGCAATATATAATGATATAATTGGAATCTCTAACACAACATGCACCTAAGTATTCTCAACAGATCGCAATAATGAGCTTGATATGACCCCTTAAATATATGGGTTTTAAATGAAGATGATACAATCTGTTGAAAATAAACTTTAGATCAAATTGACCACCTTTTACGCAAAACAACAGACAAAGAAATTAAGATTATATAATTTTAATGATGATATAAATCTGAATATATAGAACATAATGTATAAAATGGTATAATTACAAAGATAACAATTATGTTTTTTTCCTGATTTGTGCCCCAGAAAATTTAAATGGCTGCCTAAAGTGGGACTTTGCTGTAACTTATAATCTCTTCAAAGTATGGTTACATTACATTAGATTTGAGCCTTTGAAACTTCTAAATGGTCATCCGAATTCTTATATTGGTGGAAATTCTGATATATCTCCAGTGTCTGTCTTTTATTATGTGCATATCAAGGGTAGAGTAGATGGTAAATACTACAATATGATATATACAGATTCGTGCATGTAATGTTCATTGGGATTTGCTACTCCGTGGAGTTGCTGATTTCTGGTATTGTTGTTCCAATTTCAGAGGGACCGAATGGCAGAAGTTTCATTCAAGAATAATCTAACAAGGCATTAACATGCAAAATGTCACCACCTGCCATTTTTTACAGACATCAAGCATTAAACACCATCCACTTTAACAATATGTCACCACTTGTGATGGCGACATAATAAACCAACTAACACATGTAACAGAATATATAATTCTATTAATTATTGTATTCCTTCTTCATTTATTTCAGAGTACAACAATTTTCATTACAAAATGTAGATGTATTGATGATAGTTGCTGCCATGGTAGTAAACAGTAAACAATCATCACATTTCTTATTGCAGTTGAAAATTATGCCTTCATTAGATCACAGAACAAAAAAAACTGCAATTTCCATGGGAAAAATAATATATTTATTGAAAAAATCAAACAGATTTTCTGTATTTTAAATATTTTGTCTTTGGATGCATCCACAATTCCAGATGCAGTCAAAGTAAAAATTGAAATGAAACTTAAAGATAAAGAAGGAGATTATTTAATGTTGTTCCAGAACACTTTATTTTGTGCTCTCTGAAACATTACAATATACTATGTACATTATGAACACAATGCATTTGATATAAATAAAGCTATCAACGTACATTGACCACTTCCTCTCAATAATTATAACACCAAAATAATATAGGAAGGAGACAGAAATTAGAAATGTCCAATGGACTCAAAATCAAATATTTGAAAAAATATATGCTAAAGAAACAAAATAAATTGTATACTGAACAGACTCTTACAGTGGATACTTCATAATATGACTTCTGATTATCTATATAATACAAGCATGTGTTTGATAAATCAGACCATGTCATATCATTAAATGTTTTGATTGATTTTAAGCTTTTTAAGCTTGCAAATTAACTAAATGGGTCACCAAAAATAAAATTAGACATTGAAATTTTATGGTTTGAAACCTTCTCTCACAATTCATCTCATCTCAAACCATTTACTTTACTTTATATAAACAGTTCATATGTTTGACCTTTTACATTCATCTCTTTAAGATCTGTACAATGGCAAACATTCTCATAATGGCATTCTTCCTCAAACTGACAACATGCAAATACACACTTTAAAATTATAGGAGCTCATAATTGTCATTTTCAGACCAGATGATCTAAGCTCCAATCACATGACTGGAGGATGGTGATATCAGCCTTTTCATTGTTTTTGGTCATAAATCCAATATGATTAATGATAGTCAATTTGCTTTATCACAATTTGTTCCATATATCTGCATCCTCAACACAGTTGGATTCAGTATACTTTTGAATCCATAGTGTTATAAGTATATATACATGTGCCTACATGTCCCTTCATGTTATCAGTAGAGTAATACCCTATAATATTTACAAGTAGAAATCCTCTGCCATGCCTAATAGCATGGCCTGTTGCTATGCATTTGCGCTTTCACAAGCATCAATCCAGTCACTGTATACATCTACAGCTTCTGAAAGATCTGGTTGATAGTTAAGAAATTTTAAATAAATTAATATCACTATTCAGAATTCCAAAGCAATTTCATAGCATGACTTTGGGCAGAATGCATTCTAAAACATGGGCATCCACATTGAGTGTGACTGCACCCCCCCCCCTTTTTTGACTCAAACCCTGGGGATTTCCTTCATGCTGAGGAGTAGGAAAGAAGAACTATGTGCTCTGGCAAGGTAGAGAAAGCCATGCTTCAAGTGCAATCTATGATCAGTTATAGCAAAAAATGTACTATAACACACATAAAAATGGTTACCATTTTTCAAAATGGCTACTTACAATGTGTTAAAAAATAGATTAGGTACTTAATCAATATCCTATACAATTGTTGCATTAAAAACATTTTTACAGTTCATATTATTGTGACTAAAATACTGTAAAATTGACACTAAATAGCAGCCATTTTGAAACCAGTGGCCATATTCAGAATCAGCTTTCTAGTAGAACTTATAAACTCATATACTTATAGGTCATATGTAATTAAAAAAATATAAACAATACTGTGCCAATGGTATTTGCGTTATTGCCAAGACAGCTAGACAAATCCATTCTAGAATGGTCATCTTCTTTTATAGCATTATAATATAATGCACTCAAAATTAATTGATTGACATTTAAGGTAAACTGATCAATGGTTTCAGTATTATGGTAACCTACCTCTAAATGCTGAAACTATCTTAAACGATACCAAAATTATGCAAAAAAGTTTTTATGGCACCATTTCAAAAGCAGATAACGATATGCTATGAAGTATGAACCAGAAACACATTTCTTGCAAGAATTAGTTGCAACTTGTAATATAACACAAATACAAAATTCAAAAGGATACAATTAATATTGGTCTGAAAGTCTTCTAGGCAAACTGTGCACGATATCATCCCAGTATTCCGCTGACGATCCCTGAAACAATATTATTTGGCATTTAAACAAAATTTCTTCTCAAGTTTGATCTGCATTTTTAAAGACCAGGGATTGTTCAGTAGCAACATTCAGTATCAAGTAGAACCTGAAACTAACATATGATGGACTCAGGTAGAACTGAGTTTAGATTTACAATGACAGAGACTAGCATAGGTTTTCATACTTTTAATCAAAATGTTGAAATGCTGTTTGAAGCTGTGAAAGGTGGTGGAAATTTGGAATTCATCATATTGTAAAATATGACTTATACTTCAAATCATACTTAAAGGCTGACAATCGAACTGTCGTATTGAGGAACAAAAAGGAAGTAAAACATAAAAATAAGCGTAAGAACATGTCACTCACAGACATTTGAATATGCAACCACCATCTGGTGTTGGAACTGATAAAAATTATTAACAAAATTTGACATTTCAGATATTTTTTACTTTGTAAATGTAAGCTGCGATGTGGCTCGTTCGAGCTGTTTTTGGTGTCAGACAAAAGTTTGAGTACTGAACAATCCGTTTGATATTCTTGGATGATGAAAAGTTAATTTTAACAAATACTGAAAAGTATGCCCGGGGATGTATAGATTCTGTGTTTTGAAATATGTTAACTTAGATATTTCAATTATTTTTCAACGGTACACCAAAGTATGCGACAAAAACTTGAGTGGGCTACAGATATTTAAAGATAGAGTGTGGCATGACATACTGTACTCCGGGTATTGTTCGCGTGCGATTTAATTTCGCTTTGTTCGCGAATGTAGTAAAATCGCGAACATTTATCCATGCGAAATTTGTCTTTTAAATCCCCAGGGATTTGACCCGGGACTTTTGATATGTTTCGTTCGGTGTTAAACGTTTCTCCAGCGTTGTTGGGCGATAATTAACATGGGGTATTGTTCAATTTTATATCAACAATTGATGTACTTGCTAAGCTCATGCATTTGTAAAAAGGCATGTAATTATATTAATATTATCAAGAGCTGTAGGAAAAAATTCAACTTGTGTAATCCGCGAGATGTCATCAACTCAAATCCGCGAAATTGAATAGGCGCGAAATTGCAATTTTAAAAAATCGCGAAATTTTATAGCGTCAAAATTTACCAGGAGTACACAGTGGCGGATCCATGAACCAACAAGGGGGGGGGCCCAAATTTGAGAATATAGAAAAAACCTCCGCGCTTGCGCGGAAAAAAATTTTGGGCCCCTAAAACCGAAAAAGTGGGCCCAAATTTTGAAAATTTGAGGCCCATTTTCTTCCAAATTTGGCCTAAATTAAAAAAATAAGGCCTTAGAAGGCCCAATAATGACCAAAAGGCCCACTTTTTGGGGCCTTAAGGCCTTTTTTGGCCTAAAATTTTTTTGGACCCAACTTTTTTTTTTTTGGGCCAACCTTAGGGGGGGGGGCCCGGGCCCCATGGGCCCCCCCCCCGGATCCGCCATAGGTACAGTAATCTGAATATCCATTTGTAATTCAATCAGATCCTTATATATCTGTCAATTAAACATCAAAGGCTTAGGTTCCATAAGTTTCACCAAAGTTCTATATATCAAACAAATAATGGTAGAATATCAATGACCAACTCACAATGTTACTTCACATGATTTCTCGTGGTTACAAAAGGGGCAGTTGAATGTCTTGGGCAGGGGCTCTATAACTTTCCTTTTGGGAGGTGGTTTATTTGCCTTCTTCCTTCGTCCCATTTCTTCTGTCCTGCAAACAGACCAATAGACAGTGGTTCTCAAAAACATCAACAATTTAAGTCCATGCCTGTAGTACATGTAAGTCTGATTTACCTCTTACAAAGGCTGCTGACTAGTCTGATAGGACAGCCTTTGCTCGCCCCCTATCAGTCGCTTCAGAATTGTGGCGGCTGAAACTGAAATAAGCTGCTTACTTTATATCTCTAAATGTTTCTTACATCTCCATTTGCAAAAGTTTGTAAGTTATTAGGTGCTTCTGTGCTGATCAGGACTTCTCTAATCTTGAGTGGTTATTTTTTACCAAGAAACCAAAATGGCAAAAGTAGCATTCAAAATCTCCAGAAATTTCCAAATGAGAGCTACCGGAAGATCAGCAATTTGTTAAAGTTCATTTGGAAATCTTCGGAGATTTCAAACCTACTTAGTGAATTTCCATCAATCTACCAGTTCCATTAATCAGAGGAAAATATCAACTTGAAGATGACGTCCTGATCATCACAGAAGTCGCTGATAACTTACAGACTTTTGCAAACAGAAATGTAGGGAACATTTGAAGATATAAACCAAGCAGCTGATTTCAGTTACACCACCACAATTCTGAGTGACTGAGTGAAGGGAGTGATATGCATAGCCTGCTCCGTCAGATCAGTCATCCCTTCAAATGTAAAGTCTGATTAAAAAGTTGAATTTTGGGTTAAAAAACAAGTCTGTTAAAATTTTATTAATTGAGAAAAATTAACGCACTTCACTCATTTACTTTAGGTATAGAATAGATTGTCATTTGACGTCCCGCCCTATTATCGCCCATCTTGCGAATAAATAAATTATTACGAAAAATACCAACAAGTACATTTATCAAATATTTTGAAAGCAAACTCCAAATTCAAGTTATAAATTATTTCTATATATCGCAATAAACATTTAGTCTTAGCTTGGTATGTATAATCTGTATATCTACCTAAATAAACGCCGAAATGTTGTGAAAATAGAAAACGCGCTTTTCACAAGGAATGTGTCTAAAATTTCTCTGGTAGAGATGAAACGGATAAAATGTAAAAAGTTATTTCAATTCAGCTGAATTTCGAAAAACTGTTGTCATGAATTAAATTGAAAAATAGTTTTTAACATGTTGTAATAGTTTACATATTTCTATCTACGTATTTTTGGATTCCATGAAACCTTTTGTGCGTTTGAACTATTTCGTTTCAGAAAAAAGTTTAAAACTGGAGTTAAAAACCGGAAATGTCTAGCCTACAAAATTTCAAGAGTTTCTACTAGACTAACTTTGAGAGATTATCTTGAAAGAGTGCTTCCCTGTTGGTACCATCCTACTTGGGTGAGTTTGGCGTAAGTTATGCCGAGTTTACATTATATTTATTTGTAGTGAAGTTTGTGGCGTTAGAATAACGTCTGAATATTGTAATGTCTGAGTTTCAAATTGAAAATCATTTTCATTTTCTTTAAGATTTTCGACATCTAAAAAGTCACTAGACTTTTTTTGTGATTTTGAATCACAGAAAGCATTCTGAAGTTTCAAATTGTCTGCACGTTTAATCTTTGGCATCCGCCTAATGTACAGATGTATACCACTTACCTTTCATTGATTCTTTCATAAGTTTCGTCATAAACTCATTTTGACCAGAAGTATCTTTGTTGCCGCTCCTTACTTCGGTCCAAAGCCTTCTCTATATTCCGGCTTTGAGGAGGAAGATTGAGCTGCCTTAGTATTATAAATATTGTAAATCATTGTGTCACACGCACAGTAAATATGGCATAATAATATGAAATATACCTTTATGTATAGATTTGAAGAACATCAGCTCACATCCCCCTCTGAATCTATTGTTATATTTGATTTCTTTAAGCGAGAATAATTTCAAATGTTATTCACGTCCAGAACCGGAAGCCATTTTTAGCTACAGCGAGAAAATTTCACCATGTGTCAAACTCCGAAATGAAATTTTGAAATATCTAAATCCAGATAAGCAACGCTTCATCCTAAATATGATTAATATTCTTAAAAATATTTATAAAATTTATTAAAAATGAGTTCTAGGTGCGTGTAGGTGCGTGTAGCACAGTACATACGAAATCAATGAAGTTTCGTCTAGCTGTAAGCTAGAGACTCGAGTAAGCCGCTCCATCCATCGGCTATAAGCTTGGAGGAAATATATAGAATTTTGAAGTTTTGTCTGCACTTCACATTTCAAGTTCAATTTACGTAGTAATTGACACCGCCTCTAGTTTGCCTCACTGTTTCTCAAAAATATTCTCTCAAAATCAGGAAATACAGTAGGGTGATGAACAGGGAAATTTTGTAAGGAATTTCAGTAACAAAATATAAAAGTGACAACTTACACGAGTATAAAGATCCAATGGGTTCAATATCGAGTGAGAATTAGTAGTAAGGTACAATCATGGGCTTTCAAGAGAAGGGTATGCAACTCTGTGTTATAAACATGAGAACTTCAAAATGAGCAGTGCCATGCTTCCCTTTTTTCAATTATATTTCAAAGAGTTAGATAAATGTACATGTTTTAGTATTAGTCTTGAAGAAAAATCAAATTTGAATATGATTGAAGCATAAAACATGTTAATCTCATTTAAAAGTACAAAAATACTGATAAGAAAAAGAGGTATCAAAATGTTCTCTTCGAATGTTGCACTGTGGGTAATTATTCAAGAACACATTCCAATAAAATTATAATTTGTGGGAGAATGTTCACTTTCATTATTGCTATAATTATGATGAATTCCATTTTATATTAAATTATCAACATGTATGCAGATAATCATGTTTTTATTTTTGAGATACTTGTACATGAAAAGTACAAAATAAGATTTTTCTTGGAATGTGTACAGGAAGCGTTTTTTCTCCAATTTTGAAAACCCAAGACAATACTTTTGTATGAAATATATAAGGGTTATGTACTGGGAGGTTTTGGATACAGGGTTTATCCCAAGGTAAATATGTGTATCTCACGAGGGACCGCAGGGACCGAGGGAGATACACATATTTCCCGCGGGATAAACTCTGTATCCAAAACCGACAGTACATAACTGGTGTATCTGTAACATTTAAACTTTTTGAAAAATTTTAAACTTCTGAAATTAAAATTTTAAAATTTTTTAAACTTTTGAAAAAATTCCCGGGAGCGGGATGGATATATTATATCTGCCCGCATTTGGCCTAGAGCGGGACATATACAATATATCCTGCCTGCTCCTCAGATATGATATATATTCCCGGGTGATATCTACCCCAAACCCACTCAAGTATGAAATACATTATTTATATATATTATTAATCTATAAGATATTGTTGCTAGTATTCTATTTATCCCCCAATAATACTGGTTGAACATTTTACACAAAACGAAACTCACAATCCCAGGAATTGACAGATTTAACAAATCCCCATGGTTTTGTATATATTTCGGACAATTATTTTTCATGATTTTATCACAAATTTCACAATTAAAGCAAAATTAATTTGCATACAAGAAATACCAGCAGTACAGAATATGTATTTGTAGTATGTATTGTATAATGTGCATTGCTGTATGAATAATCTGTTTTTCAGATTTATCATAATCATTTGTATGACATATAACTGAAGTCACAGCCAGAGAGAGATATATGTATACAATGGAAAAAGAGCATAAAACCCTTCTCCAAAGAAAGAGAGTAGAACTTCTAGACATAAATGTCGGTCCAAAGTTCATGGGGTATCTCTTTGCTGTTGAAATACTATCCAGGGATATGAAAGAGGAACTGGAGGTATGTCCTAAATATATGCATGATTTACTTAAGTTTTTTTGCTCACCATTATCATTGATCTTTGTCATAGTACTGTAAACACTGACAGACTATGGTGAAGTACTATATCTTGTAAATGTTTCCCATTGGAGTCCTTCAGTACTCTAATGATGTCACTTTTGGTATTTTTCTCACAATTGGCTTTTCTTCCTGAATTTCATAATTGGTGTTAATCCCATCATCATTGTCATCAATGCCAACAGTCAGAAGGGTTTGGTTAAGGAGTGCACAGTGAAAACAGACCCTCCAGCTTTAAATTGATTAGAAATGCTTGCTCTTGTTTATGAGTATGTCCAGTGTTTGTATAATGTTACAGTTGCATTTTATGTTTTAGGCTATTCCAGAGCCAACTAGAAGGGCTTCAAGGTTCCTGGATCTGATTGTGAGAAGAGGACCCAAAGCCTTTAATGAACTGTATGAAGCTTTGATAAGGACATCTCAGGGAGATCTTGCAGATATCTTAAAGCCAGATCAGGCAGAAAAAAGACAGAAAGATGAGGATAGAAGAATTGAAGCAATGAAGGCAAGCATGCCTGCAAGTCCTAGCCATGGTAGTAGTCCATTAAGGAGGAGTGGAGACTCCTTCAGGGGACAACCAATTGACACTGCAAGTGAAGATGAACCTCTCCCTGAAGGTAATGACAATATACAGGCATTGTGTAAAGCATTGAACTGTTTGAACTGCCTTGACATTTAATTTTGGGCCTATTGTCGTCTATTTAATTTGGTGGTTTTTCAAGTGTCCCTGACATTTTCATGTATTAACAAGATTGAAAATATTCATTGTCAGTGTTGTTGGTGAATAATTTCCTCAATATTTCTTGTTGTTTATATAAATTTCCTCAATATTTCTAGTTGTTTCTATCATTTTAAACGGCTCAGATATCTTGGTATCTTTCTTATAACTGGAAATGGACCGAATGGAAAACATGTTGAATTCCTTGGGGTTTTGGTGATAATTTGATGATTTTTGCAATTCGCCAATTTAAAACGCTTGCCAAGTTAAAGACAAATACAGTACATTGTATTCCCTTCATACAAACTTTTTTTAGTGCAAATTATAACTCAACCCTTGTATAGGTAATTATCCCAACGAACGAAGTTCGGTAGGGATATAGTGAAGCCCTCCGTCCGTCCGTCTGTCCGTTCGTCAGTCCGTCAGTCAGTCCGTCCGTCTGTCCGGAAGATAACTCAAATACTAGTTGTTGGATGGTTGCACTGGAAATCTGTAATATCCACCTATTGTACACATGCTGTCATCATTGTTAATATATGTTGTTCTTTTTCTTTTAGAATGGCCTCTGCCTAAAGATTCCTGGTCTGCTTTAGCTGAAATTAACAGCATGAAAGAGATGCGTATTCAATCACAAGCTTGGGAAGATCGTTACAATGGAAAAAACCCTGATGTATGTAGATCTTCTAACTTTATTTAAATTGAAAAACAGATTTTTTCAAAAATTGTAAACTGCTCACATAACATTGAATAACACTATTGGCAATTGGAGCTACCAAATAGTTATGTCCTGTTTAAGAACCCAATTTCTTACTCCATGTACTTATAATCCATAGTACTAATACTCTCTATCAATATTCCATTTGATTTGTTGAGACCCATTCACACATAGCTAGGTAAGGTGTGTCTGATTCCAGCCAATCGAAACACAGTATTTCATATGACTGCACTCATTAAATTACCAAAAAACACTCAAGGTCATCTGTTGCATAGGTGTCAAAGTGACAACTTGACTTGAAATTGATACTTTGCTAACTTAACCCTTGCAAAAAGTTTCATTGAAAATATGTTCTTATAGTGATTTTGTATCCTTTAGGTGATAAGAAAATATTTTGCAATGTGTGAAGAGAATTTAAGCCCAAGACTCAATGCATTGTGAGTGATTCATTCCACACAAGCGTTGTTTCCTTTTAGCATTCGATGCTGCACATCTCATGCAACATTTGAAACAACAGCTTAAATCCTTCATTCGATTTGAGTTTTTCTCAGATAATGAGGATTTCAGCAAGGGTGTACTGACATAACATGGGGATATAGACCATTGACTTAAGATGGGGATATCATTATATAATCATGGGAATAGATACAAAATCCTCATTATCTCAAAAGAACTCAAGTTGAGATTCATGTCAGATAGCATAAGTGAAATCCTTTTTCAATTGTGAAAATAATGGTACTTAGACAGGACAGCTTAACTGAGGGCCTTTTCATTTTTTGTTTGGTACTATTTTATTTTATAAATAGCAACACTTACAGAATGATAGTGGCACCCAAAGCATTTTGCATCATTCCAATTTTAAAGGTAATTTATTCATAAAAATTGAAAATTGAAATTGATTCAAATGTTTTGAATTTTAATGAAGCCATCCACCTGGGAGTGCAGTATTACCATTTTTATCCTCTGTATGTTTTAATTCATGTATTCAATAAACAATTTTTCAGTATTACCCGATGAACTCCTCACCAAAAGGACGGATGATTATTATCAATAACAAGAATTTTGACAAATCTAAAGTCAAACTCAGTTATAGAGAAGGTACCGATAATGATGCTACCTGTCTTAGTCAACTCTTCAGGAAGTTAGGCTATTCTGTACAGGATAGTAAATCCTGGAAAGACTTAACTGCTAAAGTGAGTTAGATTATGTTCATGAATCTGTGAAAAAAAGATTTAAAAAAAATCAAAATGGCTGATATTTTGTGAGAAATAGTTTAAGTAGTTGATGGCCTTTTATAGTTTTCATCAAATAAATCTTTTATTCAGTTTTATATACTAGTAGTAGTCCAGCGGAATAATGGCATATTGAAACTTTTGGTTGCCTTCTAGGATGTATGCTATATCTTTGTATTTTCTTTATCTATATGTTAATTACTTTCAAAATCAGAACTGTGCCGGACTGGCACTGGTGGGCAAAATTTTTTACAGCATTGTATAGGTGGCGCCCCTTGTAAAATGCCCATTTCACCAAAAAAAAATTGTTAAAGGGCTGTTGGTAGAGTTGAAAACTTTAACCAATTCAGATAAACTGTATTTAGTCTAAACAACATGTCAACTTTGTTTCATTACATAGAATCACAAATTTAATGAGATATGCTTGATTTGTTACCCTAGCGCCACCTATTTTTAAGGGGTCACTAGGTTTAATAAGCATATTTTGCAAACTAAACAAAGTTGTGATCTGAAATTATTCATGACTTTAAATTAACCCATGTCAGAGATAGTGTGAAAATATGAGACTTGTACTTTATTTATTTGAAGAGAAAAAAATATATTAATATAGACTTCCTTGTATTCAGCAATATTAATATGTATGAAAAATATCACTGTTATTACTGTGAAACATTGAAAAATATAATATCAGCAGATTCTGTTAGTCTATCTATCAAACTAAGCTATTTATGTAAGATACATAGGTTCTTTAAATTAAAATATTTCAGAAAATTATAATGTATACCCTTTTATAGGGGGAGGGGGGGGGGGTAGATGACACGTTTAAAATGTGAAAGAAACTCATTGTTGACAGTGTAAGTAGGTCATCCCTGTTGTATAAGGGTTAAATCTTAGACCATTTATTGGAAGTGTTACATCTGTACCAGGGACACCATCATTCGGGGGCTACAATACTAGGAAACTAGGACTAGTGGCGCCATCATTAAACCTGCAATAAAACTTGCCTACAGCCCACTTCTTGATGTTAAGCCAGTGGACCCAAGCACAATGTTAACCATCATGCATCAGGCAAAGGAGTTGACCTAGACATATAAGCAAGATTACACAATTTTTAGAATGCACCAGCAATTGTACAAAGTAGCCACTGATGTCATTTTCTGGACCCCAACAACCTTTATTATACAGGGTGGTCAAAAATGGAAACCCTTACACCATTTTCCTCATATCTTTGTCATTTTAAAAAATAACTCCCTGATATTTTGTATTTGTACATCATTCAATTTGCTACAAGCCTACTGAATTTCATGACCATCAGATTGATAGTCACAATGTTACAGCACTTTAAAGAACATACCCCAGTGGCCACTTTTGCGCTGTCGGGAACCTGTACTCGTAATCTAAAATGTCCCTACCTGCGGGGATATGGCAGTGATAGAGTATATTAGAATGACCTCAGGACAATTGCAAACCTCAAAACTGAGACCATCCGTGTCATTCAGGCCATACCTGCTGAGGAATGCATTCGGGTCATTGATAACTGTGCTGTTTTGTCTACAGTGCTGTGAGATTGTGACTATCTGATGGTCATGAAATATGGTAGAGTGGTAGGAAACTGAATGATGTACAAATGTGTGAAATATCAGGGAGTAATTTCCGAGAATGACAAAGATATAAGGAAAATGTAGGGTTTCCATTTTTTGACCACCCTGTACATTCATCAACAGGCTCTGGGACATGTACATGCTCATGAGTTTTTTTGGTTGTGTCGGCATCCTAATGTCAGACAGTTGAAAAGTAGAGATAACCAATTTGCTGGGGTAACCAAGATTAACAGGCAAGAATTACCCTAACAATGTTCATGACAAGCATTGAGACTCCTTGTTGAAGAACTTTCGAGGCAAGTAATTCATCAGGAAAACAGCTACCAGGAACTCATAGATGTTCTTAACTCTAAATTGTCAGAAAGAAAAACTACAAATGCCAGTATTTATCACGGTGCAACTTGTTAGGGCTGAAAGGGAAGGCAACTGGCTGCTCCATTTGGCTGCTGTTGACCCATCTATGCGTCCATATTTCTTTGCTGCATGACAATATAACTAGTAAGGACTGTTATGTCTACGAGACATGGAGAGACTTCCACAGAATGTTGTTGATGAATGTTGTTTCTCCTAGGACAGCATATCACCCGTCATCCCATTTGGAATGGAATCTGGTTAGATATGATGATAGAGACCACTTATTAGTACCAACGAAATGTTCTGCAAAGCAAGCCAAATGTCCTGTTTAAGAACCCCTATTCTTGCCTTTGAAAATGGATTATAGCAATACTATCCCACATGAATCTACTTGTTTAGACTCAATCAACTGTTCTTCTGAGAAAATAAGGATTTTCATGACAAGCATTGAGACGCATTGAACAACATTTTAGCAAGGGTGCATTGACTGAACATGGGGAAAACACCATTGACCATTGACTTATAGTGGGGACAACATCAGGTATGTCCCCATGTTAAGTCGATGCACCCTTGCTGAAATCCTCAATTTCTCAGAAGAACTCAATAATCTCAACAAGTAGATTCCTGTTGGGTAATATTGCTAGAATTCATTTTCGAAAGTTAAAATAGGAGTTCTTAAATGGGACATCAACAACAATAGCTATCATTAAGCTTTCAATGTGCAGTCTTTGAATGATGACATGTTTAAGGACAGAGTGAAACAGTGAAACATTGCCTCAACTGCATTGACTTTGGTGGTGATTAATTTGAAGGACTATGAGTTAAAATGTAGTCTTACATGTAAATTTGATATATTTGGAGTTATGACATCATGTAGAAAAACTCAATAAATTGCCTTCAAACGCGACTTAAAACAGGGTGCCCCACCTACCCAAAACAATTGTCACCATAGCAACAGCAATAACAACGGAACTGATGCTAACCCATTGTCCTTGGTCTTGTTTAATAGGTTAATATTTTCAACATTATCTGTGAAAATTTCAATGAAATTGAATGAAGTATGAAGAAAAAAGAGCAGTTGGTTACTTGCTTTCTGATCGGGCCTCGTACTCTTGAGTTTGAGCCTGGTAATAAACTGGCAACTTGATACAGGGGTGTCAGAAGGATTTCGCAAGGGAGGGGGTTGACTTTTGGACATGGATGGATTGTGCGTGAAGCATGGATTGGGGGGGGGGGGGCATGCCCTCAGAAAATGTTCAGATTTAGATCCTCTCTGATGCATTATGAACATCTCAGCACAATATTCCCAATAATAAAAACAAGAGAAAATTGTGTTTAAAGAAAACTAGCTTGACTTTGACTAAAATTCTTTGAATTTTACTAAAATATACATTTTGCTCTTATTCTCCAAAGTATTTACATACTGTATAGGTTCTTTAGAAACAATGGTACAGAATAACATATGTAAATATATTAATGATAAATGAGATCTTCTATGCTTGATATACACTAAATAATGGCATAGTATCATTTGACTTTAATTAGCTCTCAAGAGCTTTCAAATTCTAGCCTAAAATAAATCTGGGAAAGGGAGGAGGCGGTCATTCCCAGCGCCCTCCCCCTTCCAAAGCCAATGTTGATATGAAAACTATCAAGTCATTTGAGCTAGGCCAATGCCACCCATCCACACCTCTATGTTTGATGAATCTGGTAACCTGAAAACACCAACAAACAAATATGTTATGAACACCAAAACTGGAAGAAAAAATATCAATGAAGTATATGACGACACTAGTGTCTTAATCCTATTGCTTCACTACTATAAAAAACACCATCTAATTGCTTATGTTACGATGGAGTCTGTGTCAACTTCTAACAAAAATGTCACCTCACAACTTCTTGCTGCCCGCAGCCTGAAAGACTGTGACAAAACATCTAGTCTTTATCCCATAGGCAAGACTAAAGCAGTTAACACCAGACTTGAAATGCTCCTTTAAGTTGGATTGGAGAAGACCACATACCAATATCTGATGGAAAGACACAGGCTACTAAATTCACAGCAGCATGTTATGGTATCAATCCAGTCATCTGATGTTAGATATGCTGTGTGGACCAAGAGAAATGCTGCCAGAACTACAATCATTGCCACCTTCAAACAAGGCCTTTGAGGAAACATGCTCATCTACAAACATCCCTGTGTAAACATGCAACCCAACCCTTACCTCCTAAGTTGCAACCACTGGAGTATGGCTGGCAAATGGATATTGTCAACAACATGTTAGTGTCAGTTAAACTTCCACCAAATGTTTTGTGTGCACCAGACTCAGTGTTAAAGATGATACATTGTACACGTGAGAAGTGGTATAGATTGTTGTCTGTGCTGTAAGACTACTTCGTCCTGCAGTATATTTTGCCTTTGCAAAGGTGAAGAGTGTTGCATAAACATACCAGACTAATGGTCACAGTCACCAATGAAACAAATGATGATGATCTTGATGAAGAAATTGTTCTGCAAGCTGTCCAAGAAGTATGGATAGAGACACCAAAAATGATACCCTTGTTAACGGAATAAAAGCTGACACTCAATGAGCTACAATATCTTTGACAAAGGATGGTAAATTAATTTATTAATGATAGATACAAATTTTTATGAACAGTATTTCAAACCCTTTCATCATCCAGTAACTGTCCAGCCTTGCCTGTATGAAGTTAATAAGTATTCCATGTTAACATCTACTCAATAGCAGAATGTCCGGTAACATAACCCCCCCCCCTTCAGACATGGTGGCATGACCATAGGTTATATACTAAACAATTAGTGCTCAATCCTTGATTTCTGTTTTCATGTGTTAAAATTAAAATAATTACTTCATATAATAAAATGTTTTTAAATTCATGATGGTGTTAAGGATAATTTAGTCAAAATAGACTTTTGAATGTAACCTTTGTACGAATTGCATCGTTTAATATTAGGATTTACTGTAATAACAAATAATTTTTTACTCTTAAAATATTTAAGACAGAAGTTTTTTATTTTAACACCATCCCAAACATGTATCAAGTCATATCTATGAATAATGTTAGATCACAATTACGCTTTGTTCAAATTTTATGCCTTCAAAACATAGTGACCCCTTGGAATATATGTGATATCAGGGGGATAAATGACCAGTACTCTGTAAATATGAGATTTTAGGTAAGGAAAAAAAATAGACATGCTATTAAGGTTATATAACAGGTTATACTAGGTGGCTTGAGTTAAAGACTCTGCTCAAGATCATTGAAAAAAAAATCCTTAATTAGAAGGGTATTTCATAGGGGGCGCCACCTTTACAAGGCTGTAAAAAATTTTGCCCACCAGTGCCAAACCGGCACAGTTCTGATTTTGAAAGTCAATAACATATAGATGAAGAAAATACAAAGACATAGCATACATCCTAGAAGGCAACCAGTTCCATCGATTCCGCAGGACTATAGGGTGTTTGTTAACTTTTAAAAGTTTCTTCCTTGATAGTACATATAGCACCACATTTACATTCTGAAGATTATTTTGTTTATATGTCAACATAAAATCTTGTCTTATCTTTATCACAGGCTGGTATCGAAATATTTGTCCGCTGTGACGGAGCATGCTATTTTTCATAAAAACACTAAGAATACTTCACGATTTATTTTTTAACTAATATGTTTCGTTATACCATACACAATTACTTACTCCATGCAATGGATATATCATTTGCGGGTAACTTTCACTTCTGTTTGAAGTCCAATTACGCTGGGAAGAAAAGCTATTGAAAATGGCGCCGGAGTATCATAGTTCAAAATGTACCATTTCTTGTTTAACTTTCTAATGGCACGATATAGTGACACGATAATATTTACACATGGTTTCAGCATAACTATGAGGGTATAAATGAGATGTTGATGTATTTGGTTTTTTTAATTCTTTTATAAAAAATATTGTTTAATTTTTTTGTCCGCTGTGACGGAGCAGTTGCAAATGTGAACTGTGAAAATGCTCCGTCACAGCGGACAAAAAATATTAATATTATTTTTTATAAAAAAATCTAAAAGACCCAATGCATTAATATCTCATTAATACATTCAGAGTTATGCTGAAAACATATGTTAATATTATCTTGTCACTATATCATGCCATTAAAAAGTTAAAAAAGAAATGGTACATTTTAGAGTTTGATACTCTGGCGCCGTTTTCAATAGATTTTACTCCTAGCGTTGTTGGACTTCAAACAGAAGTGGAGGTTACACGTAAATGATATATCCATTGCATGGAGTAAGTAATTATCTTTGATATAACGAAACATATGAGTTAAAAAATAAATCGTGAAGCATTCTTAGTGTTTTTATGAAAAATAGCATGCTCCGTCACAGCGGACAAATCTTTCCATACCAGCCTGTGTTTATGTAGGAGATTAAAGAAAAACTACAAAAGGAAAGCCAACTTGAGAGTCACAATCGTCATACATCATTTATATGTGCGATCCTTAGTCATGGTGCCAAGGGTAATAGGATCTATGGAGTGGATGGGGATACCATAGCTATGAAGGATATAAAGGAAATATTTCAAAATTGTCCAGCTTTGACAGGGAAACCAAAGATTTTTATTGTGCAAGCTTGTCAGGGCAGTGAGTATTTATTTTCGTTGACATGCATTTACCCAACAGAAAAGAATCTGTTTGTGTAAGAATTAGTAGTAAAAGGATTTAAACCCAGGATTTAATGAATTGTAGATGGTATTTAATCATATGTAAGTCTTGTTATATCACCACCCAAAGTGGTGACATATTGTTTTTGTCTCGGTTGGTGGTTAAATGTTGGCATCCGGTGGCTGGCGATCGGTGTCTGTAACAAATTCCTACAACTTCCAATACCTTAACAAATACTGTTTAGACTGACTTCAAATGATACTTCTCAAGGTCAAAAAAGGTCAATTCTTTTCAAAATCTTATCTGCGATAAGAGGATAATTTACCAAGACCAACATATTTCTGCTGAGGTTTTACTGACTTTGAATAGGGGGAAAACACTGCATGTAACAACCATAATTGAATTCATTTTTTCAGGTGCAAAAGACACTGGGGTTTTGGATACCAGTTTTAATTCCAGCATGTCATATGACACAGATCAAGGACGTCAATCTCCTGTGCAATTTTCTAATCGAATCAAACCTGCCCCTTGTGAATCAACTGATCCATCACTAAAGTCTCCAACTGAATCAGGGGACGACTCTATGGATGCAAGCTATGGGGAATTTGGTGACTCAATAGATTCAGTCCCAACAAGCATGCCCACGGCACAATCTTGTGATTCACTAAAAAGTCTTCCTGGTAACTCAGATATCCTCGTTGCGAATGCGACAACAGATGGTAGGTAAACTTGTACATAATGATACTTTTTACTGCTTTAAGACTATACAGGATGGGCCATAAATAAGTAGTGCACTTTGCTTTGAAGGCTATGTTCATAGAATAGCATATGATGCATGGATGAAATGTATTTCATTATTTTCATTGATGAACGTTGTTTTGTTCTTTTTATCCATCATATTCATACTGTTATGCCCCCTAAAATCCATGATCAGGTTATTGATAGTGACTTCTATTGATACAATACTTAGTATATCCATTATTTAAAAGTGAAGAAGAGTTCTTTTTTGTCCCACCCTGTGTAATAACAATAAATAAAAAGTGAAAAAAAACTGATTGGGCAAAATAATGTATTTATTGACCGACTCACATAGGAGACACTTGTGCTCCCTTTTCATATAATAATCAACTTTAACATAAAAATTGTAAGTCCTATGAGGAAGAGTACACCTCTGTTCACTACTTTTGCAGATATGGCCTCGTGGAGAATACCAGATGTGGGCACTTGGTTCATTCAAGCCATCATATATGTGTTTGCTAGATATGCACATAACACTGAGATAGGACATCTCTTCAGGAAGGTATGTTATATGTGTATTATAATTTGGATTGGGTGGAGAGAGAACTGAAATATTCACTTGATTTGCCATTTTTTAAAGTATTTGAAATTAAAATACATTAAAGGCAGAATCTGATCAATAACAATATCTCCCAAAAGATTCACAATATGTTATAAATCGGTGAAGTTATTAATGTTTCAAAGTGCAAAAATGAGTGAAAAATGTTTAAATTCTCCCAAATAATAAGAATGGTAACCATTCTTATAGAAAAATAATACATTATTGTAAAAATCTTTAGTTTTCCTTGAATAAAGTATGCACTTTTGTGATTTTTAGAAAATAGACATGACAAGGAATGACATGAGCCAAAAATATTCTAAAATTGAAACAATTTTTTGTTAAGCCTGCTCACTATCTCTGATTCTCTCTTTAACTCAGGCTACCTGTAGATGCATCATTCATTTCGTTTAATAATTAATATGTTTCTAACTTTGTAAATCTTTAATCGAGGCTGGGCAAAAAATGTACCTTTATAATGTTATTTTAATGTTTGTTACTGTATTAGTTAAGTTTATCTTTTGTACTCTTATACCCTATAAAGGGTGAATTGAGAAATAAATAAATAAATAAATAAAAATAAATAAATAAAAAATATATTGTAGGTGAATCATTTAGTATCAAAGGCCACAACAAAGAAGCTTCCACTACAGTACAAACAACAGTCCTGCATAGATGAAACTCTAAGACTGCAGCTGTATTTCTATCCCGGCATGGGCTCTGAAAATGTTTTATAACTGCAGCTGTAAATGAAACCTGGCTTGTTAATACTGTAGATTGGGTTAATTTGACGCCTTGGCAGTTTTGGCGAAATAGAAGAAACAGTCAATTTATATCTTCTGGCAAAGTTCCGAAAAATTCGAGGGGTCTTTCCTGGGAATTTCGTCCTGTATTCTGTGAATTAAGTCACTTCTGGTTTAGTTTTTTACAAAATCAGAATCACTTCTAAATTGGATCAGGGCGAACTATTTTCTAGTCAATACTGATGGAAAAGTAAATAAAAAAGCAGCATCCATTGAGGTTCAAAATGTTCGCCAAATTAAATTGCTGTAAACATGCCAAAAATGGCAAAATCTCCCAATTAAGTAGCACCAAAACCCAATCTACAGTAGGTCTAACAACATATATATGGAGCTATGTGGATTTGTGATCTTATCACTGCAGTATCATTAAGTATTACATTATCCCATGTTTGCGAGGATATAGATCGAGTATCACATTAAAATATATTTGATATGTGGATCAAGATATCATATTTTAGCAAAAGATTCTCCCAAATAAGTTTTATTGGATGGTTTCAAAAGTGATGTAGTGATGCACAAACATGTATTGCTTTATATGTTCCCATGGTATACTTTGACCATGATTGAGATTGAGCGGATGTATGAACTTTGCAAATTTCATAAAATATATTTTTGTATACAGTATTATGAAAATCCATATAGACTAATAGGCTAATATAACTGTTGATATGATCAAATGGTGATTGTACAATTTTTTCGGACTTAAAATTGCTAATTTTAACAGCCTTTGGGCAGTTGGACAATCTATTACAAAACTTTTCACAGAAACAAGAACAGACTAGTGGCAAGACCTAAATAGATTTTGAGCTTGCTGTGTAAATTAAAAATTTCATCGTCGCTTTCCACTGGGTCTAGAGAACTAGGAACAATCGAAACCTTGTGAATCAAGATTTTAAATTTCAAATGTAATATTTATAACATGTAACACTATTCACTATGTGTCTTGTTTACTAGTTGGCTATTCATGAACATATGGATTTACATATTAAAGCTTTGTACACTGCAGTAGGGAGTTTGATGGTTCTGACTGCTACTGATTTGTCCAGTGATTTTGCCACTGCATGTTATATTCATGATTTAACTCTTGGTGAGAGTTATGCAATTATAGAATGCAATGAATTTTCTTAATTAAGATCTTAATTGAAATCTGAATAAGTGAAAATATTACCTGTTTTTCATTTTTCCTATTTTCACTGAACATAATTTTCAGCAAATTTAAAAACAAGTGAAATATAATAAACATTATATTATTGTCAAGTTGTAAGTTGAATTAAATCAAAACCAAAATTGAAAAATGCTCACTTACTATGATTTAGCACCAGTGGTATGGATGTATGATAGTCAATGCTAAACCATATTATTGTATATTTTGTGTTTGCATGTATATACTGTAAATTGTAAATATAATGTGAAACTGCTTTTTTACTTATAATACAATTGTCAGCTTGTAATTGATCTGGTATGAACCAAAATGATGTAATCCGCCCAAAGTAAAAAAGTGTTCTTAGATCATATTCTTTGACAAAAAGTTTGAGATTGAATTAATAACACCATCTCTTGAACACCCTCTACATTTTAACATAAACATAATATACATGTTAATCAACCTTTTAAATCAATCAACTGTGTGAATGTTTCTCTGAAATACTTCTCTTTCTGTTTCAATATAAGTCATGTATTTCTTTCATTTTGCACAAAATAGTTCATCAGAAATAGGTCACATTAAGAATTATGAAAACAATTCATCCCGGGTTACATTGACCTTTAGATATGTATTGAATTACTTTTAGAGATCAAAAATTATGAGCGTTGTCAGACTGTTAAAACTTCAATTCTAGTTCAGAGAGCTGGAGACATTCATCGTTCACTCAATCGGCTAAAATTAACTTCCCAATGCTCTTCAAGATTTGATTGACAGGTCTATTTTTGTACCTTCCATATTTGGGAGTGAAATTGATGGCCTGTGTTAGAACACCAAGGTCAATCTGATCTGGTCACGCTATAAGACAAATGAAAAACTTGACTTTTGACTAAAATTAATCAATTCCATATATATATTTCTCAGGTTAAACTCATTTATAGAGAAAATGACCTTTCAGATCATTCTTGGCTATCTAATATCAGTTTATTTGAGAAGTTTCAATCTTAATTTCCAACTAAAAAAGATTTTGCAGCATTTTATTACCATTGTTTCGTCAAAGAAAGCAACCCTTTTCCATAACAGGGATGCAGATCAGAGGTTCAAATCCCCCTCTGCCAGTTGAAAACAGTATATTGAATACAGTATAAGAAATCAGTGGAACCATTGGAGAATGTATTGCATTTTGTCAGAAGTTAGATAAGATAAATCCGGGGTATCGGATTATTTTGAGTGACATCATTGATAGCAAACATCAACACGAGAAGGTGAAGGGAATGAGTGTTGATATCTGATATCTATGAGGAAATGAAATGATATCACCAGAAATGATCTGATATTGGGTTTATTCCATGATTACAATCACAAATTCAAATTCTCTTATCATGCAGTTATGCGGCTGATGTACGATATTAGCCGCATATGTATAAGGCCGGTGAAACTATTTTCTGAAAATATCACACGGATCGCCATAATATCAGGTAAAAAATGACCATTGAAACATCTCAGTGGAAGAAAAATCAGCAATGCGATACGAAACCTTCAAAAAAAGTCATTTTGCGTCTGATTTTCATGAAATTTATTTAGCGAAATATGATAGCGTCATTAGTTGGATTACCGCAATGGTTGTCTTATATTTAGGCTACAGAACTTTTGTGGTCAACAGTTTTACATATTTGAAATGTTTAAAAATACCACTTGACGGATTTGATTTATAATTTGAAACGTCCGTGCTCTGTAGCTGTAGCATTACAAGTCCACACATTAATAAAATTGTTCCCTGGAATAAAGTATGTACACTTCGCCGATCCTCCGAGCGCAGGGCTTCAAACATCATCCAATAGGAACAGAATGGATGTCTTGAGTCCTGCGTTCAGATCATTCAGGGACTCATTTTTGAATAATTATTTGCAAAGGTAGCTCGTTAGATTCATCCACATTTGATAAGTCATCTCATGTTTTTATGATTAATAACTCCATGAAGTTTTTCTTGTAAAAATTGATCCAAAAATAATTGAAGTATTTTTTCTTTGCTTAATAAGAAACATTCGGGGAAGTGGGTCCCGAGGCCCAAAACAAGGACTTGAACTTGGTATCACATTTTTGTAAATTCGTGGAAATCGTTATCCATCAGATCTTGTCCTTCGTAAGAAATTAAGGAGAAATGGCGATGATTATGAGAATGTTAATGACGTATATGAAATGATTCAGTGCTTTAAAAACAATTAGGTGGGTAATGTGGATATGGTTAACTCTGCTTTAACTCAATAAAGATGCTGCTGCTGATTTCTGCTTTCCTCAGGCAGAATGATTGTTTAGTGGAATAGGTTCGTATTCTAGGTTTTTGTTTATGTATAGAATTTCCAGCAACCAGATGTGGAGCCTGCGGGAAACGTACACTCCTCGCCAACAAGATAAACAGTTATCTGTTTTACACATTTTCAAGGAAAATTAAGCATAATCTAAAACCGGGATATAGTTTTCACACGATAAGATAAAGATGTTCTTTAGATACTATATAGTATTTATTTAATATTTAGAAGCGCTTTTGTTTTTCTGGATTACATGGAAAGTGGTCACATGTTGTTGTGTTGAATGTGAATGTTGGTGTACAATGGTATATCCAAACAACATTTTCTGATATCTGAGAAATTTTATAAGATGATACGTCATTCAAATTCATTTCACTGCTCTATTAGTCAGGTAATGTATGGTAAAGTGCATTATCATAAATTGTTGCACTGTCAATTGAATATTTCGGCTCCTGCGGTTAATTACCGACGTAATTGAATTCGGTGCATTCCTCATCATGTTCTCAATTACTTACTGTTGCACGGTATGATTTTCAACTAAACAATCCCATTGCAATTAAGATTCTATTATATTGTATATAAACGTATATGCAAACACACCAGCGTGTAAAAGGTACCCGAACGTTATTTTTTCAATATGAGTAGTTAGTGAATTTGCTCGTGGTTTTTATATTCCAATAGCGAATCAGACAAAATATTCTATCTTGAGGAAAATGCATTTTGAGGTCTTGGCTCGGTTTTGTCAGATATCTTCCAAAGGTCATAATTATTTACACCCAGGGGTTATCTAGACTGTGTATATTTATGTAATCATTGTGAATAACAAATCTACTGACTGCAAAACAGTTACTAACTTATGCACAGACCTCTGATAGCTTAGTATATTAGTCTCATATGCATCTGAACAGAGCTGGACAGATTTTTCCAGTTTTTAGAGACTCCCAGGTTAAACTCATATTTTTGACAGCTGTGAAAATCTATTCCCTAAACAAAGCGCGTCTAAGATATTCCGAGAAACCACATTCTTAAAAAAGGTTCAACCAGAACAAACAGAAACCCTGGTAGGCAAGTCAACAGTAACACAACATTATACGTTACAAACTAAGAAAATGAAGAGAGAATATAAAACAATTGCATTTTGGAGGAGTATTATCAGTGAATGTTTGGGCACATGTTTTTATGTGTTTTTAGGTTGCATAGCAACGTATAAATACCATAGTAACGAAGATACAAAGGAGGTTGTCAAGGTGACAAAAGACATTGATCATACAGAATTGATAATAATTGCAGTAAAATTTGGCGTTGCTGTAACAACATTATATAAATGTTTCCATCATGTATCCGGTTGTCATATCAACCCAGCGGTTACTATAGCAATGATGGCGACACGAAAGGTGACAGTTTTGAGAGGAATATGTTACATATTTGCTCAATGTGCAGGGGGAATCGCAGGAGCTGGCATAGTATATGGGTAAGTGCGCTTGTATTGCCGTAAGGGGTTGTCACAAATCTTTCGAACTAAACTCTTCATATACTTCATTTCGCTAACTGCAGCAGCAGACGATCCATCCACGTTTTGAATGTACGATCAGTTAAAAACGTACAGCGAAGAAATGATTTTGGCACCCTTTAAAAGAGTAACTTTATTTTACCACCCACTTACAACGCAAGCGACTGCGATTTTATGGGAAATATTCAATCACCCGAGAATCTATGAAATGGTGCGGTTATACTAGTAGTCCCACGAGTAAATGGTGGTTATGTATCAGTGAAAATGAGAGTTGGCCAGCAAAACAGTTTCTGGAAGATAGATTTAATTTTACGTATTATCAAATCAAAATCATTCATGTACACACTCTTCGTATTATCAACGATGCCACTAACTGCTAGCATAAAAAGAGAACCATTTTAACAGTTTATAAATCTAATTGCATTTCAGTGTCACCCCGGACCCGCAAAAAGAAAACGTTGGCATGCCAGCAATCTACCATAAACTAGCCATAGAACAAACGTGTGCCATCGAGGCTGTGGCAGCCTTTGTTGTCGTTTTTACCATTTTCGCAAGTCAACGATGCAAAAGCACTCTGCCGTTCAGTGTTGGAGGTGCTGTGTTCCTTGTTCACCTCATTGCAGTATGTTAACATAGTGTCACTATTTCAAATTTTTTCTTTGCATTGTGTGTTGCATTAAGAAAAAGTCGTTTAAGATTTATTGGAGGGTTAGGGAATATTTGATATTAGGGTTAAAGAATAAGCAAAAAGAAATATATTGGATCTGGGATATCAAAATATGGAAAATAATGATAACTTGAAGGGTTACACATAGAAATATTAACATCTGAAGCCAAGTCGAAGTACTAATTAAAATTCATTAAATTTCTTTCAAGGTGCCACTGACAGGATGTGGATTGAATCCAGCCCGAGTCCTAGGGCCAGCATTTGTGCATCATGTCTGGGAAAACCAATGGGTAAGGAACAAAGTTGAATTTTTTAATTCTTCTACATTGCCGGAAACCATGCCAATTTTATTTGTTATTTCAGTGATATTACATTACCCTGAATAAGAACTCATCGATTTTAACACTGACGACAGGTCTAAAGGTAGTTTAGATGAAACACATAGACTAAAGTGACATTACACTTTTAAAAGTAGACCCTTCAAACTGATGTTACATGGGAATAGGATCTCAGAGTGTAAAATGCTGTAAGCAGACTTCAAAAACATGTTCTTACTTTATTTTCCAAAAAATGTCGTAAAATTATTCATGACTCGCCTCTTTCCTTTCCACTTCCTTTGACACACAAAGGCCGCTAAAACAGTCCATTGACTACAATTGTGAGTTCACTCTCATATTTGTCATATAATCTATAATTTTGAAAAATATGTACTAATTGTTTTCAGATTTATTGGGTATCGCCAATAGGTGGGGCTTTAGTAGCTGGGCTTATGCACGAGTTCATATTTGAACCATATGAACCGAAGAAGGAGTTATACCAACCTGTGTCAGTAGCTGAATCCAGGAGAATCTCAGGTAAATACAGGACCTGTTTGACTTAATATAATAATTAAGCTAAGTTCACACCAACGGCGCTTTGATGGCGCTTTAATGAGCCGTGCAAAGCAGCTTTGCACGTCGCATTAAAGCGCCATCAAAGCGCCTTTGGTGTGAACTTAGCTTTAAGGACGCAGTCAAATCATGGTAATCAGTAAAATGTCGGGAACAAAACTGCAAAAAAAGATAGTTTAAAGGTAACCCAAGTGGAATCATGTTTGAATGTAAAACCAGGAAACATCGATCTCAATTTTCAAGTTCAGTTTTTTATATCTAACGTTGTTTTGCACTTTTAGAAAAACAATGCATTGAAAATATGATTTGGGAAGATGTCACTTGAACAATATTTCAATAATATAATAAATATTTTGAACTATGTGTTTTATAATTAAGTGTAGATATCCTCATACATTTTGAAAAATAGTACCCATTTTGAATAATTGTCATGGAAATTACATGAAAAATACCAATCATTCGGATTTACCTCTAAAACACACCTGTCACCACACTAACTTCCTGTAACTAACTTACCTTGTATTCGCGAATGCAACTAGCGCCTGTCGGCTACCGGATTAACTTATTATTTTATTGGCAACTTATTTAAATATGTATAGTACCTGCCACTATTCCATTCATATTTAAATGAGTTGCCGATAAATTAGGAGGTTAATCCGGTAACCGACAGGCGTTAGTTGCATCGTTTTTAAAAAATATTTACATATTGTTCCTCCTCAAGTTGTCTGTGTGTAATGACTGAAAATTGTTTAATGTCCCCTCCTGATTCAACTGAAGTTCATGTTAACCCAAGTGGTCACTTTATCAATCACAAAAGTGCTTTGTATGCGTTATTTTATTTTTACTTTTGAGTATTATATAAGAACCTAAATAGAAATACAATAAATAAAGGTTTTATTTTTTATACAGTAAGTTAAACATACAATTTACTCTAACTGCCTTATGTGGTTAAACTGCGCTTCCAAGAAGCACGTGTTTCCAATATTACGGTTTATTGATACCTCACAGACTTCACAGCTGTTCTTCTCAATTAGTCTCATTTTTGAAGATGAGTTTGTAGTTCTTGTTTCCATAACTTATTTGTTCCACCTGTCTCGCCATTGCGCATCAACACATTATTGGCAGACGTTTGTGGGTTGGTTGATTCCTAAAATAAACCTAACACGTAAAATGTTTATTTATTTTGGTTTAACCAAAAAACGAAAATATACTTACTACCGCCGCTTTCAACATCACAACTATTTACAATAATTGAACCTGGCGCCATTATTTCAAAACGATGAAAGTGCATGTATATGAAACTATGACTGATTAAATCAGAGGTTGTTGGCGGAAACTGGGAATCAAAATGAATAGAGAGAGAGAGATGACAAAAGCATCCATTTTTATGTTCATATTTTATATCAGAAAACAGCGTTCGTACTGTTTTGTTGGGGTCCGTGCATTATACCGAAACCCATTATACCGACGCGCATTATACCGAAACCCATTATACCGACGCGCATTGTATCGACGCGCATACCGAAAGGCGTTTTACCGAATGCCATAATCACTGTTCCACAACAAGTTACTTTGACGGAACGTCAATATAACAAAACGGATGAACTTCCTGGTTACGATTTTTTTGCTCTCTTGATTTAAACCTACTGATAAGTCAAGTAACAGATTATAATTTGGCCCAAAGCTAGAAAATATAGCCTAGTTTTGATAAGTTTCTTCGATTTGGAATTTGTTTTGTAAATTAAGCTGTAATTCATATACTAAGCCCATCGCTTTTGTTACATTGACGAAAGCCAGTTATATTACCAATGTATGTTACTTTGTCAAAGGGGATTTGCCCGACCATTTTTTAGAAAACTTGAAAATCTCTAGAATTTGAATAAAGGTAAATAACAGTGCAAAAACGAAGTTGTTTTGATAGAAAATTACACACAGAATTCAAATAGAAGAAAATGTTAGTCTTTAGTGGTTAAAATGCAGATCTCCTAAAATCTCATTAAAACGAGACCTTAACGAGATTTCAAAGCTATATGGAAAAGCCACTATTACATAGATGCCTTCACTAGGCTCATTGCCCAGAATTTTTCCAAAAATACAATGCGCATGCGCAAAACCTTGACTTCCGGTTTTTAAAAGTCAATGGGATTTCCTCAGTTGAAAACTTTTGAACGTTAACAGAACGCGGGACTTTGAAATGGCACCTTAGTCATCTCAGGTTCCTGTAACTAGGTACTAATGCCTATCAATCTAACCCACTTTGAACAATCTAGGTGTCACAAATTTTCGGCGAAATAACTTTGAAATAAATTAACAAAAATCACCTATTACGCCATTGAAGTCAATGCAAAATGACGTCAAAATGATGAAAGGAGTAAACTTCAACGGTGTGGTAGGAGTATTAAAATACACGTGGAGCCTTAGTCATCTCAGGTTTCTGTAACTTTGAAGGTTGATCTGTTTGATTCCGTTGAGATTTGAATCCTCATACCTTTAACTTTTCGGCCAATTTCAAACAAAATATGTTAACTTTTGGTGATATAACTGGTTCATTACATTGGAATGACGTCAAAATAAAACAAGACAATCTCAGTTTCTATGGCACTGACGTCATGACGTCAGATTTATCTTAAGATCTCAAATATGACGTCATGTTTAATCAATGAATGACATCTATCGGCTATTCGACCAATTCTGTGCAATTCTCTGTACTTGTGTCCGTGCCTCATTTTGAGGTGTAAATTCTTTTCGGAAACATGATTATGTTTTCCCTGTAATATGAATTGGAGATATCTGACGAAATATGGATAGCCTTAAATATAAATTTTGTGTTTTTGAACATGCGGAAATATCTTGAACACTTTGAAACTGAAGTCCAGTTCCTTCATAGGTCGTTCTGTCAGTTTTCTTGTTTTTGTTCTACACAACACTTGTGTTAATAGCCACGCGTAATTATTAATAAGCGTAATCAGATTATTTCAAGCGTCGAAATAGCTTATTTTCCTCGACGTATCTACACAAACCTATTCACTTACCGTTATAGTGAGCGATCTAGATGCGTCAATTATAATTGTTTTCACTCATCGGCTTTAGTGGCCCGCGATACCTTTTATTTCATTCATTTGAGACGCAATTGATATATTGGCAACAAATCAAATGTTCTAAATGATTCTTCTTCATTTTGGAATGTTTCTCCTACCCGATATTCAAAGATGTATCTTAAATATTATACTTTACATTGATCACGATTCTTGTACTTTCTGTCTTTACGACTCCCGTTCACATTTGCAAGAGTTACTGATTGCATTGCCTTGATCGTTGGTCGAACTTCGATTCCAACTAAATAAGATTAATCAATTAAGAAATGTAGTATCATGTTTATCCAAGCAAATAATTGTAACAACTACATTATTTTTTAGCAGTTTTGACACCTAAGCAGGGTAGCCTAGTGGCGTAGACTGAGGCTACTTTGCGGTTGAACGTCGTGGGATACGGAGGTCCCGCGTTCGAGCCCCAGGTACGGAGTTGTTGATCATTGTCACTACGGACACCCGGTCCGAAGGTCCAACCGTTTACCGGCCCTTGGCATGGGTTGGTTCTCTGGCCGCTCTTGCCGGAGACAGATTGTGAGACTGTTGTTGGTTCCTCCACTAACGTGCTTTAGTAAACTCCGGGAGTCATATAGTATGGTAGCGGGCCCCCACCAAGGGCAGTAGTGGAACGACGCGAATCGGTCCCAGTATGGTTGCCTTGCAACTGAAGAGACTCGAGGAAATCATGCCATTCGCAGTGACCCAGAAAAGACTTTTGCTTCTTAATTTGACGTTTTAATTCATTTATTTACATACTTTATTCATATTACTTTCCAGGCAGTTATGATTTTTATTGATCAAATGAATGAACGAGACATATACACAGGCTGGTATCGAAAGATTTGTCCGCTGTGACGGAGCATGCTATTTTTCATAAAAACACTAATCTGCTTCACGATTTATTTTTTAACTCATATGTTTCGTTATATCAAAGATAATTACTTACTCCATGCAATGGATATATCATTTGCGTGTAACCTTCACTTCTGTTTGAAGTCCAATAACGCTAGGAGTAAAATCTATTGAAAACTGCGCCAGAGCATCAAACTCTAAAATGTACCATTTCTTTTTTAACTTTTTAATGGCATGATATAGTGACACGATAATATTAACATATGTTTTCAACATAAATCTGAATGTATTAATGAGATATTAATGCATCGGGTCTTTTTAATTTTTTTATAAAAAAATAATATTAATATTTTTTGTCCGCTGTGACGGAGCATTTTCACAGTTCACATTTGCAACTGCTCCGTCACAGCGGACAAAAATTAAGCATTATTTTTTATAAAATAATTTAAAAGACCAAATACATCAACATCTCATTTATACCTTCATAGTTATGCTGAAACCATGTGTAAATATTATCGTGTCACTATATCGTGCCATTAGAAAGTTAAACAAGAAATGGTACATTTTGAAGTATGATACTCCGGCGCCATTTTCAATAACTTTTCTTCCCAGCGTAATTGGACTTCAAACAGAAGTGAAAGTTACCCGCAAATGATATATCCATTGCATGGAGTAAGTAATTTTGTATGGTATAACGAAACATACGAGTTAAAAAATAAATCGTGAAGTATTCTTAGTGTTTTTATGAAAAATAGTATGCTCCGTCACAGCGGACAAATATTTCGATACCAGCCTGTGATATAGATACTATTAAATACATCTAGATAGTAACAAAACCTTAATTCGATTTGTCGGACATATATAAAATAACACTTGAAAACACAACACACATAGCTGCAATATCCGTAGCATTTGGCACAGTCGGTTCCCACGCTCTATCATTTTGTGTGGTCATCATAAGATAAGGAGGTACGGTTGATTGGACCATGGGCTTTCAACAGAGTCAAGAAATTGGCATGGATACTTTGAGAAATGAGGTCGCAACAAAAGCCAAACACGGGAAATAATCCAGAAATGTCCACACCATTGTTTTGGCAAGGCCCCGGAGGAAAAACAGCATTCGTGGGTAGCTTAATTTTTGTACCAATTAGAGCAATGACTTAAACTCAACCAAGAACGGTGGAGCAAAGTCACTATGGGTCCCAATTGAGAATCAATTCAAATCAAAATCAAATTGAGAATCAGATGACCTGCTAACCCTACTATCACACCAAACTAGTTCTCACTACGTTCTCAAAAACGGGCTTCAACTGTGTACGAACGGACTGGACCTACTAAGAACCGTTTGGGATCTATTAACAAACTTCATCGAACGTACTCGAACGGGTAGGTCCTCTAGAACTTAGACAATGCTCAAAATGTTCTCGTGGTCGTCACGTTCTACAATTAGAACGAGTGACAACGTACTAACGACGAGCTGGACGTACTACGAACGGAACCGTCGTACTTCAATCCTACTAGGGACGTTTTAACAACGAGTTGAATTGTCTGAGGACGTGTTGAGAACGAGGTAGAACTAATTGCAAACGGGTTTAAACTGATTGAGAACGTATTTAACACTGCTTATGAACGAGTTAGCAAAAATATAGCTATCACACCAAACAAGTTGCCACTGCGTTCTTCAAAACTGTGTGCGAACGGAATGAACGTAGCTGCAACTTTCTAAGGTCTATTTACGAACTTTATGATCGTTCTCAGACGGGAATGTGATTTTAGAATTTTGAATCGATTCAAAATTCGATGGCGACCATAACGTTCTGTAATCAGGTCATGTTGACCTTCTAGACTAAGGGACGCGTTCTACTACGTTGCACACCGACGTGGTGCGACTTGAACGAACTGCGAACGAGAAGGACGTATTGAAGACTGTTTAAGAACGAAGAAGCTAATTATTTCAGACATATTTCCCGACCACAGCCAGATTGAGCCCGTTTTACGACGTTTTCGTAGGACTGGCAAGAACGGGTAAGAACGAGTTTGGTGTGATAGGGGGGTTAGGTCTAGTATTGATTGAGTATTGCCCCTAAATAGATATTAAAGGGGCGCTGAATATTGGACTTAGTTAATGAGGACCATTTTAAACTGTCAATTAAAACATGTATTCAATGTTTCAAAATAATGAAACTGAAATTTTGGGCAAAATAAGTGATATTTCGTTTGTGGGAATGAAAACTGATGATAGAAATAATATCAGTAGCCAAAAACTGTATAAGCAATTTAAACATGGAAATGATGCCAATTTAGAAGTATTATATGAAAAGAAATGGTTAGAAAATGAAATAACTTCACAATTAATGGGATCATTGAGGCACACATTGATAAAAATCACACTTGGATTCTTAAAGATTCAAAGTAAAATGAATGAATGCGTTTCTCAATGACAACAAGCGTGTATCTTGCTCTCTCTCCATGACAACAATTTTTGGCCCCATCAGCACAAGGTCGAAAATACAGTAATTACTAATTATCAAGTTCAATAAGAAATGTGAAACTTCATATTTAATAGCACAATTATTTATTTCTACCAATATATAAATAAATGTTTACTTCATTGAATTCAGAATTTACCACGGTTAAATATATTTTATGAAGTACAGGGTTTACCATAATCAAACATAAATAACATAATTATGACTTTATCCTCTATGAAATACAGAAATTGGTGGTTAACTGGAATTCAGTTTGTTGAGGCGACCCCTCAATCCGAAACGCCTAGCATCACTTAAAAAAATTCTGGCCGCAACTGAAATGTAAAGATGTTCAAAGATTTTAAATAAGCTTTATCTGAAAATATGTTTTTGCGCGATAAACTTTTAATTGAATATGAATATATAAACAACAGATTGACACCCAGTCTCTTATTAAAAAGTTTAAAGTCAAAATATTGTGGAAGTAAATAAAAATGATTTTTTAATTTTCAAGACTTGTCTTATCTGTTCAATGAAAAAATCATACATATAATTTGAACCAAGGTGTATGATAAAGTTATATATAAACTATCTATTTTATATGCTGGTACAGTAGAATTTCGCATGGCTTTTCAACATAGCACCATATTTGACTTTTCAGGCTCCACTTTTATTATTCTATGCCTATATAATGTTACTGTGCACTGTCATATATGTACATAATCATGTGTCTACATGGCGTTTTGAAAGAGTATAGAGCTAGATTCAAAGCACCGTTCTTGCGAGTTTCAAATGAAAATATTGAAAATGCATGTATTGAGGACTGCAACTTTTTATGTCTACACTCAAAACTTGAAATTCCCGCTGTAAAGATATAGTCCCACGCGGAAGTGCACGTCATAAAACTGATGGGTTAAGGCAATGTGCCGTCCCACTGACACGGATTTTGGTACAACGCGCATCGGTAGGTCTTTTCGGCACAATGCGCGTCGGTATAATGGGTTTCGGTATAATGGGTTTCGGTATAATACGCGTCGGTATAATGAGGTGATCCCCTATGTGTTCATTGTTCTCTATTCAGAAAAATATTAATAAGGAAAATGTACTGGGAGGTTTTGGATATGGGGTTTATCCAGAGGCAGATATGCATATCTACCTTCGGTAGGTATATAAGAGTTATGTACTGGGAGGTTTTGGATATAGGGTATATCCCGAGGTATATATTTATATCTCCCCGAGGGACCGAAGGGACAAAGGGGAGATATAAATATTTCCCGAGGGATATACCCTATTTCCAAAACCTACCGTACATACTGTACTGTACAGTAACTGGTGTATCTCCTACCATGAGTGGGTTTGGGGTTCTACCTTTTTCAAATAACAAGATAGGCCTATTTAATGTAAAAGCAGAATTTATATTTAACATTTTCGTATCTTTAGTTCAATTCAAGGAAATTGAAACATTTAAAATTTAAAACTTAAATTAAAATTTTTTAAACTTCCCGGGAGCGGGATGGATATACAATATATCCTGCCCGCTCCTCAGATATGATATATATTCCCGGATGATATCTACGCTGCGCTCACTCGTAGAGATGGGCGATATCCAATCATGGATAAAATGGTATCCCACAAAAATCATAGATTATCCTCTATTTATCCCATACTTGGATGTGTTACAGGTACATAAAGCAGGTTTGTAAAAACCTATATTTTCATCAGCGGGCAGATACAGCTTTACGTCCCGCTCCGAGCGGGCAGATATAGTATATGCCCGCTACGTCATAATCGCCATTCGCATATTGGTTAATTTTTGTAAAGTTCACATGTTTGAAATTTTCTGAACTGTGGCCAATTGAACAATGTGAACCAGATGACCAAAATTGGTATGGGATAAACAGATCATCCTATAGTCGGTTCAGGATATTGGGATTATCCCTTGGTCAATATAATATATCTACCCTCGGGACATACGGCCCTCGGGCAGATATATTTGCCTCGGGATAATCCCAATATCCTGAGCCTCATATAGGATAATCTCTATTTATCTCAGGTAGATATGCATATCTCATGTAGGATAAACCCCATTTCCAAAGCGACCATACATCATTGCTTTAACCTATACCCAGTTAAGTTTTCTAAACTATTTTTCTTTAATTTCAATTAAAAGTAATTTCAATTTTTCAGTAAGTGGACGATATTCCTGGGAGCCTGGAGGTTTTGGATATGGAAATCTAAAAATCAGGATAAGGGATTTATCTCACCAACTTATCTCCCGTAAACTCTTCTGGGCAATAGATGAATATTGATATACACATTTTATTTTTATTTTTTGAATACTTTAGAACACACTAACTGCCATCAAAGCCAGTTTCAAAAGTTGCCAATTTGGAAAAACACCTTTACATATTTTCAGATGGAGCTTTGGTTGAAAGAAACTCAAATGGATATAGTCACACACATATAGAAATGACGCCCTCTGATACAAGGCATTCAGCCCAGCATACATCAACAAATCAAGCTAGTCCCCCACCACAAGCTTCTGCAGACCTCCAGCATCCCACAACTGATCAATGTCGCGATGACAGACAACAGCAGGCAACTGGAGAAATCAGGCAACATGATAACACAAAGGAAAGATTAAAAAGAAAATTAACTGACATTGAAAAGCAGGAATGCTCAACTGAAATTGACAGAGATGTTGTAACACATGTGGAGGATGATGGAGGGAGATCAGGTTTTGATGACGTTGGAGCAGCTGATGATAATGATACAGATATCAACTCTGATATACTGGATATAAATAAGAATGAAACTCAAAAAGATCTTAACACTGGAATTTGCTCTTTAACTTTAGCTTAGACTTATGCATGATAAACATTGTGTGTATGTCAGTTTGGGTCACTGGATTGTATCTTGCGAGTAAAGTGATTGTACAACATTTAGGTTCAAGAGGTTGTATACCATTTATGGTTCAAGAGGTCGTACATCAGTTAGGGTCAAGAGGTTGTGCATCATTTATGGTCAAGAGGTTGAAAATCATTTACGGTCAAGAGGTTGTACATCATTTATGGTTCAAGAGGTTGTACATCAGTTAGGGTCAAGAGGTTGTGCATCATCTATGGTCAAGAGCCTGTACATTATTTACAGTCAAGAGGCTGTCCAACATTTAGGGGCAAGAGGCTGAACATCAGTTAGGGTCAAGAGGATCAAGAGGTTGTACATCATTTATGGTCTAGAGGTTGTACATCATTTAGAGTCTAGAGGTTGTACATCATTTATGGTCAAGAGGTTGTACATCAATTATGGTCTAAGAGGTTGTACATCATTTAGAGTCTAGAGGTTGTACATCATTTATGGTCAAGAGGCTGAACATCATTTAGGGTCAAGAGATTGTACATCATTTACTGTCTAAGAGAAGTGCATTATTTAGGATCAAGAGGTTGTACATCATTTATGGTCAAAAGGTTGTACATCAGTAAGGGTCTAGGGATTGTACATCATTTACGGTCAAGAGGTTGTACATCATTTAGAGCCTAGAGGTTGTAAATCATTTAGGATCAAGGGGTTGTACATTATTTAGGATCAAGAGGTTGTGCATCAGTTGGGGTCTAGACTTTGTACATCATTTATGTTTTTTTTAGGTTATTGTTATTTATTTCCATATTATGTCAGAAAATTAACTGACATTGAAAAGCAGGAATGCTCAGCTGTTGTTCATCAGTTAGGGTCAAGAGGTTGTGCATCATTTACGGTCAAGAGGTTGTACATCATTTAGAGTCTAGAGGTTGTACATCATTAAGGATCAAGAGGTTGTACATTATTTAGGATCAAGAGGTTGTGCATCAGTTGCGGTCACTGGATTGTACATCAAATATTTGGGTTTCCGTTGTTCCAGAAAAATGACAAAATGAGTCATTAAATTATTATGATTTTATTACATTTATAAGTTTTTATGATACAAGAGCATGCTAAACATACATGTATGTAAGCTTCAGATTACAGTGTACATTGTACATAACATTGCATTTTAAATATATATAGTTTAATGAAAATGTACATATGATTGGTACTCGAGTATATTTTGAGATAAGTAACAACTTATGTCATCATAGTATCAAAAATACAAACAATCACTTTACAATGAGGATTTACAATCCATTTTTGTTTTTTTATAATATGTAATTTTGCATTTACAAAATTTTCTAAATCAATATCGTCTTATCCACTGAAATCAACTATATTATAAAATGTGATACAACTTTAAAAAGAAAATATGTGTAACGTATTCGAGGTAAGGCTGTACACAGGGAAATTGATAACATAATATAAAGTGAGATAATCACCCTATGACATGTATGATGCAGAACAATGCAGAAAAATGATGAGATTTTATGAGTTAAGAATCCAAAGAGTATGTGGAAATAGCATTAAGAATTCTTTTTACTTTGTGCAATTCTGCATCATCAATGTAGGATCGGATGATTGATAATATTGCCTAAGATCATTTTAATCTGTCAGCAAAGCTTATTTTTATAAGCTTTATTGAAGGCTTATTTCTGCCACTGAACATGGACACAATCAGTCTTGTTACAAGAGATGGGCACAAGTTGAAAATGCCCTCAAATAATTTCCCTAAAATGTTCCAAATCAATATCAAATAATCAGTGTGAAACATATCCAGGTTGGCCAAGATTAACATACTGGTACATCATCGTCAAACTTAACAGATGCACATATAAACCAATCTGAGACATATCTTATTTAAATCATTGTGAAGGTCATAGTATATCATAGTCTGTACAATTTCCTATGAGCTGGCTTCTCACCAAAGTTTAGGCTGTTTTTTCTTTAGTCCACCAGTTGATCGAGTTCTTGTATTGCGCGGAGCTGTAGATGACTTCTGAGATGATAGTCGAGTTCGCACCCCAGTTGAGACAGATTCTTCCGGAATGGGTGAAATGAAGTTAATAGGACTATTTGACATGCTGGTTAAGTTTTTCTTGTTCCTAGAATAAAGATATGAATTCAATCCTTTTAACATGTTAAAAGTGAATATAATATTATTTGAAACAGGCCCATGTCATCAAATATTTGTAACAAATTATATTTGCATTGCATTGTGCAGAATTCCTGTTGTGTTTTAAAGCTGTACATGTTACAAGATGTTCCAATAAACAAACAAGCAAAACTCAGTTCACTGCAAGTTAAAAATATATAGAATAGAATTTACACTGAACAATTTGTGCACTGCAATCTATGATTAGTGAAAACAAGGAAAGGATGAGTCTGGGAATGAGTCTGGGTATTATTTCTACTTTGTATGTCATATATGTTGCCATTGGTGTTTTTTCTATGATGATGACTATTTGTTTTCTGTTAGGATACTTATTTTGACTGAGGGACCAAAAGGACTCATCCTTTACACTTATTCAGTGTGGTTGGGTGGTTTACTCTTGCACAAACTTACTTGGGAGGCCTGCCTCTTCTTGGTTTAGTGGCCTCTGGTATAGACTCGCTCTCAGATGTAGAGCTCACTCTGCTACTTTGCCTGGTGGGCTTACTTCTTGTGGGGGTTTTTCTGGTGGGGGTCAGGTGTCCTGAACGTGTACGAGTGGCTGGGGGTGAGAACACAAAGGGCTTGGCAGGACTTACTGGCTCTGCTTGTAGTTTGGCTCGAGTGCCTGAAAAACATTTTTTGTACCATTAGTATCCTAACTGACTAATCTCGTTTTACAAAAACACTTCTGAAAATGTCTACAGTCAAATCATACAGGTCTTACTGCATCTTACAGGCGTTTATTAAATATGAATTGCCAATATTAAATGTTTACTTCAATTTCAAAGAAACTGCATCCATTGACTTAATTTTTGGACTTTCTTGGACACTGTAACCACACCAATGGTGGAACAGATCAACATGGAGTGCATATTAATACACTAACTGCATGTAGGAACAACAATAATTTTAGTAAGAATTCATACAAGCGTCAAACATACTATAACCACTGTAGATACCTACCTTCTGGTGAGTTGACAGGCATAGGGTTGGAGAAAGTAAAACTTGGTGCTCCTCCCCCTGGTAAAACACAAATACAAAAAACAATGTCAGTACAAACATAGTGTAACAAACAAATTACACACCAAATTATATTAGTTTATAAAGCCCTAAGTTGAGGGTAGATGAAAATAGTGACCTATAGAAGTATTACATTACACCAGGGGGTTTCATTAGCAGCAGGCAACAGGCGATTTTCACCGGTCGTTCACAAAATGGCCTGATGTTTTTAAGGACTTGTCAACTTTTCCATGTTAAATTTATGATTTCCATTAATTTTGCCTGTTGTTTTCATTTATTTAGCCTGTTGTGAGAAATTCTAGTGAAACCCCCGTAACACACAAACATATTAATGGAAAAGCAATATCATGATTTTTAGAACAAATGCTGATAAAACCATGCTGATGAAATGACATCGATAAAAATAATCTAGTCTAGCACAAATCCACAATATACTTGTAGGCAAATTCACAATCAATTTTCAGAGAACTAACTATTCATGATGGTACAATTTTAGAATGCCAAATATACATGTATATGTGCATTATGATTCCAAACATTTTAGCAAATAGACTACAAAGTACAATCGCACCCGGTTGAGAAAATCATGTAATTTCCCTTTGGACATTTCTTCATTACAAAACAAATGAAATGCCAAGTTGAGAATAAATCTATTGTGAACACTGCATAAATTTGTATTAATGCTCAAATGAAAAGATATGGTTAGTAATAATCATTATTATAATTATGTAAACAATTCAAGAACCATTTGAGTTGCACAAATAAAAGAAATTACCTTCACAGGCTGACTCATCAGTGTCTGTATTAAATACAGAGTCAGGGGTCATTTCCCTTGGCCTCCCTCGACCTCTACTTTTCGGGGCCAGTTCTGGGGATGTATCCCTTGATGAACCCTGAGAAGACAGCCTTGAAGTTCTCCGAGTTGACCGTGGAGCAGGAAGCACAGACGTTGGCTTGGTTTTTGAATTTTGTAAAGTATCGCGTCTCAATCCTGATCTTAAGTTAGACACAGGTTCGGGTGTTGGGTCGCGTGATAGTCTGCGGGGCCCAGACCTTAAGTTCCTCACGGTGTATGTATCGTTAAGTTGTGGCTGTGGGGAAGGATCCCTGGAAGATGCATGTTCGGATCTTAAATTTCTAACATTGTATGTGTCATTCATAGGCTCAGGTGTCGGGTCTCTGGATGGGGTCTGTCTACCAGACCTCAGACTCCTTGTATTTTGGGCTTCTGGGGTTACATCACGCGATGGAGTACGTCGGCCAGATCTCAAGCTCCTTGTATTTTGGGATTCCGGGGTTACATCACGTGATGGGGTACGTCGGCCAGACCTCAAGCTCCTGGTATCAGTAATTTGGGGTTCCGGGGTAACATCCCGTGATGGCGTCTGTCGGCCAGATCTCAAGCTCCTTGTATTTTGGGATTCTGGGGTTACATCACGGGATGGAGTGCGCCGGCCAGACCTCAAGCTTCTGGTATCAGTAATCTTGGGTTCAGGGGTAACATCCCGTGATGGAGTTCGTCTACCAGACCTCAGACTCCTAGTATTCTGGGCTTCTGGGGTAACATCTCTGGAAGTGGAACCTCGACTAGACCTCCGGGTCATTATAGGCTCTGGGGTGTTATCACGTGAAGGAGTGTGGTCCCCAGATCTTAGTCTTTGCATGTAGGAACCGGTGGATAATGGGGAGGTATCAGTTACATCTTTTGTCTCTGCAATACAAAAAAACAGATAAAACATTCTGTGATATCTATTTAATAAAAATGATTTGACCAGGCAAGAGACTGTCGAGAATAAAACTATAAATACAGCATCTCCACAGAACAAAGATCAATTCACTAATTTTTCGAACACTTGGAGACCTAAAGAATTTTTTTGTGTTACCAAGCTCTGGCATCAAGTTTTTAAAAAATCAGGTTTTGAAGTGTGGTTTATCTCACGAAGCCATTATTTTCCAATAAAGCATGTAATTTCTAGTTTTGCATTCATCCACATCATCCTTGCAGTGTGCTCTCATGACGATGCAGATTCCAAACACAGTTCGAGTGGTACTTTCAATTGACTGTTGCTTACCTATCATTGAGATCTGGCATATATTTTGAAATAGCCATAATTTAGTCAGATTTGAACTTGTACATATTTTTTCAACTGTACAAACAATCATGTGGTTTTGACAACGAGAATGAAAATACAGCTGCAATTTTTATTGGATCACCCTATACATCTCTAAGCAATCACTCAATGTTGACCATAAACACCTATTCAGTGAATAGAGTATCTTACAAACCTGGTTCTACATCAGACATATCACTGGCATCTGGTGGCATGTTACTCTGTGTTGTGGAGCTGCTTTCACTCTCTATGGTACTGCTCTCTGAACCTGACCTAGAAGAACCCGACCTGGTGGACCTTGGACTCACTGAAGTCCGACTGCTAATTGAGGGGCTCACCTAAAAAGGAAGTATGGATTGATTAGTCACTGTGCATAATACAGTTGCACCATAGCCTTGTGTCTCATACTGTATAGAAGCCAGGTCTATTCGTATTTCATAAATCTGAGTTTTTATCTTGTAGTAATGTAAAAATGAAATTTAAAAATTGGCCCTTTGTTTCTAGCCTGCATAATACAGCCTATGGAAATCATACGTAACAAAAAAATTTAAGACAAGACAAAGGGAAAAACAATAAAAATCCTAAAATTTTACCTGTTGGGTGACAGGTAATGTAGGACTGGGTTTAGGCGATTTCTGTACTTTGCTTCTGGGAGAGGGGGGCGGAGGAGTTTTGAACCCTTCATCAGACTGGAACAAAAAGGAACAAGCCTTAGAAACAATACACATTGCCTTAAATTGGCAAACAGTATATACAAGAGTTTTCACCGATAGTATGCAATGAACAGTTCTTGACAAAATTACTAAAGTTTAACATGGTGTTCTAACCTTTGTTGAATCTACTGATGAAAGCCTGGAATTCCTCAAAGAAGTCTGTTTATTATTGGGAATAGTATTAGGAGAAAGATGCTGTATAGACTCATCACTAGGTATTTCCACTGTCAGTTCCGGGACCTCCATAGGAACAAGTGATGATTTATTGGATATGTTTGCTGAGCACTTTGGAGATTGTTTCGGGGAATGTTTTGGAGAACTGTTGTAAACGTGTTCAGTTGTATTTACAACCAAGGCAGTTAGATTTGATTTACCCATGGTATCATACTGTTCTACATTGTCTTTAAGTGTTCTATTGCTAATATTCTGTTTAATTTCTAGCACCTTGTCAACATCTATGCCACCATCATCACCTTTATGTTTCACTGTATCATGATGTAGTTCATTTTCACTAGAATCAATCACAGATATGGTTTCAATAGTTTCATTTTGATCTGTAGAATCAATTATTTCTATTGTAGAGTCCTTTACTTCTATAGTTTCAATAGTGTCATTTTTATCTTCTAAGGTGTCAATGGCAGCTTTAGTCTTATTTATGTCATCCTGAGGGACGATTTTGTTATCTATGATGTTCTTATTTTTTATATTTATTTCCTCTTGAGCTTCAGCAAAGTGTTCTCTGCCACTAGTTTTTAAATTGCCTTCCATGGCATTATCTCTCCTATCAATGCTTTCATTACGAGTTTCAATTTGATCAAAAGATTCATCTTCAATACTGTCACTATATACATCATTTTCATCATCATTATTGAGCACATCATTGACAACCTTTTGACACTCTTCTCTAGCAGAAACAACATTCACTTCATCTACATCATTAAATTCCATAACAGCATCTTCCTGATCTTCCACATCACTATCTTGCTTTTCAGCGACATTCTCTTCATAGGATGTGTCCCTTTGTGCCTCTGAGGTGGCAAGAATATTGCGGATTATATTTCTAATATTCTTTGTTGTTTGAGGTGTCTGAGGGGTCTCTGTGAGGTGGTCTTGTTCGGGTGTTCTCAGTGGGGGAGTATCGTGACTAACATCCATGATGTCAACATGGTCTAAAAATACAGAAAACAAAATTATAAATGGGTTACATCTTAAGACATTCTAGATTTCATGAATTTATAATTGTAAACAATGTGTGAACAATTTATCATAATAGCACTTAGATAGATATACATATGTTATTTTATTAGTATGACTAATTGAGTCCTGAGTGTCACACTTTGTTAATAAGCTGCTTCAATGTATGTAATATTCAACACTGAAATGCTGAGTGTCCATAGGGGATAATACTAAGTACCTGAAATATATTTTACTCCACTGAAAAAATATTACAAATTGTTTTTTTGTGAAATGATTCTACACTTTACAATGGGCATTTGTTGTAATTTCACTGAAATACAAGAATGCAAGAATCTAGAAAGCTGATTACGAGTAACTAAATCATGAAAATCTACCATTCATACCTTGTTCTTCCTGATCCCCCTTATTTACACTTTTATTAAGGTTAAAAGTGATGTCATTGTCTACATTTTGTACACCTTCCATATCTTCCTCTTCTTGGTTGTCAGTGGTGTCAAGCCTCAGGGCTAGAGATTCCTCTGGGCTCCCTACCAGTGGAGATGCACCACCAACCCTCACTGGGCTCTCTACTAGTGTATCAGTCCTTGAAGCCATCTTGGGGGATTTTCTAAAACATTTAATCCTCGGATTAAGCAACTTTACTTTATTGCAGTAAAAAATATCAGATGTCAATGATTGATTAATAATTTGATAATATGAATTAATAGTATTAGCTTTGACCCAACATTGATGGAAATATAGATATTTTAGCTTCCAAGCCTTTACGATGATATTTAGTATTTGAGTTACCTGTATATAGTAATAAGAAATACAAAAATAGCCTATGTGACATTCTGATTTTAACCTTCCCCTAAATATGTCAATCGTAGCATACGATTACTAAATAGACTAAAAATAAATAAATTGACATAAACAAATTCATTTAATGATACTGGTAAAATTTTGTTTTACATAGCTGACCCCATGATAATTACACTAATTAACTTACCTTTCAGGAGTTGGGCTTCTATCTTTGACACTTCGGGGACTAGGAATCCTGGATTCTTCTTTAGGGGGACTAGTCTCTCCTCCAAAGGAAACTGCAAACCTGAGCTGTTTGGAAGGAGTCTTCTTGCTCCCTGGGGTAGCATGTTCAACAGTGTGAGGGGTGATCAATGTAGGCGTGGAAGCAGCTTTAGGAGTTGAGGTCGATGTTGAGGCCTCAGGTTCACTGAAGCCTATCCTACGTGGCACTCTAGGTGGGGCTAGGTCAGCATCCATACTAGCCACACCTTAATGAATTTAATGTCATTGTTACAAGTGGATCCATTACTTCAGAATTCAAACAATGATTGTATGACAATGAACTACAGATTTTTTAACATTTCAAAATGATGGGGTTTTCTAGTTTTGAAAAAAATTCAACACTTATTAATTTGAGCAATATCTGTAATTCAATTCTCACAAAGGATTAATAATCGCTGTTAAGTTACACATACTTGCAAATCTAGCTGATACTTTTACAGGATCCTTTTGAAGTGATGATGGTGACTTTCTTACAGACCTCCGTACTTTTAAGATAGACTGGGGGGTGGGCTGAGGTAGGAGCACCTTGGGGGAGTGGGAGGGGGTCTTCCGTTTGACTGGGGGTGTGCTCAACAGAGAAAGCACTTCCGCACTGAGGTAGTTAGACATTCTCCTAAAATAGCAAAATGATACTTTCAATTCTAAAAATAAATTAGTCTTAATGCATTTGAATAGATTAGACATTCTATGATAGACACTGACGACCTTGACTTTTGTAATTATGGTAGGAAATTCAAATATTTGAGTGTTGAAAATAATTTGAGAATAATTCCAGTCATAAGTTATTTTCTTATTTTCAAATTTTCCTCAGGGCTTCAATCCAACTTTAAAATTTCAAATCAGACCTATTTTCTGCTTGAATACAAACTCATACCTTGGGGGTGTTGATGTGAATGTAGTTGATATGTGCGGATGCTTCATGGGGGACATTGGGAGTAGTGGCTCCACCTGGGAGGGGTCCTCCATCACCGACACTGACGGGTAAACAACCTCAGATGCACCACTAAAATATGGGAAAATTACACATTAGAGATAACAAAAATAATAAACATAAGATTAGTTTCTGTTTATTTTGCTCAATTAGCTTGCTGGTTCACTATCACTTTTGAAATAATATGAATGCAAATTGAAATCAATGAGTACAATACTTCGGATTCCAATATCTTGCTGGTTCACTATCACTTTTGAAATAATATGAATGCAAATTGAAATCAAAGAGTACAATACTTCAGATTCCAATATCTTGCTGGTTCACTATCACTTTTGAAATAATATGAATGCAAATTGAAATTAATGAGTACAATACTTCGGATTCCAATATCTTGCTGGTTCACTATCACTTTTGAAATAATATGAATACAAATTGAAATCAAAGAGTACAATACTCCAGATTCCAATATCTTGCTGGTTCACTATCACTTTTGAAATAATATGAATGCAAATTGAAATCAAAGAGTACAATACTTCAGATTCCAATATCTTGCTGGTTCACTATCACTTTTGAAATAATATGAATGCAAATTGAAATCAAAGAGTACAATACTTCAGATTCCAATATCTTGCTGGTTCACTATCACTTTTGAAATAATATGAATGCAAATTGAAATCAAAGAGTACAATACTCCAGATTCCAATATCTTGCTGGTTCACTATCACTTTTGAAATAATATGAATGCAAATTGAAATTAATGAGTACAATACTTCGGATTCCAATATCTTGCTGGTTCACTATCACTTTTGAAATAATATGAATGCAAATTGAAATCAAAGAGTACAATACTCCAGATTCCAATATCTTGCTGGTTCACTATCACTTTTGAAATAATATGAATGCAAATTGAAATCAAAGAGTACAATACTTCAGATTCCAATATCTTGCTGGTTCACTATCACTTTTGAAATAATATGAATGCAAATTGAAATCAAAGAGTACAATACTTCAGATTCCAATATCTTGCTGGTTCACTATCACTTTTGAAATAATATGAATGCAAATTGAAATCAATGAGTACAATATTTCAGATTCCAATTTCATTTTGTTTTTTACTATCACCTAATGATCATTATGGTACATAGCACAATTAAAATTGTTAGACTCTAACCTTCTCCTAGACTTGAGTTTAGGTGTGATTGGTGTACATGTAAATGGTTCCATTGATATAGCTGGCTGCTGTTGCTCATCTCTGGAACAAGCAAGGTTTCAGTTTATATAATTCAATATTGTGTTTCAAAAAGTGAAATAATTTTGTCTAAATTCAGAAAAGTGATGTTGATTGAAGTAACTTTTATTGAACAGTGGGGATGGGGTAGGGTTTCACTTAAGTGATGACACAAATTAAAGTTTAAGATATGACATTTACAGAAATTCATTCCTTTAAGAGGAGTGCAAACTGTTCTTGCCATGTCTCATTCAAATAACCGAGCTGGTACATGTACATATATTTCTCAAGTAATATCCAATCAATCACATACCTCTGTTCATCAACATCAATCTCCTCTTCATCTTGGACATCTTTGGCTTCGTTGACTTTCTCCAGAACTGCATTGATGAGGGTAGCATGTGAGACAATTGTGCCACGCTTGTTGTTCACTACGGTTGAGAGAGGCCTTGGTCTTACGACTGAAACACACAAATATGGCCATCAACACAGGCAAAGTCACTATCCAACCAATAAGAGATGACACACTGCACTGCCAAACTATTTCAATGTTCATACCATTCATGTTGAATTACCTATTAATTATTGAAGTGAGAGCAATAATAGCCTCTGAAAATCAAATACAGTGCATGGTCTAATACCGTACAGGTACTAAACTTGTGAAGTGTATTCATGATATACCTTCACGTCTCATCAAGGTGGGCCGTTTCCTAATCAGCTCTGTCCCAAAGGTGAGTTTACGCTGAACTGTGGGGAGAACATTACTGTAACAACTAACTATCGCATTCCTAGCAGCAGCCCTCTCCCTTGCCGACACATCTGCCTCATTCTGAAAATACAACACATGAGAAATAAAATGCATTGATTTAACATGCCAAACTTAAGGAGAGAAGTGTTTTGATTAGAGAATAACAATCAAATTTTTCAGACGTGGTCTCATATCCAACATTATAATTTTCCGAACTAACAAAGTTTGGTAGGGATATAGTGAAGACCTCCATCTGTCTGTCAGTCCACTAGTCAGTCCATCTGTCCGTTCGGAAGATAACTCGAATACTAGTGGACGGATTTTCTTCATATTATTCATATTGGTGAATAGCTGTATACAATAACAAAAAAATTCCAAGATGGCCACCGCTTTAAAAATGGCTGGTTTCGTGAAAATCTTAAGTTTTTCTAAGATGAGGGAAAGCCCCAGAGTTTAAAGATGACAGACATAATTACCTCTCTTGCTTACCACCTTCGTTCATTCGAATTTTCATCGGCTAGTTATCAAATATTACACTTCGATGGGATGTTTTAATTGACATAGGCATATTCCGTACACCTTTCCTTATCTTGATGTGAAATGAGAAGCTATGATATTGGTTAACACGCCAGAAATGAACATAATATTATTCGAAGCGTATTTCGAAAATTTTGAAACCGCCATTGATGACGTCATTTGTTTGTCGACTTTTGACCAATCAGCGACGATGTCATCTCAATACAGATTTACATTATAAGCGTATGTCATCTTTAAACCCTGGTGTTTCTCCCCCTCTGAGTTTTTCTTTTTAAACCAAAGTTATAAATATTATTGTTTCGAATTTTGGTAGTATATTCACAACATGTTCTATCTATTTCATATATATTCCGAGTTTTTCAACATGACCCCCAGGGGCCATGTATTAGGGGTTGGGAAAATGGGAATTTGCTTTAATTTTGAGATCTTTCTAAAGTATAGCTTTATTGTACTCAAATGAAAGGCAATTAGAGTACATTGCAAATATTGTATTGGTTTTGTAATTTTGGCCAAGTAAAATTCAAAATGGCCACCTTATGTGAGATTTTGCAATAATTTTCTGACCCCTTTAAAGTATGGCTATATTATCAAATTGAAGGAAATTTAGGGTAGATCATTACTTTGGCATTGTCTTTCCGATTTGTGCCTCAGAAAATTCAAAATGGCTGCCAACAGGAATTTGCATTAATTTTGAGATATTTCTGAGTATTGCTTTATTATACTCAAATGAAAGGCAATTTATAGTAGATTGCAAATACATGTATTGTATCGGTTTTGTAATTTGGGCCTCGTAAAATTCAAAATGGCTGCCACCTTATGAGGAATTTCGCAATAATTTTCTGATCTATTTTGATATTGTCTTTATTATTTGTGCCTTAAAAACTCTTAAAGATCTAATAGCAAAGGTTTTGCAAAAATAAATCAATGTAGTATAAAACAAATGTATGTATAATGAAGAAATAAATATATAATGAAAAAAATAGATATGTGTTACAGTATTATATTCTATTATATTCACATTAAGTTTAGTTTATCAATATGCATATACTGTAACTGATCTTCATTAGAGATCTTAGGTCAAGGTCACAATGACATTATATCTTGTAAACATAACTGAACTGAATGACTCATTAACCATTGGTCTTCTAGAAAGTACTGGAACTATAATCATTAAATCAAGATTGAATCATGTGACTTAAGATGTCCAATCAGTGTTGATTTCCAGAAATTGTAACTTCTTGAAACATCTGGACTTTGCCTTTGCACTATATAATGAGAGAGCTGATTTGGGCTGTTAGCAGAATTTTAAAGTTGATCAAAAGGACATCTTCTTAGCAGAAAATTACAGACACCTACTTTGGGAACATTTATAACATTACAAACATACAACCTAAGGATTTTATATGGACATATATTACAACACGCACTATATACGGATTATCATATACATTCGTGGATTATCATTAAACATTTGTGGATTATCATCAAACATTATTGGATACGAACATTATAGGATTACAACAAACATTATTGGATTATTACAAACATTGGAGAACTATCAACGATTATTGAAACATTCCGTGATCTGGAACATTCTCAAGGATCGTCAACGACATTTATCGACATCAAGAATAAGCCGTATCATTGATTGGACATCACTTAAGTATTAAACCTCCTTTATATTATTGTTATATTATTTAGTTTTCAAAATATAAATATATTGTTATCATATTTTAATTGCTGTTTTTACTTTCTGTTATTTTCGAACGTAACAGAAATTGGGGGCTCGTCCGGGAAACAACTATAACAAGCTAAAATACAAATATTTTAAAATTCAAAATCTAAAACTTGCACATTTAATTTGTGAAGACAGCAATTAATCAAAAATGAGTTTTGAGGTTGAGACATTTTTAGAAGCGCCCTCTTTGGAGGAGTTTGACAAGTTAAAGAAAACTGATCTTCTGGCACTGGCTAAACATGTTGGCTTGGCAGTTAAAACTTCCTACAGAAAAGGCACAATTAAAAACCTTTTAGTGCAATATTTGGTAGCAGAAGAAATTCTGCCTGAGGAAGCGTTAAAGCTTTCCATGGAGCCGGCCCAACATGTTGAGCCTGTTGATCCTATTAGGCTCAAAGAGCTTGAATTGAGAGAGAAAGAGTTAGAAATGCAAAATGAAAGAGAGAAAAGAGAAACAAGATTAAGAGAACAAGAAATTCAAAAGGAAAAAGAAATTGAATTAAAACGACTTGAAATAGAAGCCAAATCCAAAACTGATGAACATGCTACTATGCATCAACATTTTGAAAATAGGTTTGACGCTTCAAAATTTCTCAAATTTGTTCCTAAATTTCAAGAGAAAAATGTTGATAAATACTTTACACATTTTGAAAAGGTCGCTCAGAGCCTAGACTGGCCTAAATCTGCATGGCCAGTTATGCTCCAGAGTGTATTCATTGGTAAAGCAAGTGAAATATTTGCCTCTCTCTCAGGAGAAGTATGCTCTGATTATGACCTAGTTAAAAATGCAATTCTTAAAGCTTATGAACTAGTGCCAGAAGCTTACAGACAAAAATTTAGAAATGCCCACAAACAGAGTGACCAAACCCATGTTGAGTTTGCTCGAGAGCAAGAGCAGCTTTTTGACAGGTGGCTTGTCTCTAAAGATGTATCTGAAGAGTTTAAAAAGCTCAGAGAGCTTATGCTAATAGAACAATTTAAAAACTGTGTTCAGTATCACATTAGAACTTACTTAGATGAACACAAGGTAGAAACTTTAAGTCAAGCTGCCACCCTGTCTGATGATTATGCTCTTACTCATAAGGGTAGTTTTATCAAAGGTAATCCTAACTTTAGAGGTTATCAAGGTAACAAACCTTCATATGACTCTAAATCAAATCAGTCCTCATCATCAAATACATCAAACAAAGCAAAAGACCAGTCTAATTCATCACAGAATTCTAGCTCAAAATCAGATCAATCAAATTCTTCAGGTCCAAAATCAAACGTCACCTGTAACTATTGTAAAAAGCCTGGTCATCTTATTTCTGAATGCTATAGGATTAAGAATAGAAGAGAGATGTCTGGTTCTGCTCATTCAAATGGTTGTGTTACAGTTCCCATTTCAAGAAAGCCCATTGTTTGGGATTCATATACTCATACTGAGAAATCTACTCATAGTGATATTATGGAGGATTATAAGCCTTTCATGTCGGAAGGATCTGTGTCACTGTCAAGTGATGATACCAATTCAAAGCCAGTTAAGATTCTTAGAGACACGGGTGCATCTCAGACCTTGTTGTTAGAAGGTGTCCTTCCTTTATCTGAGGAGTCATTCACAGGTACCCATATTTTGATGCAAGGCATTGAATTAGGTTTTACTAAAGTTCCCCTCCATCGTATTCATATCACATCAGAGTTAGTCAAAGGGCCAGTTATTGTTGGTGTTAGGCCACAACTTCCTGTTGAAGGAGTCGCATTGCTTTTAGGCAATGATTTAGCTGGGGGTAAGGTATCGTTAGACCCCATTGTCTCAGATCAGCCTTGTTCTATTGAGGATTCTGTCCAAGAGGACTCTGATATATATCCTGCTTGTGCTGTTACTAGGGCTATGGCTAAAAGGTTAGCTAATAGCGGGGATTCGTCTGTGGGAGATGACTTTGATAGTGGATTTTTAAGCTCCTTGTTTGATGATGAATGTCACTCACCACTTGTTAAAGATGATCCTTATCCTATTTTAAAGACAAATTCTTCATTGAAACAGCCTTCTGTTCAAGCCAAGCAGTCATCTATTAAGGCAAATTCTTCATTGAAAAAGCCTATTGCCAGAGGGGATTCACCTTCTGAGCAGGATCACTATTTTAATGCGGTTTCGCCCGCTCTTGCTAGTCCTGATGAAGTTTCATCTTCTTCTGCTAGTGTTCATGAGGTTTCATCCCCTCCTTGTTCTGAGGTTTCATCCTCTATTTCTGATAGTGATTCTTTGAAAAATGATCCTCATTCTAAACACATGTTAATTTATGAACAAGAGCATGATCCATCACTCATTGATCTTCATAAAAGATGTCTTACTATTGATGAAGCTGACAAGGTCCCTGTTTGTTTCTACAAAAAGGATGGCATATTAATGCGAAAGTGGAGACCTCCTGAAGCTTCCCCCGAAGACGATTGGGCAATTGTACATCAAATTGTTGTCCCAAAATCATATCATAAGGAAATCTTGAGTCTAGCTCATGATTCTCCCATGGCAGGTCATTTAGGAGTAACTAAAACATACCATAAAATACTCAATCATTTCTATTGGCCCAAATTAAAACAAGATGTCCAAGAGTATTGTAGGTCTTGTCATACATGTCAAATGGTAGGGAAACCTAATCAGAAAATTCCAACTGCTCCTTTACACCCTATACCTGCATTCGATGAACCATTTAGCAAGGTTCTTATTGACTGTGTTGGTCCATTACCAAAAACAAAATCTGGTAATCAATATTTACTCACTATTCTTTGTATGGCCACACGGTTTCCAGAAGCGATTCCACTTAGAAAT